GGGTGACAATATCTTGCCTTCGGGGAGCGATGCCATCGAAGCCAGTCGACGAACCACCTTCGTGGAGGGGGGTGTTCTCTCCACCAAGCAGAGAGGATTGTGTTTCGGTCAAAGCCCGAATGTTTTTGATCTCATTTGCGATGCGGTCCTCTTCAGGAGCAGCACGTGGCGTGCGAATGGGAGTACCTCCAACAATCGATCCATACTTTCCAATGAGTCCCCGAGTGGCTTCCTCGTCTGAGCTCATTCTGCTGGCCTTTTCCCCAGCCATGCCCATCTTAATAATGTCTTCCATCTCGCCTTCGCTAATTTGGGGAGCAGGCAGAACCAGGCCACGTCGCATACTGCTTTGCTCTGCCTCCCGAATCTTTTGCATTTGACCCGCACGTGCAGCAGCCGCAAATGCAGCCGAATTGCTGTTCTTGTCGTTCTTCCGTTTCTTGCGCTCAGCATCGTCATCTTGATCGCCCTTTCGCTTGTTGGCTAGCTGCTGCTTCCGAGGGTCGAACATTTCACGCTGGCGCTCATTTCGTGCTTCCTCCTCCACAGTATCGTAGAATCCCGGTGCAGCTGGCTTTTCGAATGGGATGTCTGCGTTGTAGTCCATCTGACCCGGCTTCCGAGTCACAACCTTCACATTTATACCGGCATTCTTGAGCTCACGGCGCTTCTGCAATACTGCGAGTCGACGGGACTCTTCTAATTGACGTTCTCGGGCCTTTCGCTTAGCCTTTTTACCCTGTGTGTTGGCAAGACGCGCTCGCGCCTCGCTGAGCATTTCCTTCTCATCTTCATCCAGATCGATGGTGTCCGGGCGCGCAGGTTTCGACTCTGGGTCGGGATCTAGCTCACCGGGGCTATTCAGCTGTTAGTATGAATGCCATGTTGTGCAAAATGAACCAACGTACCGTAAGCGGCGAACATCATCCGCACTGGGAGCTGCGGCCTCTCCACCATCCGGTCCGCCCAATCCAAGTTCATCATTCTCACGGGCCTCAGCCTCGTCCAGAAGTTTTTGGTATCGCTCCAGACACTGTGTTGCGGTACGACCGACGATGGGGGCGATGGTACGCCATTGTGTGGGCATCAGTTTAGCAAGATGCAGAAGCTTTTCATCCTCCTCTCGTGACCACTCGACCTTGCGAATACCAGGGTCCAGCCATTCTATCCAGCGCGCTTTGCATTGCTTCGGCGTCTTCCGAGCGAGGAGAGAGGAGACTCGAGCCCATTGGTTGAGACCATACTTGGATACCTATAATCGCGTGAGCATTACGCAAGCAATGCAAGATCTGAAGTTAGATGATAAGAGAAACTTACAGCTGCACGAAGCACTTCATCCTCAATATTGGTCCTGCGATATGGTTAGTAGCGATCATATAGGTGCAGGGTAACGGTTGGACGTACCAGACACCTCCTTTGACGACAGGCATGATGCGCAATCGGGACCGGGATTACAGTCAAATAATTCAAGCACCGATTAAATAATTAAGTTGACGGTGTGTCTCCGGGGAGATGAAAAGTCGAGAGTCCCCGGGCTTGAACTGACGCGCAGCAGTAGGTGCAGCCAGAAAAGACGGGTTGTGCCAAGAGTCGAGGTCCTTCACCGCCCGAATTGACCGCCCCTCCTTAGTCAGCAGATCCGGATTTTTGGGGCTTTTCACTTTTTTTTTGGTTTCGGGTTTTCAAACGATAAGAGCATCAACCATGTCTAAATCTGTGGATGCCCCTCACCAGTTCAAGCAGCCCTCCCGTAAGGGCAAGAAGGCTTGGCGCAAGAATGTCGATGTTACTGAAGTGCAGGAAGGTCTGCGCCAGTTGAAAGATGAAGAGATCAAAGGGTATGGTTTTATCATTGCCTTTTTTTACTTGGGCCTCTTCCTTCCAACCAGAGATCGTTTGCTAATATAATTTAGTGGTCTTGTTTCAGAGAAGCCATCTGACGAATTGTTTACTCTCGACACTACTGGAAACGAAGATGTGCGAAGACAGATTTCCAAGAAGCACAAGCCGCTCAAGGCGGACGAGATTATCGCCCAGCGGTCTCTCATTCCCGCTCTAGACGGTCGCAAGCGTATCAACTCCAATGTCACCGATGGAGTCATCGAGCCGAAGACCAAGAAGCACAAGAAGGATTGGGTCAGCAACAAGGAACTGCAGCGCTTGAAGCAGGTGGCTCAGGATGGAACCCCTACCACTAAGATTAACGGGAGTGATATCTATGATCCTTGGGCAGAGGATGCTGAGGCAACTACATCGGCCGTTGTGGACGACCCCCGTTTTGATTTCCTGGTAAAGCCCAAGGCAAAGGTCGCACCGGAGACCATCAAGCATGCGCCAGTGTCGCTTGCCGCCAATGGAAAGCGCATTCCATCAGTTCGCACACCACAAGGAGGGCACAGCTATAACCCCGTCTTTGAAGAGTGGGACCGTCTACTAGAAGAACAAGGTGCAGCTGCTGTAGAGGCAGAGAAGAAGCGCCTTGAAGAGGAAAAGAAAGACGAGGAAAAGAGGCGCCTGCAGGAGGCAGCACAAGGTGACGATGGCGAAGTGAAGTCTGATGATGAAAGCGCTTGGGAGGGCTTTGAGAGCGAATACGAGAAGCCCGAGTGGCTGAACAAGAAGCGACCTGAGCGAAAGAGCAAGACCCAGCGCAACAAGATCAATCGGCGAAAGGAGGCCGAGCGTCAGGCGAAATGGGAGGCGAAGCGGGCTGCGACAGAAGCACAGGCTGAGCAAGTCGAGCTACTCGCCGAAGAGGCCAGACAGCGGGCGATCAACACCTCCAACGACTCTGATGCTGATGACTCCGACGAGGGTGACGATACTAAGCTTCGACGCAGGGCGTTTGGAGGAAAGCTTGCGTACGTATCATCCTATCTCATCTTTACATGGACCATTACTAATGATCATAACAGACCCCCAGAGAAGCCATTGGAGCTTGTTCTTCCTGATGAACTTCAGGATTCCCTCCGACTGCTGAAACCGGAAGGAAACCTGTTGGATGATCGGTTCCGAACACTGATTGTTCAAGGCAAGCTTGAATCACGCAAGCCAGTGACACAGGCTCGCAAGGCCAAGAGAAAGATCACCGAGAAGTGGATGTCCAAAGACTTCAAGGTCCCTGGCTTCGAGTAAACTGCTGTTCTTGTTACTTAATACCTAGGTAAAAGCGTGCATTGGCGTTTGGACATACATAAAATTTTGTTTGCACAATCAATGGGTCTCAAATTCAATTCAGGATTACAATGTTATACTAGGTCTTTCAGTGACTGTAGATACAAGCACAGTCTTTATTGGATCTACCAATCACCCCGAGCAACATCATTATAATTCCTCATGTATTAGTGCCTTATCTCAGCCTGGAAAAGGAAATAGATGACGCAAAATCATATCTGACAAGATCGAGGGAAAGAGGGCTGATTCCTGGCAGTCAATCTATGAAGTGCCTAATACGGTCTAGTTCCAAATGGAATATGAAGGCGGTGTTCCTATCGCTCTTTCTGCCAGAAAAAAAAGTTGATGGACATCACTATCTCCAATCCCGCCATGCACAAGCCGTGATACAATAATTTCACCGTCGGAATGAATATGAGTGGCCTCTCCAGTAACTGGAAGAAGCTACAGGCGACATTGAAGAAGGATAGCCCATCAACCACCACATCAAGCACAAAACGCAAAGCCTCAGACCGTGACTCGGCATCTGGTCCTGTCAAGAAGCACAAGTTTGCCGACAAAAAACAGACAAAACAGGCGCCAAGTGCCTATAAACTACAAAGGATGGGTGACGCCTCCAGAAGCGCAGATAGTGGAGACTCAGCTCCTGCTCTACGAAGAAAATCCAGTGCTGGATTCTCCGCGCAGCCTGCGGCCGATGCTCGGAGTAACAAGGTGAATGAGGGCCGTTCAAAAACGTGAGTAGTCCCTTTATACCCTTTCATCTTGTTTGTCTTTAATGTTACTCACACTTTTTATTCCAGGGCCGAGCTCGGAAAATTTATTGCCATGGATTGCGAGATGGTTGGCGTAGGCCCAAACCCAGACCACGATTCCGTCCTTGCACGCGTCAGTATCGTCAACTTCAATGGTGACCAAGTCTATGATTCATATGTACGACCCAAGGAGATGGTAACGGATTGGCGAACCCATGTCAGTGGCATTGCTCCGAAACACATGGTGGAGGCACGAACCCTAGAAGCAGTACAGAAGGAAGTTGCCGAGATTATGGAGGGTCGCATCCTCGTCGGTCATGCTGTGAGCAACGACCTAGACGCTTTGCTACTTGGTCATCCCAAGCGCGATATTCGGGACACCAGCAAGCACCCTGAGTACCGGAAGATTGCTGGTGGTGGTTCCCCGCGATTGAAGGTACTGGCAGAGCATTATCTTGGATTGAAGATCCAGGAAGGTGCGCACTCTTCAGTAGAAGATGCCCGGGCGACTATGGCATTGTATCGACGGGAGAAGGACTCGTTTGAGCGGGAACATTTGAAGAAGTGGCCGGTTAGGACCCCTGTCGAAGGCAAGGATAAGGGAGACAAGAAGAAGAAAAAGAAGAAGACTACTCGCAAGCGGTAATGCCGGGACCGGCATGAGGCATCGCAAGAACTGTACTTATTGTAGAGAAATTTTGTATACCCCAAATTTGCATCAATTTCAAAGAGTTGAAATATTTATCACAAACATAATCATAAGCAAGAAGTCTATCAGTATAATTGTATTTATTCAGGAGTACGTGGTAACCGATCTCGTTTCGCATTGAGTAGATCCCGCTCCGCCCAATTCCACTTAACGCGGAAACGCGACGCGCTCCAAATTTAACTCCGCAAATCCAACATCCTCCATATTGATCACCAAATCCACAGAGGCGCCATTGATACTTGGACTCAGCTCTTTGCTACAATTATTTACTAAGAAAAACTCGAAACTCAATATAGCAGCCTCTGCGCCAAGACCACCAGTCCACCACTAGAATCCACGCACTTCAACTCGACTCGACAATAATGCCAGGCATGTACGCCTTCCAAGCAGGCCCTGGGCCAAAGACGCAACAAAAAGACGAGTCTTCTCCTCAGCTCACACCGAATATCCTCCCCTGTCAAATCCACCATGATGGCCCAATTGCGTCCTGCGATCGCTTTTGGACTCCCGTCTCAGACGCAAAAGGTATGCCAGAACGCAGCGCGACATCTCACATCCCTTCAGCTGGATTGCGGTAACAGACAAATTGACTAATCCATAACGACCATCAGACAACACACAGAGTGCACACTTTCGAGGGCGAAAACTCCGCGGGCGACGTGTTGCGATTCCAGAGGGATACCAAGGTATGTGTATCACCAGTTTTGGACGGTGTGAAGTACACTGGCTAAGCAAGTATTTTCCTTACAACAGGAGTTGTCGCAATGCCCACAGATCGTATATTACCTTCTCAGCAAGCAGACAAAGACCAGGACGTTGAAATCCTCGAGAATGGACCCGAGGAGCCGGTCAAGATTCTTGAGACACAAGGTACTTTTGACGAGATGATTGTATGGCAGCATGAGTTTCTACCTGCGGCGGACGACACTTTTGTAAAGGGCGTGGAAGAGTGGGTGCGATTTGCAGAGACGGTATGTGTATTCCACGGTTCACGGTTTTTAGACTCGCGGTCCTAACTTTGAATGTCAGATGCATGTAACCCCGGCAGATGCGACGAAATAGAGCAAGGAGTAATCAGTTCATATGAAGCGATTGTGTGACTGGGTCATAATGAGTGGTAGGCATACCCTTGGAATTCGTCTGAGGCTTTCGGATATCGATGTTGGGTTAGCTTTGTCCACAGGTCCTGCTTTCCTCAAATTGAAAGCTAAGCCACTGAGCTTCAAGGATCCCGAGCTTGGACCTCGAGAAGCTCATATGCTTCTTGCATTAACTCGTTCATATTCATGCTTCCAATCCTAAATATCTGACCACTTCAGGATCTATGAGGCCAGAACCTTGAGGAGCTATCTACTATTATACCCTCATGTTCCTCTTCATCTCTCAATAATTTTTCTTTTTTCTTTTTTCTTTTTTCATTTTTTTTTTCAGTTAACTTAAACTCTTCATGATGGATAAAGGTTCAAATTTATACACTACTTATAATTTGAGCTAAACACAAGGTGGTGAGAATCCACATACAGTAATTCCACTTTTATAGATGAGCTAAAGTGGAGAACTCCGATAAGCCAAACCCCGCAAACAACCTCTTTTCAATGTTCTCTTCACACCTGCAACCTTCAACCTCTTTACTCTCTGCCAAAACTTCCCACTCGCCTATAACCAACCATGGATAATCCCGATGTCCCAAACACCCAAAAGGCCTTCGTGCCCCTCGGTATCAACCACTACCCCGCACCTCTCAAAACAGCCCAGCTAACAAAGCAAAGAAAATAACCCAGAAGTAATGTCCCACCTAGTCCACCAACTAGGTCTCCCTCCAACCCTGGGCTTCACCGACGTATTTTCAATCGACGAGCCAGACCTCCTAGCCTTCGTCCCACGCACCTCCCACGCCCTCCTCCTCGTCTTCCCGGTCTCTAAAACCTACGAAGAATCCCGCAAAAAAGAAGATAGCGCCCTGGAAGAATATACAGGCCACGGCCCTTCCGAGCCCGTAACATGGTTCAAACAAACAATCCGCAACGCATGCGGCTTAATTGGACTCCTGCATGCTGTCTCAAACGGCGAGCCCCGGTCCCACATTACCCCCGGCTCGGATCTCGATATGCTTCTTACTCAGGCGCAGGATCTGGAGCCTGCTCGTCGGGCAGATCTGCTGTATGAGAGTAAGGCGCTTGAGAGTGCTCATGCGGATGCGGCGAAGTTGGGGGATACGGCTGCGCCGCAGGCCGAGGATGACGTTGATTTGCATTTTGTGGCGTTTGTCAAGGTTGGTGATACGCTTTGGGAGCTTGATGGGAGGAGAAAGGGACCTTTGGCCAGGGGAAAACTTGGACCTGACGAGGATGCGCTGAGTGAGACTGCGTTGGGATTGGGTGTCAGGAGGTTTTTGAAGATGGAGGCTGAGGGCGGGAATCCGGATTTGAGGTTCAGCCTTGTTAGTCTTGGGCCTGTGTTTGATTAGACGTTCTAAGGCTTAGATATTTGCTGATTTTTGGACTTCATGTGACCTGTGAGCCATCTGTTAAGGTCGCCGATGTATAGACTGTGGTCTCTGACGGGACTAGGCCGCTGGCTTTTCGATGGCAATTGGAAGTGGCTGAGAAAGCTCATGGCAAGGCAACATGATATCCAGTGTATTCCAATTTCTCAAGACCTTGTATCTATATTCTAAGCAGTATTCACATTATCTATTAGATTTTGTTTGCACCTGAAGTTTCCAGCGTGGATGATCTTGACCACCCATGCCCCAAGTTTTCTTCAATCAACGCTTATCTGCAATTGCCAAAGCTGGAGTCTCCGAAATAATCTCCGTTCCAGGAGCCACAGGCGCGGAATTTGCATCGATAATGGCCTTCTGCTCAGCCAGCTCTTCCACACTCTCGTCCCCAGCCTCAGTGGGTGCATCACCCCCCTGAGTCCCCAGTGTCAAGAAAGGCACCATGAAAAGGGAAGTACCAGCTGCTGCTGCAGCAAACCAATAGGCAGTCAGATAGGGTCTGATAGCAGGCGTAGAAGCAGTCATCTGATTAGCCATCGCACTTTCGACAGAAGTAGCGATGCCAAGACCTAAATTGTTGCATAGTTTGCTGACTGTATTGAAGATTCCACCGGCAATTGATTGCTGGTCAGATGGAAGTGACGACATGACATACATCTAGAAGACCCAATTCGTTAGCCACTATAGCCACTATGGAAAGCGATGCACACGGCGTGAGACATACATTTGTAACGTTGAACTGAATATCAGCTCCAACGACCACAAGGATCAGAGCTGGGAATATATATTCCCAGTAGATGGCATCCTCTTTCATGAAGCTCAAAATCAGGAAGGAAGCGGTATATGCCAATGCACCGATCCCGGTTAACACGCTGTTGTTAACGCGGTGTAGAATTAGGCCACAGACGACATTCACCGAAACACCACTGACTACCATTGGCATCAATCGTGCAGTAATCTCCAGTGCGGTGAGGTGTTTGACATTTTGGAGATAGAGCGATAGGTAGAAACTGACAGCAGAGAAGCCCATGAAGCCGAGGCAAAAGATTGCCATGAGCTGCGAAGTGCGTTAGTTTTGTTGTATCTTGAGATTGTGGGATATGACATACCAGGGCGAAATTGCGATCTTTCCAGACCCATAGTGGCATGAGGGGGTTTGCTGTAATCGATTGCCACCATAGGAAAGCGACAAGCAGGAAAAAGCCGACGATGAATAGAGCAAGAACGTATCCTGTTTTCCAGCCATCTGGTGCGTCCCCAGCAAGTCTATCTAAGTATTAGCAAAAGCTCCATTGGCGTCAAGGGACAACCAAAAGGTAAAAGGGGTTCAACGTACGAAAGCGAGCTAGAGAAGAATGCAAACCCGACGACCACCAAGGCCGTACCAAGAAGGTCAAACTTCTTAAACGCCTCAACGCTAACAGGGGTCCTCGCAAACCCATCAGGAGGAACCGTCCACACAGTCAACGCCGTGAAGATAGCATACACAACAGCAAGAGCCCAAAATGATGCACGCCAGTTATACTCATTTGACGCAACACCTGAAATAATCATGCCACCCACAAAACCAAGCGGATTGCCGGCACTGAAGCACGCAAACGCGCGATTCTTACGCTTCGACGGCTTCTCATACACGGCTCCTAGAGCACCAACTGCCGGGGGAACCACGGCGGCTGCGAACAAACCCAGGATACCGGAGAAAACGTCCATATAGATAGCGTTGGTGGCGAAGCCGGCGATCAACAGAGATATGGTAAACCCAGCCATGCCGATGATGAAAAGCACTTTCCGGCCAAACATGTCGGCTAGTTTACCGAATGTCAGTAGAAAGGCACCGCTGCTGAGACTGTTAAGGGATTTTGGTTAGCGAATTCTGGCGTGAAGGTGCGAAAAAAAGCATTAGCCATAGGGTTTCTTCTTTCAATTGACATAGGGTATGGTTTGGAGGTAAAAAGATTGATTAAGAAATGCACGTACGAGGCGCCGGCATTGATCCAAGTGATTTCAGCCGAGTTCATCTCTAGATCCGCTCCGATTGATGCAGTCACGCCGACGATGCAGCCTTGGAAAAAGGATTGCTGGCCGATGGCCATGGTGGCCGTCAGGACGAACAGGCATTCCTGGAGGGTTGAACTGAAGCATTTTGGTCGTTGCGCATAGTTAATCTGCTCGTCAGCGGCCAGTGTGATTTCGGGACCTTTTTCTTGGTCTGTTTGGTCATGGGAAACCATGTCGCAGTTTTCACCTTCGCTCCAAGGCGACAAGGGAAGGGAGAATTGTGGTGTGGGTTTCAAATTGGCTTCGTGATGAGGAATTTATTCTGATTTAGAACCAAGATCGGAGATAACAAAGAGATTACCAAGATCAGCTAAAAAAAAATTAGCCCTGGGCCGTTTTCCAGGGGTATACGTTGTAGCCTCGTGCCGCTAACTCGAGTGGGGTGTACGCTCGTCAGCTATTTACGTTTTCCCTACAACCAAATATCCGTTAAATAGCGAGTTCGCTGTCACCGCAAGTCGCTGAGCAATTGTGCCTTTGTAAGCTGCGGGAGAATTTCCGCGTTTGTATCACATCTCGGCATTTTCTTGGGCTCCGAGCGCTCAGGCCTTGGCTTAGATTTCTCCGGATCCTAATCAGATCCTTTGGATCATGCTGACTAACACTGCAAGACATTGATATCTCATGAAGCAATAAACGGTCGGGTCGAATCATCATGCTCAAGTCTCGACCCAATTGTCTCGGGCATTGAACTTCACTACCTCATTCCCACATGCCCACCATTCGGAGGTTAGACTCCGAGCAAACACCTCGAGCGCCGAATAAGACTTGCGAGTAGAGTCCGACACACCAAATAAGACCCGCTCAAATATAGGTTTCAGATTTGGCTTTCGCGAATGGAGATCTGGAACAGCTGCAATCACTCTTCTGGTAATTGTACTGGGGTCGACATCAAGTAGATTGATAGTGTCTGTTTTTCCCTGCGAGGTTGCATAGCCAAGATCTGATACCGCTGAAATCGGATCTTTCCGCCCAATGACGAGAATCTCGTATGGCTTTCGCCAGAGCCCATCCAATGGACACACCGCCTGTCCATCAGCAGTGATCTTGATCCAGACCCATTCCTCGTGGATACGAAATCCAGAAGCCAGCAAGGCTTCGTAGGCGACTCTACGAGCTTTCTCAGAGTTGGTGATCCAGATAGCTGCGAAAGTTTCCTGGGAAACCTGTTCTGGAGCTGCATTGGTGCTTGTAGTCGTAGCTGAGCTTACCGTAACATCATCAAGTGGACAGTAAGCGTGAGCACGCAGGATGTCTTGAAGTCGCAGGCTCAAAATGTCCACTTCGTTGTAAGCATGAGTTTGATAGCCTTTACTGCGTCGAACAGAGCGATTTGGCCAGGGTGGATCGAAGAGCATCAGATTGAAACGCTGGTTGCTAGGAAGCCCGGGAATAGGTCTCTCCAAGGGCTCTGACTGTGATAGAGGCAGGTTACAAAGCACAAAGGCAGATCGAGGCGGGATGATGTATTCTAAAGAACAACGCGTGCCATCATATCCGACGGTACTGATTGATAGCACAGTCTCATCTGAGGATGGATTTTTCACCACACCTTCAAGCTCTGACATCGAGCTAAATATGTTGAGAGACGTCGATGACAGAATCGTAGGCGGTGCAGCGGACCAGAGAGAACTTCTTCCATCTCCCAATTGGTTCGAAGGTGAGCAATGCCTATTCCGTGGTTGCTTTCGTTTCCGTTTCTTCGTTGACGAATCAGAGATCTCCAATGGCTCCTTTTTGAGCACTGTTGCATCAAGAACAGCTCTAGGAAGACACCATTGAGAGCCAGATGGCATATACCCGGCCCGTAAATCATCTAAAGCGTTTGCCACAAGTGGCTGGATATATTCACCATGAAATCGTTGTTCGCACAGTGATATGTTAGACAGAACCTTTGCGCGCGCAGTGTCTGTCTTTGGCTCTGTGAGAGACAGGTAAGGCGCCGTGAGAGGCACACTAGAGATAAGGGACCTCTTTTTTAATTTGTGTTTCCTGTTCCCTTGATTTGATATGGAAGGAGTTCCCCCTGTTGGGGCAGGCGTAGTGGGCAATATTTCTTGTGCTTGGGCAATTGATCCTGGTAAGTCAACGAGAAAAACCGTGTTCTCATTATCATGAAAGAGAATGGAGGGGCTCCCCTGGAAGCTGGCCATTTTCAGGTTCAGAGGTATGTTTAGGTGCAGAGGGCGGATAGCTGGGGATGGGAGATTTAAGCAACGGCGCGGGTGGAGCGGGCAGATCCTGCAATCCAAAATCTACATTTCACGGATGTCAAGGTCTAATTTCATGCAGCTGAAGGATTCCTTCCATTTGAAATTGAAACGGCGCAAACCAAACAATTTGGACGTCAGCCTAAATCATCAAGGCCGAAATATAATGATCATCAGATCAGAAGATACATGTCATTTGAAAAAGAAACGCTCGTCTCCATGAAGATACATGAATGTGTCCCCCAGACACCAGGTCCTCCCAGACACCGGGCACTTTTTATCCCAGCCACCAAATTCCTCAGCCATATCCTTGCTCCCCTGCCGGCGATCCAGCGTCCGATAAGGCGAGACAGAGGAACATGGCTTCACAATACAAAGCTAGAGAACCCGCTGAACCTCCATGATACGATGGCCAAAGAAAAAAAAAAACACGGATGAATTTATACAGGTAGATGAAAGCAGGGAAGATTCGATTAAAAAAAATCATATGCGAAGATCAACGCTGAAATGAAGTATTAGCCACTGTCATGGCGGATTTGCCTAGGCATCGTAAAAAGAACTCACCCGTCCACGTCGGCCTCCGTTGGACTGTCCCTGGACAGATTGTGCCTGGGGGTAGTATTGGGGAGGGTATTGGTAGACCTGAGCAGGAGGCATCACAGGGCTAAACTGTTGGGGATAGTTGGACAGGCCGATCATGGGGTTGGGCCCTGCGGACAACGGCGATGCCTGCTGGTTTTGCATAGATCGCAAGTTCTCGACTGATGGCGACCCGCCTGGATACCCAAAAGCGGTCCCGTAAATGCCACCAGGAGACACCCCCCGTGCCTGGGAAGCGAGGTAGTTTTGATACTGCTGCTGGGGAAGCTGAGCCACAGGATCCTGTAGTCCACCACCGAGACCATTCAATGGGTTCGGGAACCCGTTGATGCCGTTACTGGCGTATGGATCAAGTTGTTGGGCGTGGTTATGATCGGCAGGGAAAGGACGCGAGTCAGGGTTCTGTCCGAGGAACTGACCACTGTACTGTCGTTCCATAGAAGGCTGCGAGGGGTAGTTGGTACTTCCGTGTCGGGAGGATTGACGTTGTTGGGGCTTCTCGGGGGTGGAAGAGTGGCTTGCGCCGTGCTCGCGTCCATGATGTTCACGGCCGTTCCCACGCGAGGAAAGACCAACTTCATCCATCAGGCGTTTGTATCCCTGGCTAGGAGAGGCTTTCAATTTTGTCAAAACCTTTGCAACATTCTTGACAACTTCCGCACGCATAGACTCCTCGAAGAACGGAGTGGTCAGGACTTTAAAGATCAGGGTCGCACCAGAAGTCTGGTCACTCAGAATCTTTTCCAAGACTTCGTCACCAGGGCTGAAGAACAAGGCCTTGAGAATGATGTCTCTAGCCTCGGGCTCATTACGCTGGTTGATGACCTTGAGGACTGTAAGGTAAGCCACCTTGTGGGTGCAAAGGTGCACCAGATGAGGGACAAGCCTTGGAGCAAGAACAGTCCGACGGCGGGGGAAGTTGCAGGTGTCAAGGAACCAAGTGAGCAAAAGAGCTCCGTTGGCATTAGTCACCAGCTGCACGGTGTGGAGGGCAATGGCTGCAGCAAGGGTCCGTTGCTGGTCCTTTGTTGCAAGGTGGCTTTCTAAGCAAGCACGCATGGCTCGGGCGCCGAATCGGCCCTGAGCAACCTCCCACATCCGACTGAGCATGGTCTCAAAGATAAAGTTGTTGTAGGGAGCACCAAACCGCAAGCAGCATTGAAGCACGTAGTTGCCATATTGATCAAGGAAGAGTGGAACAGTGTATGGACGAAGTGCGTCAACAATCATGTTCATCTGAGTCGGTGTCTTGGCAACATCAATGATCTTCTGTGCAGCCCAAGTTCCGTTCTTGTGGACACCAATTTCTGCAAGATGAGGCGCAATGTGGGAAAGCATCTGTTCTTTGGTAGACTCGGAGCAAAACTCAAAGAGCTTTTGCACAACGGTATTACCCAGATAATCAGAAGCCAGCTCTGCAATTTCAGGAAGCATTGCACCAGCCGTTTCTTCAATCTCTTGAATGGAGCAAGTATTAGCGTCGATTCGCTTCCGAATGTCACGGAGGCGAGGAGCATCAAACATCCGAGTCTGGCTCGGCTCCAGGACAGGAGGGAGTTCGTCTTCATAATTTTGGAAAGCAATGGCACTTCGAATGGTGTTCGTGATGTTGTGTGTGTCGTCATCGTTCGCCCCAAACTCCCGGACAATCTCCACCATTTCAGGCAAAAGTTCACTGAGGGCGGGGATCTGGGGAACAGAGCTGGTCTCTGCCCGGTCCAGGCCGTCACCGGAGGCAAGATTCGATTTGAAGGTGGAGTCGGGGGTTGGGGATGACTGGATACCATTTGCACCAGGAGTGCCTGTTGCAGAAGCACCAGGAACCTTGGCATAACCGATTCGGACAGGCCCGGCACCTGGGAAGATCTCCTTGCCGTTCAAGACCGACCTCGCCTGCACTGCACTTTCCAGACGCTCAAAGTTGACAAATCCACAGTTCTTGTGGGTCAGGACACGAGTGGACTCAATCTTTCCGTATACACCAAAAATAGCCTCGAGAGAAGTCACAGTTGTCGACACGGGAATACTGCCGATCCACAGCGCTCGGGTCGGTCCATCTTGATTGTTCTCATCTGCCATCTCACCGGGTGCCCGCATACCCATCGCAGCACCGTTTGCACCAAGTTGCAGCCCTAGGACAGCATCAGACAAGTCATCATAATCATTCTCCACCATGAGATCTTCGGCATTGAATGAGCTGTCTAGGCGTGAGGGAGTCGCGAGGTAGTTACGAATGGATGATCGGGTAGGTGGTGCCTCTAGGATGCCGGCAGTCCGGGCTCGAGGCCGGCTAACGGAAGCATGGGAGGCAAAAGCCTGGACAGCCAGATTGTGCTGGTGGATCTGGGCTTGCGTTGCGGCAAGTTGAGCAGCTGTCGCAGCGGCCGATGGGGTGAGAGTTCCCGAAGGAAGCTGGGAGTAGCGGCTCTCATATTCCATATCTTCGTCATCCGCATACTTCTCCTTGGCATTCACGGAATAAGACCGAAAGCGGTTGTTGTTTTTCATCATTGCCATGTCAGCTAGGAGTCCTGGCAGTCCTGGCGCGTGCTGTTGCTGCTGTTGCAAGAGAGCTTCCATCGATGGCCGTGCAAGAGACGCCCGTGCGGATTGGGGAGTCTCCGCAAGACCTAGGTAATCCAAAGTTCTATCAGAGTCCGTGAGTCCATCCCGCGAAAACGAAGAGTGACTGGGTGAAGTTGGATCTTCCGAAGACCGAATACTAGTCAAGGTTGAAGCACGATCGCGACCAGTCCCCCACGCCGGAGTAAACAGTGAAGAGCCGAAAGGATTACCTGAACCAAGCAAACCGCTCCTTTGAGGCATCGAGCCAGCCCGAAGACGAGAAAGCATGGCCGGGTTGGGTGCACCCGAGCTGGCGACTTGCGCACCTGTATCAATCCCAGAGACTCCTGGGGGGCGGAATGGACTGGTAGATGGTGTTGGCCGGGAGGTTTGCGAGATGAATGGCTGTTGAAGGTCCATTTCGTTGAGTGTCGCCATCGGGGGGAATCGGGAAGGCACTGTCCCAGCTCGAGCCCTGCGGCCAGAGCCCGACATGGACGCATTGGAAGTAGGAATCAGGTCGGGAAAACTATCCTGGCTAGGTGATTCGGGGATGTTCTCACGAAGCGGGGTTGAATGGCCGCTGGTTGGAGGGCCCCAGATATTAGGAGACACACCTTCTTGCGCTTGGATTTCACGCGCTCTAGAGGATCAAAGACACTTGGTTAGCTCGAGTCATCCCAGTTATTCCCTTCTTGTGGAGTACCTACCGCTTGGGGTACAAACGTCCACCCAACTCCGAGGGGGATCCAGCCCCCAGCCTCGCCGCACCAATCGACCCAGGGGGGCCAAAGGGCGCTTTCGCCGTCCCGGACCCAGCCAAGTCGCTAGGTGAGCTGCGCCCTGTCGAGGTCCCGGACAAGGGCTGAGAGGTGGGAATGTAGTTGAAACTCATCTGGCCTTCAGGTCGCGAAACCGGCAACATGATAATGTTGAATGCCCCACAGTAATGAGATCGCTTTATCTCTTATCACTCTATTTGTCCCAAGACAGATACCAAAGGGACTGACAGAGTTGATACTCGGATATGGGTTTCCTGCTTAGAACCGGGTGTGCGTAGCCTGCACCATGTGGTGGATTTCGAATCGAAGGAAGGTTGTTGAAGTGAAGAAGGGGATGAGACTCGATGAGGTTGCTTATGAGATAAAAATATCCTCTGTTCTGAATAGACTCCAAGGTCAGTTGGATTTATTTCAAGTGTACATATATGTATCGTCGGGGCGCGGAAACGGGGGAGGGGTTGACAAAGCACTTTCAGCTCAGCAGGAATGTGAAATGTCCAATGTAGAGATGGACCAGTGCTATTCAATACGACATCCCGGAACGAGAATACTGACCGAGAAAAAAAAATACCAGATGACAATCTTACAACGTTCACTGTGGGGTGAATGATGACCCAAAAAAAACGATGGAATCGAGGCGGAATCAAGATTCTCAGTTTCAATCACCTCCAGTGCGCCTAAGAGAGATGCATAAAATTGGGGTGGAAAAAAAGTCCAGACACAAATGAGCGTCAAGTGAGGACTAAAAGCCGACGGGATGATCAACGGGGGGAAGGGATCGAGGTGGCTGGAGAGGCACGTTAGTTTGCGCGGCTCCGGGAGGCAAAACACGGAAGGGAGAGGAAAATACCGGAGACAAATCGCATGAAATGCAGAGGGAAGAAATAGAAGGTAATAAAAGAAAGAGAAATAAGGAAGAAAGGTGGAGGTGAGAAGAGAGAGAAGGGTGGAAGAAGGAAAGAGAAGATGTTGGGGGAGATCCGGATGCTCGAGGGAGTTTGGTTGGTGGAGTGTGTCCTCCTTCAGCTTCATCTGCCCTTTTTGACTCACAATCCAATTGTTCTCTACCGTACGAGCCTCAATTCGCACGTGAACAGTCTAATGGGACATGATATTCTACAGTTCATGGTTTGTTTTCCTACCACCTAACTTTGTACACAACATCATCCCGGAAATCGGCAGTGGAAACACAGCCCCATCGATGTCATTTCTGGAGACCCAAATTTTTAGGTGTCTGCCGGGGAACCATAATTCATAGACTCTGGGGGAAGTACTACAGAGTACATCACATCTGAAACGATGGGAAGGGGCCCGTTCAATGTTCCCCTTGTCATCAGTATCGGAAAGCGCCCCTATCACAGCGTTATTATTTTTTCTTCTGCGACGTCTGGCATGCCATGCTCGGTGAGGACCAGTGGGAACCAACCGAAGCCCCGCATTCCACTGCGTCATGTCTCTTGAGACTCAACTGCGAAGACACCCAGATTCATGAAGATTTGCTGTGATGGGAGGAACTGAGTGATGCAATTGGTCATGCAAGGGGACTCTTATGCTGGTCCGAAACAAGTTCAAAGATTGGTTCTTAGTGGTGCGCCGCAAGGGATGGGTCAGGTACGTGTCCTAGATTTCGGGCGCTTGGGACGGACTGGTCATCACTTAACCACCGTGTGATCAATGCTAGGTTAATTCTCCATGTCATGCAGAATATACAAAGATGTACCTAACTAGCAGACTCCTGAGCCTGCCAAGCCTCGGAGAAGAAGTCGGGTTTAGCCTCGATACGGAACAACCGGGAGAGATGTGCAGGCACCGAACCCAATAGAATGGTGACCAACCGGAAGAGTTGCAAGTGTCAGTAAAGTATTAGTTTCTAGGAGAGGATATAAGTTTGGAGGACTTAGATAGTATATACTCCAAAATGCCGAATGTATGTACATACTAGGCACTCTACGTTCCTGTACAGTTCATTTGGACACGTGCACATATTGATCTTGGAGCCTGTTTCTTTAGGCACCAATACAGCCACACGCCACACTTGATCTTCATCTAGCGCCGCGGAGGATTCTCCCGGTCGCGTCTTAAATTAAATCTCCCGTGTCGACCATACGATTCGGTCCCTACATCATATACGTCGCCCCATAGACCTTAATCATGGCCGATATCTTGGAAACCGACCCAGACTCGACAATGCAGTCCTCAGAGGAGGAGGAAGCAGAAGTGCTTCCAGAGTCTCTGGTTCAAGGACGCGCAAAGCGAAGTACTGCAGGTCGACACATGTCCGCCCTCATCGATGCCGCCGCCGCCGAAGATGATGATCTGACCTTACTGTTCGAGGAAGTGGAAGATGACAACGAATTTGCAATGGATGATGGTGCTGAAGAAGATGATATGGGGCTGGACTCCTCATCAGACGACGAGGATGACCAGGGCCCCAATGCGAACAACGACTACGAAGGCGAGAAGGAACTACAAAAGACAGAGCGCAAAAAGCGTCGCACACAGAATGACCTCCGCTTTCAAACCCTCCGAAAACGCGTCAAGATCGATCCCACCGCTACAACTACAATCCCAGCACCTCCCCGCCCTAAGAAGAAGTCGGAGCGAATCTCGTGGCTCCCGACCGTGGAAGATGGTCCGACACGATCATCGTCACGGCGACAGACGATGGTTAATAAGGAAATGACACATGCTCGTCTCAAGGACAGCCAGGAGAAAAGGGTCCGTATAATTGCGACCATGAAGGAGGCGGAGAAACGCAAGGCCCACCTCAAGCCGAAACAGATGACACAAGAGGACCATTTGGCGGTGGCTGAACGGATCGAGCGAACCAATAGCAAGAGTTTGAATCGATGGGAACAAGCAGAAAGAAGGAAGGCAGACGAACGACGGGCGAAGATCGAGGCACTTCAGAACCGCCGACTGGATGGACCGGTCATGTCTTACTGGAGTGGATTGGCTACATGGGTGAATGGAAATCTCACACGAGTGGGCCAGGCGGATATCAAGGTCAAGGAGAAGGAGGCGCCCAAGAAGAAGAAGACAGACAAAGAGGAAAAAGCAGAGAAGGTAGAGAAAGCCACGGAACCTCAGGGCATTAGCAGTGCCCCAGGAACTGTGCCTCCTACCGATGTCTCTGTTGCTTCAGCAGCGCCTTCTCTTGCGCCCGCTGAATTAACCCATACACCATCTCAGCCTGACGGCACGTTAGCTCCAACGGTCCCCGAAGCCATTACAGCCCCCGAACCTGTTGACCAGGCGAACCAACCAGACGACAAAGCCTCGAAGCAAATCTCTCCCGATCAGTCAACAGTTCCAACAACGGAGTCTACTCTCCATCAAGAAAAAGATCGGGAGAATGCCGAAAAAAAGCCAGAAGCAGAGCCAGAGCAGAAACAGGAGAATGCCAACACACCTTCAGAACCCCCGCGAAAGTCTCCCCAAGGGTACCCCCTACCTGTCGTGGAAATTGTGACTCGACGTGACCCTGGTAGCGCTCCCAAGACCCCATCATCTGATGAATCGGCAAAGTTGCCGCCTACGAATAATGAGGATGTCATGGACATAGATAAGCCTGAGCCCCAGGCAGGCGAACCAACGACCAATGCCAACCCTCCCTCTATAAGCACAGACACACCACGGGCTTCAGACGTAGCCCAGAACAATTCTACCAGTGTATCAGGGCCCTTGGCGGGGCAGGATACATTGCAAGCTGTGACCTCTGTGACCACACCATTGGCCCCTCAGACCCTTCAAACCCCTCAAGCACCCGCCGATGCAGCAGCCCTGCCCGCGCCACCCGAGATTAATGCCATCGAAGGCCCAGTCCCTGGCTTAGAAGGCCCAAGTCAACCGCCTGCAATTAATGAAACATCAGCCCAACCTGATGTCCCATTGCCGCCACCAATCATTGAATACACGGGGCGCAACTTGACGATCCTCGAGAATTTTGATGATAAGACAGCGCACAGCAAGAAGTACAGCATCTACTTCAATGCCAGGCGGCCTGCACGACTAGCCAGTAAGTTTCTCCTCGTTTCTCAAGGTAGCTGGCAAAACTAATTCTTTTTCTTTTTTGCCAGAGATCTCGTCCTCCTTGTGTGTCATCACGTCATTACCATCTCGCTATCGTGATCCCGAGACCTCTCTCCCTTATGCCAACTCTTTCGCGTACGGGCAAATTCGAAATCTTCTATCGAAGGGGTACATCTGGAGTGCCATGCTAGGTTGTTTCGTAGGACCAGCAGAAACTGCCGCCCGCGGTGTGCCCGCCCGTTTTCTCGGTAAAGAGAAGGGTGCGGACGAACATAATAAAGAGCAGACCCCGGCCGAGTCTGCGGACAAGGCGGAACCAGTCAAGACCACTGCTACTTCGGCCGAGCCGATGGACGTTGATCGGTGAAGCCGTGGATGGTTGTCGACGAAAGTGAAAATGTACGATATGTCATACTGTATAGATACCCAATCCAATGTAATCCAAACACGCTACCGAAACAAGCTCAATTGTCAACATCATCTTTCTCCACATTGAATCATAGACTTGTTGAGGTCTGAAAACTTTGTTTTAGTGCGACCCCTCGACTGGTTCCTTTCCATGAAAGGCTCCGTCGTTGACCACCGGATTCTGCAAACTCTCCCAACCCTAACCCTCCACGCCCATTATGTAAATTGGTCTTATGCCGAGTGGAAAAGGTTCCCCCTGGGCGGCACGGAACACAACGGGAGTCAAAATAGACTGTCCATTCCATGGCCTTCGAAACAATAGAAAACTCTGAACACTCGTCTACTCTGACGTGACACACGACGCATCGAAAGCCCTACCACGCTCCACTCCACAAAAATTTGAGTGTACATAGCGATGTGGAAATGTCCGCTGACGCAATGTATATTTTTTTCCTTTTTTTCTTTTTGTGTGATTCTCCGGGTTCCACCCTGTTTCGAGAGTTTGGATTGTTTTGACGTCTTAGATCTCTGAAAGCAATTCTAGGCAACACTACGGAGTCTTTCTCCATAATGACTCCGCAGCCCCAGAGAGACCCAGCAACCCGAAACAGACCAACGTAAGATCGACAATTAGCATGATCCAGACTACCTGAGGGGTTTGTAGACAAGGCTCTGCAGAATCTGATTGACAGAACTCAGGTCTAGAATCCTTATCAAACGGGCATGGTGGCCAAGCAACACGCACCCTGCCAAGCACCCAAGCACGGACTCTACGTGTCAAGGGTGTGTCACAGTGAGAGTGGGGAAAGAATTGTTCTGGGGGTTCGAGAACGCCGATCTATTTTCGTGCCAGTTGCCTCCCAGGGCTGGCACGCCATAGTAGTCGTCATGTTCGGAGAATGTGATTCTATTTAGACATTGATTGAATTGATGGCATGATGTTGCGTGGGAATGTGTCTATAGGTGTGCAATGTCCCTGTGTGGAAAGTGTATCGACGTGATAACCTCTCGATCACGCCAGATCCGACCCCTCCGGAGATTGGCTCCCTGCCCTATGCAGGCTATGGCGCTATGCACACAAACCGGGATACCGGGCTGCAGAACTGCGTATCACTAGGGCACGGGCGCTACTTGGGGTTCTAGACTGGAATTGGAGCTCGAGCCTATTCGGAGGGTATGGGGGTATTCTTTTTGTACAGATCTTCTCAATTGCTGGCCCTGAAGACCTAGAACGAGAATGAAAGAATTGTATGTCGCAGTGTCTGTTGCGAGGTCCCACTGTGTTAAATATAGGAACAAATAGAAATTGAATAAAAAGGGAAACCATGACACCATCTGTTTGCGGAGACTGAGTCATCCAAGTCTGGACACATTGCGTGTACGGAACCTTGGAGGAGAGTGGGGGGAACACAAGGGCAGATCATCCGAAGTCTAGAACTTGAGCAGGTTGGATATTTATACTGGAAGGCCCCCTTTCTCCCTCATTTTATTTCTCCATAACTTTGTTAAACCCTCTTTCACATTAAGTGGTTTTTAGTTTTGCCCCTATCAGCATCCTATCAGACTCATTTTTCGATCGGTATGTCCATGCCCCTCGTTGGCTGCAAGCCCTTATCTTGTCCCCACCGGATGATAACCCGGGTGGTTCTCGTCAGAAGAAGTGACACAGACTGACCAGCCTTATCAGCCATTCTCCCTGTGTTTCCTAGAGAACATACATATTTGCCGAACCCCAGGAAAAAAAAAAGAAAAAGGGAAAAAATTCTTGAAACAAGGAAAATCTTATTCATCGATCTGAGAATTCCTAAGCGGTCAACATAATCCCTCGTGCTCCCCTTTCCCAACCGGACTCCACTTCCAGTCCAGGGCGCAGGGTACACAAGATAAGATAGTGAGGCATTTGAAAAGAAGCCATTCGGCTTCACCGCCATCCATATGACTCAGTCAACTTCTCACCGTCGTTCTCCTTCTGTTCCCCATAAGTCCAAGTCGTCTCGTCCAGGTCTACACCGGAGAGGCACATCAACGGTCAACGTCTCCATCTCTAAGCTGGGTGCTGGCTCTGGACATACTCGGGGAGCCAAGGACGACGACGAATTCGACATGGCGGCCAGTTTTCTCAACTTCTGGTAAGTTTTGGATTGTTTTTTTTTTCTTTCACATTTGGGTTTGCATAAGACTCTTATCAGTGGCCCCTGCAGGGGCTTCCTGTCCTTGCATGCCAATTGCCGTCATCGGCCTGGTTGTATACTGTAAATTTTGAAATAAAAGGCTAACCCATCCATAGTGCCATGTGCGAGAACCAAATCACCGTCCCCAACAACTCCATTCTCTACTGCAGTGAAAGGTACGTGCCATGTCTCAGTACTCCTATTTTGTCCTATTTATAGGACATGGTTCTCCCTCACCATTTCCATGACACTTCCTATACTATCGTTTACTGTACTCGAAACATCAACTAATTCCCATCCAGCTGTCGCCGCAAAGACTCCTGTAAACCTCTTTCCGCCTCAATGCCCTCAATGACCAACATGTCTTCCATCACCACAACTCCTCCTCACTCTCCCCCTCTCTCCCCACGCACCATCGTGGCCCCAATGACGCCTACTCGGCCTATTCCAGGCATCAGGATACCCGACTACATGCATGATGGCAAGTCAGATCTTGACCCCACCGAATGGAAGCCAGTATTACTGTCCACCCGGTCCTCCACCTCCCTGGCATCCTCCGATGCCTGGAACTACCTCTCCAAGTTCCACGGTGGCAATGAGACCCTTCTAGCCCGCCGTGCGGCTCGCAGCACCGCCAGCCTCCCCGCTCTAGTCGGCGACGCCGGAGCAAACGGAGCCCACGTGCCATCGTTGACGCACACCCCGTCCACCGTCGCCAGCTCTTTCAGCAGCGCGGCCTCCGATGACCTCGGAAGTATGTACGAGGTTGCGTCCGGACCGGCTCAGCGTCCTTTGCCGCCGCGTCACAACCCGTACTTCGGAAGTATGACGGCTGCTCACAAGAGCAAGGGCGTTGACCTCGTTGTCCCTCACATGGGTCAGGATGATGTTCCCGTGGAGGTTGTTGATAGTGCCGATGTCTGGGAGGATGCGCATGAGCGTACTCAGAAGACGGCGCCGATTTCGATGATGCGTGGCGGCGGGTCCGCGCGTGTTCGTTCGGCTTGATGGATATACGAAAAATTCTCTTCTTGGATGAAACCGGCTCTTGGTTTCTTTTTTGGCTTTTATTTACTTGATGTATCCCTCTGAGCGTGAGGAGATGACTTTTATGGATTTGCTAGATGGAACTTGATCTCTTATTTGGATGGTAGCAAATAGATTATAATGATGGCAACAATCATACATTTGATTCGAAAACTGTATCTTGCTCTTAGTATATTGAGATATACGCAACGACCACGATCGAACGATATTTGAGGTGTTTGGTAGACGGAAGACCTAATTCTATCTAGATTGCTACAAGTAGATAGGTATACATTGGAGTTAAACCATAATAGGAAACAACCATTGTGCCCAATGGTGCCGATGAAACATAACGGATTATTTAGTGTTTACCCATGGCAAATGAATAGATATCGGAACATTCAAAGATAAGAATAAGGTTGTAGAATTGAATATAAAAAGCAACGTACCTAAAGTGGAAACAGATATCGGAGTAAAAACACCACCAAATTGAACCAAATACAGAATCCCCAATATAAAACAACATATTCATACGAAAATAGCCAATCACCCTATCGCCCCACTGAGTCTAGGAAACGCCCCGAACCGGGGTATATAAAATCTTGAACTCCGGATGGGAGGGTTGGATACTACCCAACCGCGGTAACCAACAACATGGCATGATTCAAAGTTCTCAAAGGTGGCAACTTAAGATAAGATGCGTTACCATCAAGCATAGATAACATCCAGCTCTCCAATGGAAGAGTCGAAAACCAAGATAAAAGAAGTAAAATTAAGCTCGGTTTAAAAAACTTAAAAATCAGGCGAAGTGACGCAGCACGTGTAGCAACCTGATTGATCATTGTAAACAGGCGAAGACTAAATGACCTCGGTTAGTTTGACCAATCCAATACATCCATAACCAGCTAAAAGATCATAAACTCACATATGGCTTGGCACAGTTAGCCTTCTCAGGACTCTCATAGCACTGTCCCAGACAGAACCCATTGCCCTCATCAACACCATGCGACTTCTGAGGCAGAGCGGGCGCGACATTGGAACCAGGTGCCATAGGGTTCCCAATAGGAGCGATACTCTTGCCACCAGGCGCAGCATCAGGGATAGGAGCGACGTTTCCGTCGACGTTGTCCGGTGCATGCTCGTACTCAGGTGTAGTGGGAGTAGCTGAATTGGCACTCCCGGTTCCACGCTGGGGACTCATCATCAAAGGTGGGGATCCATCGCTGCTCGAGTCCTCGCCGTGTGTCTGGGTGAAACCGTTACCGTTTCCGCCATGATATCCACCCTTCTTGGTTGAGGCCCCGTTGTAGCTGACGGAGTCGCCGGCTTTGGGGATACCTGCTGGAGCGGCGAAGCCCTCGTGCGGGTGGGGTGCGTGGAGGCCATGGTTTACGCCGTGAGCAGCACGGGCGGAGGGGGTTGCCGATACAGAGTAGGGGATTGAAGCAGAGGCAGAGTAAGAGGCGTGCATCGACATGTGCATGTTGATGTAGTGGCTTGCAGAGGAAGATGCCATGGGAGTCATGTAGTAGTGGTGGTTGACACCGTGGCTGTATGCCGGACGCTGGGGCATCATTGAGGATGAGGGCTTTGCCACGGACTGCTGAGCCGCCATTGAGGGTGTGTATCCCTGTTGCCCGTTAACGCCGCCGATGTTGCCATTTTGTTGGCCCACTGGGATCGGGACGGAGCCCAGTCCATAGGGCATCGGGATGGCTTGGGCTTGGGTTTGGGCTAGCACAGTGGCTACGGTGAGAAGGGAGTAGCGCATCTTGGTGGGATCTGCTCTCTTTTGATGAAACCCTTCCAGGTGATGTTTCAAATTGATGTGTATTTGGACTGGCGGTGCCGCTTGGTGCTGCAGCTGTTGTTCGTTAGTTAGTTGTCGTTACCGATGGTCGATTGTCGAGGATGTCGAAAGTTGAGTTGGAGGAAGAAGTACTGAAGGACTAATCGAGGACATATTCCTGTACTGATGTGTTGATTCCAAGGGGTATGTTTTGGTTGCACGTAGGGGCATAGTTGGATTGCGCGGCGTGGAATGCAGGTACACAGTGTACATCAGCCGCACCCTCTTTGCTATTATCTGCAAAGTTCATCTCCAATTAGATCGCGAGATTAGGCTTCTTAGTACAATTTACTTCTCAATGAGGTCAGTGTTCAAAATAACGCGTGTGCTTAACCAATTCGATGCTTGATTCCATTTACTTTGGACTTGTGGAGACTCCATGTCCTACCCTAGTTTGATATATTCTGGCCGACATTCCATGGTCCCAGTACCGAGTTAAGGCGATACGTCATTTCAACATGTTATTTCAATGAAGTAGCTCATTTGCTATTATATTCTGTAGGGAGCGCGATTTGTTGTGGATTTGGTTAAATTGAACAGTCAATGAGAAGTACTGTATTCGACAAGCTTCGTACATACTGGGAATGTAACCTGTCATTAGTTGCTCACATGACTTTTGAAATCTGACAAGCTGCTAAATAGGTCACATGGCCTAAACGATCATTAGGGACATCAATGTATCACAGATAATTTGAAAAGATCAATGGCTGAAACCAGCAAAATTAATCAAGATCATGTTAAAGTGTAATCATGATACAGACGGTATGCAGCCGTGGCTGAACGCCTCATGTGCCACGGTACTAAAACAAAGTCGCGTTAGTGCCGGGATTATCTCGGCTACTTGTGGCGCCGGGCATGTCTCCAGGCCCCAGATCAAAGCTTAACTCTTGATAGTAGAACAGAAAGATAGATCCCAATAGTCGAGGCACTGAGAAATACCTCCCTGCGAAGTTTCAAGATATTAGCAGGCTGCAGTATTTAAAATACGCCACTGGTTGCACATTTGAACACTATTCATGGAAAGCCGGAACGCCCAACGGCCATGTTTGGTTGATCACAGCCTCTGACCAGCTCATTTTGTCTCAGGCCGGTAGATGTATGAGATTTATTCATGATTCCTTGTAAAATGACTGCGTGTGATATGCTGCCGCTGATAAAACCAGCTGTCACTGGTCTTAGAATCGCTGGTTTGGGACAGGTACTTGTTCCCATGTACTTTTAGCTTTAGCGCTTTCGGTCAGCTCCAAAGTCAAAGTAAGTTGAAAGCCATGCACTACATTAAATGTGCTACCTCGGCTCAAATAGTTGAGGTCGGTATCCCCTTTGCGAATTTGCAAAGAAGTGTAGGACAAAGTTGACTGAAACAGATCTTCCGGGTGGATCAGCCGCCGGAGCTGCAGAGTGCAGCAAATTCGGGAGCCGTACAGCAAGACAAGAAAACCGTCCGTTAGAGCCCATTCAGTCAGTGACGATTCATCACAAAGCCACAGCAGCTGAAACCGAGTTCAAATTCAGCCACGAGGGCTCGTTGGTTCCGGCTATCCGGAGACCTTTTCCTCGGCCTGTTGCTTTCTTCATTCTCCTTAAAAGACATGCTCTTAACATAGCAGAAGCCTCCACGGCGTTACAACGGCGCCTCCCGCGTGAGGGGCCCCTCAGGTCATCAAGCAAGTAAAAGCATTGAATCATTCCGGAATAGATCGATCCCACCAACGCAATCCCATCTTCCCCATGCACGGCCTGGTCCAGCATGTCAATCTGACGCCTGTTTTGGTCGAGGGCAACACCAGGGTGGAGCCGTGGCCCCAATAAATTCGCCAGGAACCTTTTTCCATGACGGAAGCCAATTGCCGCCACAAGGGAGGAACATGTTAGGGTTTTCTCTCCTATCCTCTTCTCGCGCTTGGCAGAGAAACAGCATCTCTACCCAGGGGCGTAATTGTTCTTCAATTATTAGGAAGCGGTTAAAACTCAAGTGAGGGTTGAGCCGTTCCGATCCTTTGCTGAGCATCCGAGTGATGGAAATGAACGTCACGATGTGCCTAGGATGAGAGCCTGTAGCTTTGGGTATCCAGAGGCTTCCAGTCCTTTGAACCCCATCACACAGCTGCATCAATATCCCCTAACCACGAACCGAGACCATCACTGACACAAATAGCCAAAGACCCATTGAAGAACTCAGAGGTCTTTTCAAAATGAATGCATCAGCAACCCCTGGTCCTGAATGGAGTCATCACTGGCGCTGCAAGGCCCTTGGCTGAAATTTTACTTGCCGACCGGATTGCGTGAATGAGGTCTCCGCCACCGAGGAGAGCCACACGTTACTGACCTTATTGACCGTCCTAGACAAGTGCAGTCCTCGACCCAAGTCGCTCTTTGCAAGCTGGAGATTGATAACCATTTGTCGGCCACGACACGTGGGCCTTCCTATCCTGCAAATCGACACCCATATCCGTACCAGAATCCTCAAGGAACACGATACCTTTCTTCCTCTGATCGACTTCCAAAGAGTGAATATCAACATCGGCAAGGCACACATTCACAGCTTGCCCTCAACAGGCTATGCACCGAATGGCCACCCTGGACAAAATAGGACCGACTCTTCTCAATGATCGTAGCTGCCCCAGTATCGGTATCGAGATGGTCACAGGAACCAGACTGATGCCCTATTACAGGCTCTGATGGAATCAGTCATGGACTTTCGAAAACGACTGGGTTGGCATCTTCGTTGGTCATCATAGGGCGCAGCCGTTTCCTGCCAAAGACACCCAACTCGTCCCAGGTGCCAGGCTACTCCAGTGTCGATGACGGAAAGGTCTATCAAATGGACATCGTCTATAGACCCTTCTCATGTGGGCGATTGTACCTCACTGCGCCTCTTATGACCTATCTCGATGCACCCAATGCATCTCACATGGACTCTTTATCTATAGCTCTGAACTTGGGCAGGATAAAACGTCGTATTTCGTGAAGATATTTCTCGCGAACAAGAATTTCCACCCATGAATGATGATGCCAAATGAGAATTAAGGGGCATGAGCGGAAGGGCCGATTTGAGGATACACGTCGCAAGGGAATTCGAGCTTCAAGATTGCAATACGGGCTCAGAGTGACGATGCAGACGCGCCTGCCGGAGTCGACGAATTATGTTGTGCTGTGAAAAGAAGAAGCGAGTCAGCAATAATGTTGAGGTGAAAGGCCCAAGTGTCCAGCCACTTATCCAGGACTTCATGGTTGATTGCATCCCTGAAGGACTTCAGGGTACTGCAATATCTCGCTCTCGTCCACTTTGCGAAGACTCACCAACATTCAATTAGCTGAAGCCAATGGAACTTATGGCTTGAGAGGTGAAGGAGGCTATCGATGGATACTCGGCAAGAAACGCTCGATGACCGACTCCCGTTGGACCCTTGCTAGCGAACAACAGCGAGAGCATTCGGTGATCATGCTGCCCAGGCAATATCATTTCAAGGTTCTAATGGAACCAGCCTCAACACCATCCTCCCCTGTTGTTCTGTGATCTCCTCGATGGTGAGCTGTCTTTGGGGTCGATGGTCTGCGCGATCTGTCCCTAGAAGATCAAGTCAATACTAAACGAATCGCATCAGTCGACTGCTTTCCTTGATACTCCTAACATATGGGGCGTATCCCTGTGACGTGGTAAGCACCACAAAGAAGTATGCTGCAGGGTCATCAATCTTTCATGATACCAGTGTGATTGCAAGGCAATTCCATCTGCTTGGATCCGAAACGACCCCGATCCACGCAGGATGGCCCAATAAGAATCTCGGGACCAACATGCCCAACCAATCACCGCGTTTATTATCGGGACCGTCCAAAATTTAAAAGCCCCATCGAATGCCACATGAAGCCAAATGCGAAGACGTGACGTCCCAAGATGGATGGTTGTCGATACATCGTGGGTCCGAGACGGAAGGAACCATCGTCGATTGGTCGGTACATTTCTCCGGAGCCGACGAGAGCCTACGATTAGTGAAGAATCACCAAGACATAGATCAGGCTCTCCATACAAACAAATTTGTGTTCTTATTTGCGCTCGGGACACCGGAGAAATTCACGATCCCAGGGAAATGCACCCGCTAAGCTCTCATTGATCGAGACGATTCACCTTGCCGAGCCAAGTGTGTCGTACTTAGGCCATGGGGCATCGATCTCTGGTCTGGCGGGGAGAATCGATCAGCTCGGGATCGAGAGTTTTCCTTTTTGGCTCCCGCCTTTTCCTTGAAACTCTCCCTTGACTTAATCTTCGTCCTTGATTTTATTTTGATTTTCGGGTTCTCTCCTACGCTGCAGAACATTGCTTCTTACCTGAGTGGGGATCGCTCACAAGTACTTGCAAACTGTATGGCCGACCGCGTTCTGCCCTTTACCCATTTCCCGCCCGTTCAATGAACCTCATTTCTACGTTTCTTCTGTCCTTGCATATCTCCCTTTTCCAGATTCATTTGATTCTATTCTACTCACCCGTTTCTACGTGCTATCTTTTCCCGTACTGACTGTCTTTCTAAAGACGTCTCTGGCCTTCCCAAGAACAACCCATAGAGAGGGGTATCTTGTCCAGACATCCTAGCAACGTGTGACAGCCTCAAATCTGAGCCCATCGGGTCTTTTTTCCGTAGATTACTTTGACGACATCCGACACCATATGTCAAACCGACGCCCAACGAACGATGTGCCCGGTAGCCAGGGAAGCCCGGCACGGGACGAACGAAGGCAGCAAGCCTCGTCAGCGGGTACCCCGAGGTATGTAGCAAGTTCCATCAGTTGCCGTCTGTTTCTATCCGTCGTCTTCTCTCTCAGAGATGGCGCCGCTCTTTTTATGAAGCAGAAAGACACCAGCGATACACATTATATGCTGGCACAGTTTGTGTGATCTTCAGGCTGAAACATCGCCCAGCCTGGGTGGCTCGAACAGCAGCGGCACATCTAGCGGCACATCCAGCGCAAGTCTAGGTCGTGAACCCCACGAAATAACCCACTATCGCTCCCTGGTCAACAAGCTGTTGGACTTCATCGCTACCGGGGATGAGGAGTCGGTGGCCCGCGTCATCTCCACGATTCGCACCGGCGCCTCGCACGACCAGATACTCGAACAAATCGCTCAATATTCCGCAGACTCTGGCTCTGCGAACGGGAACACTAACGGTGCTCGTCCTGGTCGTTCTTGATGAAGGTGAATCCTTGTCGAAACTCCCGAGTTTCCAAACTTCAGGTTCCCTTGAAGAGAGGCTTGTTGGGGGTTGAGAAAATGGGCGCGAGTGGAATGCCATGCTGGGTGAATGGTGCCACAGATTGAATCTTAGACTTTGACGAATGATGAAAGTCCTGCTGTTGATTTGGATTGATATGATTGGGTACAATGGGAAAGCGAGTTTAAACAGTGGCGTGGACCGACAGATGGCAGTTGATATAGCCCTTTTGTCTTAATTATTTTCGCAAATGCGCGACTGGCTTTGCTTGAATGGTTCCGTGTACTCCAGACTCCTTGGATTACAGACTCCAGAGATGGACGTTGCAATAGTACGCCCAGTACGAGTACCTATATTGTTAATTTGCCGCAGTATTATCCAGAGCGGGAACTTGAGGCTTGTGGCAAACAAGCCATAGAAACGGGATAAACTGACCGTCGGAGGGTGAAAAAGCTCAAATCACATGGACGGAGTCAGGTGCCATAATATGGGACGTGAGGGGAACATTTGCCCCTGATATCATCGACCTCGCGAGTGATGAGCTTCATCCATGGACGGCACATGCGCTATGACGGATCTAGGGCTGGTCAACCCCAAAAAGAAAGCTTGAGTACACGTTTGCCATCGAGCAACGGCAGGAACCTATAAGGAGCGCGTTGCAACCCGTGGCCAGGTTAGACCCGAGACATCATCTGCCACAGCATCGAATCAAAAACGAATCAGGAAAGCTGAGAGTATGATTGGAAGCTCCTCGGCATGAACAAGAACGCGAAACCCACCAATATGTGCAGTTATTAACCGAGGGTCCTCTCTTCACATAGGCGTACAGAGCCGAAGGAAATCAACTCTTCACTGTACTACATAACATCAGAAAAAAGAACAAAAAATACAGATGACATTAGATCTGCACAAGGCTGAAATAGTCTTCGTCTCGTCAAATGCCCTTGACGGCGGCTCGAACTCAAAACGGAGAAGCGGAATGGCTCCTGTGGGCTGGTACGGATTCTATCTCCGTGCATTTGGAGCAATGGCATCACAGCCTGTGGAGCATGTCTGCCTCCCTCTGTGCGACCAGTTATTCGTCAGCTTGCAACCCTTTCTTTCCTGCAGCCGTGCACAGACTCGGCTTCCCTAGAGCTTGGTGATGTTTTTCTTCCACTGCTGCGTGAAGGTGGACTGTGCCTGGATCGTGTTTGTGAAGGAGCACAGATGTAGCCAAAGCAAAAATGGCTCCCCAGCCGATCCATAGGGGAAACTTGATGATCGGCCACTGCGGCTGTGTCTAGGGGATGGCGACAGGTCTTGTCTATGCGTTTGGGTACTTTGTTCTTGGTCTACCTACTATCTTGAGCTAGCAGGGACGTGTTTATGTTTTGCATTTCGCAGCAATCTGTTCAAGAGATGACACCGGTCACCGCTACTTCAGTTCCTTCAGTTTCAGCTTCAGCTCCAGTTCAGGATCCCCGATCCGCGTCTAACCCCATCTCATCTTCCTAGAGACTGCAACGCACGACAACTACCGAACGCTGCCGACTCGAACCGACTCGAACCACAATTGCCCTCTCCTGTTGTCGACCATGTGATTCATGATTCACCACTCTAATCTGCTGCATCAAGGATAGGAGTAGCGACAAGGGCGAGCCCCCCTGCTCGTACTCGCTCCAATCACTCGTAGCAGAGACCGCGACCAGCCAACTCCAGCGTCACAATTAGCAGCACTATCCAACTTTAAAGCTATCAAGGCTTCACCACTAACACTCGTGCCAGATCACAGATCCCACGCCGCACCAGAAACCCTAAGCCTTCACAATACCATATCGGCGTTACGTTTCCAACACGTCTACATCCACATCGAAGCCGCAACTACTCCATGCAGCCCCAGCCTGAACTGGGGTTCCAAGCACCAGGTTCTCGGTCAACAAGGACACATCTTTATCAATACGTCCTTTGGAGACCCGGTCTAGGCTAGTCTTAGCTATGTCTCCAGGAATCGATCACTCGACCCGACCAACATGGACTAGCTAACACTTGTGTGTGTAACGGCCGGACTGGCAGCCAGCTCGGGTGGATATCATTGCATTTACGCGTTCATGTCGTGTCACTTAACTTTCTTGCCCTTCATGTTCGGTAGGGATAGAATTTGGATGGCTGATGCTGCTGTGTACCATTATGAGAGTAAGTGGATATGAACTGACTTTGGACTTTTCCGGACTGTATGTCAGGAAGGGTAAAAGAGAAGAGTAATGGATTGGTCAAGTAACCTCCAAACTAATGCCACCACCTAGGCAAGTTCATCATTTCCCATTACGCGATCTTGTTGTGCTCAGATTCATGACCGATATCCAAGGCACAGCAGAAAGAGAGCCTACGTGGAAACCTCCTGTATCTATCCCATAGCGGTAAAGATGGCTTGGATAAGGTGATCACTGAACGCCTTTGCTCGAATAATTACGTACTAGTGAATTCAGGAATGCAAACAACTTGAAATGCAATGTTCTAGCAAAAGGAAATTCTTTATCTCGTTGATCCAGCCCATTTTTGATATCCTAAATATAAATCCGAAATCTGATGCAATCCCTAGATCCTCAGAACAATATGTGAAACTTCACCAGCTTACGGGGTGCAACGGCTAGTGAAGCGAGGGTACAACGAGCAATCACGGACAGTGTAGCGAGCGCACAACCAAGCCAGGAAACGCTCCAGACCGAGTCCGTAACCTCCGTGGGGAGAGGTACCGTACCTATTTGATGTTAGTAAAGAATTGCAAAGAATAGAGTAAGTCACGGGTCAAACTTACTTGCGCTGGTCAGTGTACCAGTAGTAAGGCTTGGGGTCCATGCCCTCGTGCTTGTAGGCGTTCATCAACTCGTCCCAGTCGTCCATTCTCATACTGCCACCGACGATCTCACCAACGCCGGGCATGAGCACATCAACACTCTCAGTGACGCGGCGGTCCTCGACATCCTTCTTCATGTAGAAGGCCTTGATCTCGGCGGGGAAGTGGGTGAGGAAGATGGGCTGGTTGATGATGTCGGTCATACGACGCTCAGCAGCCTCGGCAATGTCATCACCGAACTTGTGGGGTTCACCCTCCTCGTTGGGGATTTCGTGCTCAACCAACCAGTCAATGGCATCGGAGTACTTCATGCGGCGGAAGGGACGCGATGGGGCCTTGAAGTCAGGGTTGAGCTTCTTAATGAAGGCGGCGATCTCAGGCTCGGCCAGGGTCAAGTCAATGACACGGCAAATCATTGCCTCGAGGTGGTCGAGCAGATCAGTGAAGGTGATGAAGTCCAGCTCGGCCTCAATGTGAGTGTATTCCGACAGGTGGCGTCGGGTGAGCGACTTCTCCGCACGGAATGAGGGGCACACACAGAAGACGTCACCCAGGGAGGGCAGACAGGTCTCCAGGTACAGTTGGGAGGACTGGGTCAGGTAGGCGTTCTCGCCGTAGTAGTCGAAGCCGAACAGAGTGCTGCCACCTTCCACCTGGGTCTGGACCATTGCCGGAGGAGTAACCTCCAGCATGCGGTGCTCCTCGAAGGCCTTGCGGAAGGCACGGAGAACAGCAGCACGAACCTTCATCACGGATGACGAGGTCTCTCCACGCAGCACTAGATGGCGGTTGTCAAGCAGAGTCTGAGGGTCGGCGTCATGCGCCACGCGGTTGGTGATGGCCTCCTTGTCACCAGCGGCCTTGCCAATGATGGTGAAGAAGTCGGCGTGCAACTCACGGTCGTTGGGGGCGTGTTGCTTAGGGGGGACGGCGCGCATCTCACCGTGGATGGCCATAGAGGTCTCCAGGGTCAAGGTCATGATATCGAAGGTCTTGACCATATCGCCGGTCAGGATACACTGCAGGTATCCGTAGCCATCAACCAGGGTGATGAAGACGTAATCCTTTTGCGCACGCATGCGGTGAACGCGACCAAGAACACGAACCCGGGTACCCGGAGCATCAGACTCGGGGGTGCGCAAGCTCACGACCGCCGGGTCAACGTTGTCCAAGCGAATGCGCACAGGCTTCGGCAGCGAGGCATCCTCCTTGATAACAATCTTTTTGGCCTCCTCCAGAACGGCCTGGCGCTTCTCAGCCTCTGCCTTCTCCCGGATGGCCAGCTCGTGCTCCTTGGCAGCCTTCTTCTTGCGCTGCTCAAAGAGGTTGGTGGCCTTCTTCATGGCGGACTTGGAGGCGGGCTTCCACTCCAACTTGGCAGCCGGGTCCACATCCTCACCCGCAGCATCGGTTTGAGACTTGCGAGTCAGGTATTGGATGCCCTCGGTGGTGGGCTCGTGGTTGACCATCGCATGCAAGAGGGTCTTGTAGGGAGCGGCCTCGGTGCCGGTGGCGGTGGAATCGTCGTGGCCGACGTCCTCGTCAATGTAGATAGAGGGAGCCATGATTGCGGTTGAAATGAAATGCAAATCAAGAATGCGCTCTAGCAATTGAGTCTATAGACAGAAATTTGGGGGGAGGACGGATGCTGCGGGCAAATTAATATAGGGTCTCATTTGTGAGTCATCGCATTGGGAGATAAGGGGATATGCAATGCAAGATAAAGCGCCCATCGAGAATGCGTACCACACGAGACAGTTCCAATACCAATTAACAGGGGAACAATGGCACCAGGCCGATATGGAAATCACAGGGTATTGGATCGAGATGAGAAAGTTGGAGGGGTAAATTTCGATGCCACTTCCCCACATGCTGCCTCAGGCATCAACGGAGGGTTGAACTCTTTCCGTGAGTTTTATCTTTTGACATTCGGCATTAAGCCTGAATCGGATCAACTTAAAATTCTCGTGACTAGGTATATTTCATCAGATTATCGATCACTAGATCTATTTAATTCTGTGCAGTTGAAGTTGACGCTGTAGATTGGGTTGATATAAGCATAATTCATCTGGTTGGTCAGCATCGATCTAGTGCATCTATCATGTTATAGATGCAGAATGCCTCCGGGGCTGCATATTCGGCACAAAAAAAAAAAAAAAAAAAAAAAAAAAAAAACAAAAGAAACACCTCCACGGTCACGACGTATATCGAAAGCAGTCTAGTGCTAGTTCTCCAGTTCGCATGCCAGGGGCGCCGAGTGGACTGTGATTGGTGGGGCCTGATCCAGTTCTGCAGGAGCCACGGAACGTTGGTTTGGGGGTGTAAACAGTGATATCAGGAGAAGATGGATGATTCGAATAAGCAACGGGGGATCATGGGGGACAATGATTTCCGATGCCCAATACATGTTCAACAGGAGATATAGATCAACATTCTATCTCGTGGGGAATATAGAAATGAAGAATGATGGGTGAATGGCCCCCTTTGCTTGGTGCTTGTCTCGTTTCTCCTTTTTTTTCCCCTAGAATTCGGGCAATTTACCTTTCCTCTTTCCCCCCTTTTAAACCTTTCATACCTTGCTGGGACTCACCTTCATCCTTACCTTTTCGTTCTTTTCGTTTTCGGTTTGGTTTCGGTTCAACACGTAAATATCTCCTTTCCCCACTCCTCCTTTTCCTCTGATCTCATCTCATCTCCCCCTTTTTACCTTGTACTCTTTGGGACTTTGTCCACTTATCCATTTCCAGCTAATGACTTGATCTCTTAGTCTTTTTTCTTTTCTTCTCTTCTCCTCGGCTCCGCACATCTGCAGGGTTGTTTCTTTTCAGGTATATACCGTGTGACATTCCCTTTTTTTTTTTTTTTTTTTTTTTTAACAAAAAAAAGTTTAGCCGCAGGTTCGTCTCTATCCCCTTGGCCCCGATCCTTAAATGCACATTCCAATTGACATGGTACTAGACACGTCGCCTGGAGAAAGAAGCTTCGTTCTACGCGCCGAACCTTTTTTTTTTCTATTCTTTGCTCTCCTTTCCCTTTCTACTCCCTAAACCACCCCGGTGCACCCCCTGAATGGGAATCTGATATATTTGGATTGCCTTTCCCCCCTTCGGTTTGGACTTCACCTAAACCCCTGAGGGCCTATTGCTTTTGGGTATCAGGTGGATTTTTGCCTCGCCATGCAAACCTCGGATGCATCGAGCATCCCGAACAATTCGCGTCTAATCCCGCCTTCCAAATACAACTTGAACGGTGACACCGGCTTCTCCCACGGCGCCTATCACTCCAACCAGAACCCACAGGGCTTCTCCAACCGCTCGCGTCGCGCCAATATCCCTGCTATAAATACCGCCGCCGCCGGTCAACCCGCCGACATGAATTCCGGCTTCGATATGAATTTCACTCCCCTGCTGCCGTCGCAGTTGCTCGTTGGCAGTCCTTTCCAGCCTGGAACCCCGTCCGCCTTTGCGTCCCCCCAGTTTGCGAATTTTGGTGGCTTCCCGCAAGCCAATGCCAACGGCCACGGTCAGAACTCCCACCTGGGCAGTCCGACCCAGGGTATGCAGGGCATGCAAGGTATGCAGAACCACGGTCTATACGGCGGGATGATATCGGATGGTCTGGGCGCGCCACAGTTGCTGAGCCCCCAGTCGCCTATTAATGGCCTGGGTGGACTTGGTAGTGCGGCTCTCGGAGGTCCTGCGTCATCCGTCTCGCCGGGAATGATCTCGGGGACCAGTCGTACCGTGTATTTGGGAAACATCCCCGCTGAAACAAGCGCCGAGGAAATCCTAAATCACGTGCGGAGCGGGCAGATTGAGTCGGTGCGTCTTCTGCCCGATAAGAACTGCGCGTTCATTTCTTTCTTGGATAGCAGCTCCGCCACCCACTTCCACTCGGATGCCATCTTGAAGAAGCTGGCAATCAAGGGAAATGATATCAAAGTAGGCTGGGGCAAGCCTTCGCAGGTGCCGACCTCCGTTGCGCTGGCGGTTCAACAGTCTGGCGCGTCCCGCAATGTTTACCTTGGAAACCTCCAAGAGGAGACTGTGGAAGATGACTTGCGGGAGGAATTGGGTAAATTTGGCCCCATTGACACCGTTAAGATCGTCAAGGAAAAGGCAATTGGTTTTGTCCATTTCCTGTCCATTAGTCATGCCATGAAGGCGGTAGCTCAGCTTCCCCAGGAGCCACAATGGCAGGCCCCCAAGCGCGTGTTCTACGGCAAGGACCGCTGCGCATATGTCTCCAAGACTCAGCAGCAAAATGCAGCACAGTTCCTGGGAATTGCGCCAGGTTATGCGCATGTGCTGAACTCGGCAGACCGAGACTTGATTTCAAATGCGCTCGCCCAACAGTCCGTCGCGGCAGCTGCGGTAGCCACCACAGCGGGCGGCGTCAGCAACTTGGGCAACCGAACTATCTATCTTGGAAACATTCACCCGGAAACCACAATTGAGGAGATTTGCAATGTAGTTCGGGGAGGTCTTTTACACCACATCCGTTATATCCCTGACAAGCACATTTGCTTCGTGACCTTTATAGATCCTACCTCAGCCGCCTCCTTCTACGCCCTCAGTAACCTGCAGGGTCTGATGATCCACAACCGAAGATTGAAGATTGGTTGGGGTAAACACTCAGGTCCGCTCCCACCTGCGATTGCACTGGCAGTGAGCGGTGGCGCATCCCGAAATGTGTACATTGGCAACCTAGACGAAACTTGGCCTGAGGAGCGCCTCCGCCAGGACTTTATGGAGTATGGAGAGATTGAGTTGGTGAACACCCTGCGCGAGAAGAGCTGTGCATTTGTGAACTTCACCAACATCGCCAATGCCATCAAGGCCATTGAGGGCATGCGCAATCGGGAGGAATATAGGCGGTTTAAGATCAACTTTGGCAAGGATCGTTGTGGTAACCCTCCTCGCCAGGCTGGTAATCAAGGCCAGAACTCACAGAACCGCACTGCTTCTGGTCTGGAAGGACCCCAGTCTCCTCCGGCCCTGAACGGATTCCAGCAGAATCTCAGCCAGTCAGGATCCCAGTCAAGCCCAACCCGCCCTGCTCTGTCCCCTGCACCTGGCTCCACTGGCTCTCAGAATGGACAACAGCGCCACCCTCTGCAGAACGTGTCCTCTCCTTCTGGCGTGTTGAATGTGGGTTCGAACAACCCGCTCACTATGTACCTGAGCCAGATGTCTGCACAGCATGCCCAGGAGCAGGAGGGCCGTATGAACGACCCCATGGCCCTCGCTGGCTTACAGGGCCAGTCTCAGGGTCCCCAACAGTCTCTATATAATGGGACCAGCAACGGTGACCTTTCCAACGGAAATATCGATGCGCCTTTGCATCAGCATCAGCAGCACCAACACCAACACAAGTCGTCTGCGAATGGCTACTTGAGTGTGGGTAATGGCTCGTCTGGTCCTGGCCACCATGCCACTGCCAGTACAAGCAGCCTGAGTGTCCCACGCGCACAGCACTCCCGGGCTGTGAGTCTGCCCTCGTTCTCTCAAGAGCCCTTCGGGCCAGTCTCTGGACAGCCCGGTCACATCCGCACTGGCACAACACATCATCCCCAGGGCAGCTTTTCTAGCTTCTCATCCGGCCTGGGTGGTCTGAACCACACTGGATTCGGACTGGCAATCCAAAATGAAAACTCTCTGCCTGGCTGGGCAGAAGAGGAAATCGGCGCCAAATAATCACCCTCCATGGAGATCCTTACTTCGACTCAAATTTCCTTGGTAACTTTAATTGCATTTCCCTTCTCTTCTTTTTTTGACATATAGTTCCTTTGGATTGTGGTGCCATCTCACCCCCTATTTGCTTCAATTCTTGTATTGGTCTTAATACCTTCACAACTTCAATCTTTGTCTTTCTCTTTGAACCATTTCTTTTATTTTATTTTTTTTTTTTTTTCATACTGTTTTGGCTCCACCCTTTTTTTTTTGAAGTTTTTTTTCTGTTCGCCGCCAATGACCTTTATCCCCCTTTAATTTCAACGTCTTTCTCCTTATCACCTTGTATTGTTAGCTGGCTATGAGTCTTTTCTTTTCTGTTCTCCTGATATCTATTTTGTGAGTTGGGAGGCGAGGGTGAGCCGGTTATTTGTTTTCAGGGTAGATGACAAGATGGTGACATTTGCCCTCTGCTGTCTTGTTCTGCCCTTTCCTTTGGTCACTTTTATTTTTATTGTCGTGGGCAGGTTGCATCGGGTGGTACGATCCAGTGAAAATACCCAGTCTCTTGCTCTGCTCCACCTTTGAGGGTGGGCAATTGGGCCGTGAATGTGTAATTAGTGGAAAGTTGCCGAGAGAAATGAATGAGTCGACGAAGATATTATACCATAGCAGCTTGCTATATACCACCTAGGAAAGTAGCAGTTACTCCTCGGTTTGATGCTGCTTAGACCTGCCGTAGCTATTCACTCCTCAGGTTGGTATGATATACAAACCAGGGCTGTCGCAAAATCTTCGAGAGTAGATAATTCATCAAGAAATAAAGAGCACCGTTCATAACGGTATATACTTTTACTGTCATGACCCATATTAGGTACTCGAGCAACCATTTCAATTGAGTAGCTCTGACCGCTCAGCAAGCAGTTTGAGGGTACTGTATGTATCCGGGAGTGCATTCATGAATATATATTTAAGCCGAAGAGCTCTAGTAAGGTCAGGCCCGGGTGCTTGAGTATCTAGATAAAGTGCCGAGAAAGACAATTTTGAAGGTCTATATATTTCCAAGGTTGTTTCGTCCAAAAAGATGAAGCCAACAAAAAGGCAATGGCTCAGGCTTCAATCAACCCAATGATAAATACCAGCCGGCTCTCATTGTTATTCTCAGTAGTGTGTTTATGCATATGTTTTGCTCTCGCAATGTAGACAACTGGTGGCTACCTATCCTTGATAGGAATCATCAGGCCTATAATAATTTGCAGAGATTCGACCGTTCAAAGGCAGTACCCAGTCTCCTGATATGTCATGAGGTATGACTCTGGAACCTTGATGCCAAGATTGTAGCTCTCTCGTGGACGGCTGACATGAATAACAGTTACGTATACCAGACTTACAAAAGGATTAGGAAGCCCCCAAGCTTGGCATAGCTAACCTTGTCTCCCCAAACGTCTAGCTGCAGTCAACTCTGGGCTCCTACCATCCAGCATAGCAAGGCGGTGCCCGAGATCCGAAAAGCCAAGGATATAGATGAGTTACGCGCTAATGCCGGGGTCATCACCAAGATTTGGAATTAATCCGTAGATACACATAAGCAAGTCAAAGGCCCCGCTCCCGCCAGGCTTAAGATGGAAATCTACATATTCTGCATTGGGTATAGGTAGACAAGCAAACAACATGACCCGAATGGTCACAACTCCGTCACTTAATTCTCTGGCTCGGCAACCCTTTTGTCATGCCACACATTATCAAAGCTTTTTGATATCAAAAGACCTTCAAGGGTAACTTATTTCTGATACCCTGCCCTATATTGACGCCATTCCTTACCAAGCAGCCCATCAGCGCCAGTCCCGTACCCCACCGCCCATGTGGCGAACGTCACAGCGATACCATGGACATAATGACGCCAGCTAATGATCGCCAAACCAAGCACATTCCTCAGAATATGTTGGTTCAGTGTTGGTGCCGGATTCTCAAATCTATTGGTAGCAAAAACAAGTTCGCGCCGTGGCTTGTATACCTTGCGTACCTGAACAGCCTATTGTCTAACTCCCCAGCCATCCATGGGCGTTGTTGTATGTATGTATCCAGTTGAAAGGGGTAGATGAGGAGTTCATTACAGGGTTTGGCGCTGCTTAATGGTCTCTCGGTACCCTAGTCTCAGTTTCGGTATCCAGTGAGGTCTTCCGGTTGTATGTTTGTTTGGTCACTAGACACCCCTCTTCGATCCCCCACTTTGGGCTCTTTGGTCCCCGAGCGACCGATGCTGAGGCCCCCGAGCGGCGATGATGCCATTATTAGGTAGATATTCATGGAACGCCTTGTCGAAGACGTGCCGATTTGGACAGCCACAGCCACGTGGAGGGGGCAAGGATGCGGGGTTTTGGTGAGGGGGTCAATCGGGTGTTATCGGTCCTCGAAGAACTTTGAACTTCAGATCTCATTGGAAGATTCCAAGATTTTAGGTGAAGATAGGTGAGGGGCATTTCCGTGATGAAAGGCGGGAGGACTGAATAATGGCGGGAAGGTCGGGAGATGATCTTAGTCCAGGGACGAACAGAACGCTCATTCAGCTACGCCAAAAGCCCGTCTAAGCTGGACTCCAATGAGAGCGACACGGGAGAGAAGGGGAAGGTGGTAATAGCTTGCAATCACTCCGCTCAACGACATGCATGATTAACGCTCGCTCGATCTCTTTTGGAAGGAGTCTCTTCTCAGCCGGCAGACGTGCCTCGACCAACATGACGAATCAGGCAACCTGCATGCACTGAAACAGTTTGCTCTGCATCATGCATCATGCAGCCGATCCCGTGACGCGAACTGAGCCCGCGATCTGGCGGCAACTGATCGCGTCTCGATTCACTTCCTCTCTCGAGTGGATATAAGTTGGCCTTACGTATAGTGTGTAGTATGATGCGATGCTGCATAAGATCACCGTGGTATTTTATGGTATTACCCGTACCGGTACGGTAACAGTTCAGTCTCGATAATCCGTCAACAATGGCATCCTGTACTGCCTCGGGAAGATCCCGACAAAGCTACCGGGTGACTCTGCTGAAGAAAATCCCGTGTTGAAGCGCGAATTCCGCACTCGGAGTGGGACAGGGTGTCCCGTGGATAGTTTTTCAATAACCAAAGACGAGTCTCGGCTTTCACTCCCACCTAGGATAATGTCCAATGAAGAGTGGGGGGTCGTACGTGCATATTGACTCGGTTGTGAGGCTCTGCCGGTCTAGTGGTCACGATACGACATTAGCTGTCACGACATTGAAACACGCCGTGCATTGTGTCTCCAATTTTTTATGTAGCCAGTTCTGTGTACAAACGGGGTGTATAATACCAAGTCCCGGAACCCCCAAACCTGCCATTACACATACTGTACCATCGTTTCCATGGTTAGAGATTATTCATGAACAAAGTTTCTGGGGATCGTGCTCGCTCTTACCTGTCGAATTCGGCCTCAACGGTCTCGGAGGATCAATAATTCGGAATTGAGACCGCCGCCCGAACCTACCGAAATCCACATACTATTTAAGACTCGAAGTCAAAGTTGGCCTCGTATCGTCACACCCTTACTTGAAGATCATGAGGTCAGGGGTACTCTAAGGCAATAAAAAACATTCACGGCCGAACACGGAGATCACCGGGTCAGTGCCCATCTGAGTATGAGGTGCGAGGGAAGCAACAGTGGAGTCGAGCCTTAGGGGGGCGAACCACAAGCCGTTGAATCATGAAGGATTCTGGGTTGCACTAATACCCGCATTTCTAGATTTTTCTCTCGCGAAAATAAATGAATTCTAGAATTAAGATTACTGCCTAATAGAGTAATTGAGATGTTGGAGGAAATCCAAAACCCCATCAAAAAAAATGAATCCCCCTCCGATTCGGCGGAGATACGGAAAATCCCGTGAAGAAACGGCCGTTGAAGGATGCGACCTCAATTTCTCAACGATACAACATTCCTACCTACTGACTCACACAGACCCCTACGTCGAAATTGCCCCAAGTAGCATTGTTGTCGACACATTTCAAACAGGCTGCCTTAGCTCCGCGCTAATGTCCCGATGACATGTCCGCGGTGTGATAGCGCTGTACGTGAAGCATTAGTCCTTGGCTATCACACGTTGATTGGATCGCTCGTGAAAATCAAGAAAGAGGTTGGCCACGCATGGTCGTGAGACATCGTTGATCTCTCAACATTTCACGGGTTTCACGGCGCGTACATTTGCGGTCGCTCATGAGGCATTGCAACCCACCGCGATTCTGTGATTAGTGGACTAATTCTGATTCGTATGGAGCTGGTCGTGATCCCTGTCTCACCGGAACGGGGTTCGGACTTTACATCCAACGGGACATGGCCGTGGCCACTTCGCTTATGAGTTGATGATAATTATAGTCACAATGGGTCTGGTCCTGCACGGCTCGATCATGTCGTATCACAGCATCGCCCCCGCTGTGTGTAGAGTATTTTACCCTTGGTACTTGTACTTGAACGTGAGGTGGATCAACAATCTCGAATCGTGAATCTAACAAAAATAAACCGGGGGCCGATGGCTCCATTCCATAGACTCCATTTCTGGGGTGTATCCACGGCCCCTACATCTGGAGCTATGAATATACGAACCGGCGAATCACAAGCCACCCAGCCACTTCCCGTTTAGGCTAATGAGAGGCATGAAGCCCACAACGGCAGCACTTGCGTGCTTTTGTATCTAGTAACTTCCACTCGAAGTTAATCATATAACGATCCCAGGCTAAAGGAGGAGCTTTGAACTTACTTCCAGCCTATCAATCATACCAATCAAATATATTTCCGGTTCAGCCTACGTATCAGAGACAATCCTGTCAGACCCACATTGCGGCGCGGAGCATCTGTGACTGTTAGCGGGGCAACAATTTGGTGGCGTGAGACTCGGCCTCGTTTCTCCAGTAGATCATGGTTCATCTGACGCCTTAGTGACGAAGGGTACAGAACAATAGGGGAATTCGGATCAAACATGCCGTTGACCTTGTCCTGGTTCTTCATGCCGATCGAAATCCCTCAGGAGCGAAAGGATCCAAGAATCCAAGAATTTCTAAATGAGATTTACAATTTCAATTGTCCCTTCACCTCCAAATTTGACGTGAGAATAGATACGACGATCACGATACTGATTCAGGTGATCCAAGCTTCTGCAATCAGGCAATCCCTCACCCGAAACCCACGTGTCTTTAGTGCCCTAGCAGGGTGGTCGAAGCGCGGCCCCCTCTGAGGAGCTAATGACTTCGGGCTGAGAAGGCTTGGTCAATGCACCTAGGAAATAGGGTCATTTAAAATGCCGAAAGTATGTTGGTGCCTATATTGCCTTTATGAGGTAGATCAACCAACATAAATCTCTCTTCCGTGGCTTAAAACCCTCCCTTCAGCCATGAACCTAGCACACACGCACAAGTGGGCCGGGTGTATCGTGTCTGGTCAGCCACTGCTTGTGAAGAAGATCAAATGCTGAAGAGCACCAATGGCAATATTCGGATTGGGGGATATTGAACGGTCCCCGTAAGTAGCTCTCGGAAGCTATGACCTGACTCCGTTGTACTCCATAATTACGCCGTGCTTTCTCCGTATCAAAAATCTGAAATGTAATGGTAATCATTGGTCAGCTTGTGGGAATACGGGATTGATCCACACGCCCTTTTGTTTTTTGTTTTGATTTATTTTATTTCTTTGGCTTTGGCTTTGGCTTTTGATCATTTGAGACATACACCCGTGCGCTTGTCCTAGCTAGGGAAGACACGAGAAACGAAGATTGGTCTGTGGCAGAATGGATCTAATCTGGGCAAGCAATTTCAAAATAAGTTAATCATCCGGGTCTAATTTCTGATTTGCCCGCTCGCTTATCATCTTACGGGCTGATTTGCGCGGTCGATCGGATCCCTTGTTTGTGCCGGAATCCGAAGCCTGAGGCCTAGTCCTGCCCTCCTGGCTTCATGTCATTTCGTTTCCGAGATCTAGGCTAGAAAAAGTATCATGCAAAGTTAATCATGTGCTAGCTGCCCTGAGCTAACGCTGTACGTGATTGCCTTTGTTTGGGCATTGTCTAGGCCCCGACTTTTGTCACTCTTTCCTTTTCTTTTTTTCCTTGTGATTTCAAACAATGTCCTCTCTTTCTCCGGGTACCTCTACATCCTCTTGCACGACATAACATTAGTGTTTCTGACTGCTTACGGCAGCTACTCAATCTTCAGCATTTAGACTTTTTCATCTACGAGTGTCAGCCATGTCAGAACAAACTGTAATCTGAGCACGACACCAGTTTCTGGATCGAGAGGGATCCGGGCCACATGGTGTCGGAGCGCCGCCGTGCATTCCTCTCTGGACCTAGTTGAGATCCGGTCTTAGTCAAGAGTGCGAAGTGGGGACAAAATCAAGTGGAGTCAATACGTAACCATTGAACGAACAGTTTTGAGTTCTGCAAGCCTTGGTGAGGCTGAAAACCTGGCCGTTTCGGGGCCGAGAAGGTCGTTTTCGGCCGTATTGAGTAACAAATACGGAGAAGCTGGATCCATATCCATGCTGGACTGGATCGTAGCAGTAGGATGAAAGATGAATTACGTCAATGTAAGCGAGAAAATGGTTGATCAATGAATCCCGACCGTGCAGCTTACCTGCTATTCTCCGCATCCAATCCCACTGTCTAAACCATCCCTTGAGAAATGATGAGCACCAGAGCCAAGCCCAAGCCACGAACAGTTGGCTCATGGAACCCCAGAAAGGAGCCGGGGGTGTCCCACCGTCAACGAATAAGATACCCGATGTCAATGTCCAGCCTTAGGCTATGGGCGTAACATGCCACGCGTACGAACATAGACGGCGCAGCTCAACGAACCAGGATCTATGCAGGGTTGAATCGGACGACGGTCGCCCGCTTAATTAGAAAATCGCGCGAACTTGAACCTGAAACCACATGCTGTGGCCCTCCTCATCTCATGCGTGAATATCACCAGTCCGCGCTACGACGAATATGAATGTGTGGGGATGAACTACCATGTTCATTTTCTCTTTTCTCTCTCCCCTTGTCTTTTTTTTTGGTCTTCAAACTTGATTACCTAGATATTTGCGCATTTACCTATCTTGGTCTCCCAGACCGGGATTCTGTCCTGCCGTCCCCTCCATCTGCGCGGTTGCGCAGTCACTGCGCGTTTTCATCTTGCAGGGGTTGCGGTGTGGATTCGAATGACGACTCACATCATTCGCTGCGTCTCCCGCTTTTGTTTTTGTCCCCCAAAGCCCGCAGGGAATCGTCGATCCCGTTTCCTTTTCGCACTGGTCTCCATACTGGTCGCCTATGCAGCTCCGTTCAAGGGGGTCGGTTTCATTTCGCTTCATGTTGCCGACGTAGTATCCGTTAGGCGGCCTAGATTGCGTGCACACAGGGACTAGGATGCGGATGCGGGATCTTGTGGATTCCAGTCTCTTACTCCTTTGGTACCGAGTTGCAGACGGCGTCTATCGCTAGCGGGCTCCGGGGCGATGGCGTCGGCCATATTGTGGGTAGGATGGACTGGGCTTGCTGATCGGGCGCAGGTCGAGTATCTCAAATCGCACCGGCAATCGAACTTCATTCGAGGCTGTTTCAATCAAAGAAATCGAGTCGACCTCCAAGTACGATGTAAGGGAAAATATATGGACAGAACGGGATCGACGGGAATGCGATACATCCTCTCAGCCCATCATAAAATAGTGATGAACGGATTTTGCTGATTGGTGGAACGTGTCATCTTTTTTCATCAATACCTCGCAGTACAATCCTTTTTTCATTTTTATTTTCATTTTATTTATTTTCACCAGCCACGTTCCACGCTAGTCGAATGGCCGTTGGAAGTTACATGCACGACATGACTCGTGCAAAATGTGACGCTCTCGGATGGCCACAGGGCGGACGGAATCCATGGTTCAGAGCAGGGCAGACTATTTCCTTATCTGCGTAATTTATGCTTTGGATTCGGAGTCTCCGGGCGGGTATCCATTCACGTGACCAGATGTCGCTGCGGCTACGCGACTAACGCCGTTTCAGTATAAAATGATTGGATCTGGTGGAGCGAATGTGGACCTGGAGACAAAGAAAACGGGCGGGGTCGCAGGGCAGGAGCCATGTTGATCTTGATCTGCACGGAACCGGGAGCTCTAGCCCGCTCATCGAGGCGTTACGGGGCTGCAGGAGGGGAAAAGGGGTGGACAAAGAAATGCAGGCAGGGATCTTGCTGGCCAACAAAAACAGGATAGATGAGAAATGAGAGACGAGAAATGAGAAATGAGAAATGAGACGCGAAAAAATGGGGCGGCATTGCCGCTATTGAGCTAGAGGCGTCCAGTTGATATTTTGATTCGTAGTACTCCTAGCTACGAGATTGCGCGGTTACTGCGACTCTTTAGTGGTATTGTCAACAGCTGAAACGATCCCTGGTCTTTGCGTACGCTACCCTGGACACCGTGCACTCGTGTCCCTTTACCTGAAGAAAATCCAAGCCGTTGCAGATGACGATCAGCACTGGCGATCAGGCCGCCCTCTATGTAATGGCACAGACTACTTCTCCGGCCCAAGGTGAACAACGGCCCTGGCATCAAGGTTCTGATTCTGAGAATCTGGTTTTGAGCTCTGGTTCTTTTGCTCTGATCCGAGGGGTAAAGTGGAGCTCGTTAAGTCTCGACTCTCTATCGTTCAAGGGTATGGGTGGGGAGTCGAGGAGCTCGGCTGGATCGCCTGCACATCCAAAGCCGAGCGGGATACTTCCAAAACTAGTAGTTTAGTTGTAATTCAAAGTGGGAATTTCCTCCGGGTGCTGCCGATGGGGGCCATAATGCGCATCATGTCCCCGCGCAAGTTGCCAAAGTGGCACGCTCCTCTAACCATGGTTCGCTCTATCTTGGACATATTGAAATCAAATCTTGACTTGTCGTTGAATTTGCTTAGGGCTTAGGTCTTTGGATGGAAACGTCGACCTCCACAGGAGAAATTTGTTTTCATTGTCGCCTAGCGAAAAGATATTACAGGTTGAAAACTTTTGGAAAATCAAAATCAAAATCAAGATACAGGAACAAAAAATAAAATAAAAAAAGCAAGAAAAAGCCGCAGTAAAATTACAAAACGGTGGAAAATATGCAGATGCGTTGGCAGACGCAAAATCCCCACCCACTGCATCTGAGGCCCAAATTGAGCCCGCATTAGCTCATTTCTATCGGCGCTCTGATTCGCTCCGCGGGCCCAGTGCCATGGCGGCGTCGCAACAGGTGACTCTTGGTGATCCAATAGACGCCGTGCGTTACTGTTGGTTTTTTTTTCTTTTGACTTCTTCCATCTAACGTGCGAGTCAGTCAATTCGCGCCGCATATCCGCGAGAGGGATAAAAAAAAAAAGAGGGTCTTCAACGCTCTGGGTCAGAGCGTCTTACCCACCACACTAGAGTAGTCTCTGTCACGGTCGATTCTGTACAGAGTACTCCTGTTGCTCACATGAAAAAAAGTGGATTAGGCATGGAAACCAAAACAGAAAATGCACGCGAGTGTGCAGCTATTTCTGATTCTGCATGATTATCTTCATTTTCAAGGCCTATGACCGGGATTGGCTCACATGTTTCCCTGCCCAATCTGACCCCTGCAAATTGTTGCTCGGTCTGCACCGCTATTGGGGGGTCCTTCCCCATTGCGTAGCTGCGCTGCTCAGGTTTTCCTAAGGCATATCGCTATTTGTAATTTATGCCCTTCGACCATGGTTCATAGTTGTATAGCTACCTAGGTAGTTAGCTAAGCACAACTGGGTCCCTGGAGACATATCGGTACTGCCGAATACATACGTATACCGATTACACGCGCGTCCCCACAATTTGTCATTCTTTTTTGCGCGGGCGATGAGTGGAAAAGGCTAATGCTAAGATACAGTATTTTTGTCTGGCATTTTGCATAGTGGATTCCCCCGCGTAAATTCCTCCATCCACTTCGTATTTGACCGAAATGAAATCTAATAATTCAAAATTCGAAAAAAAAGAGGAGAAAAAAAAAGATCGTCCGTGCTAGATTGTGTCATCGTTAAAAAAGCTGTTCCACCAGCGAACGAAAGTGCCGCGTCTCTTGAGACAAAGAAACTCTACCCACTTGGAATTAAAAAAAAAAAAAAACAATTATTAAACAGAAAGTAGCCGATCATTGAAGATAATATTACCCGATCCATAGAAATAAAAAAAAACCATACAAGACCGAGTATGGCCGTAGATCGCCACCAAACTCTTCAGGGAATTCGAGATATCAATTTAGACAGTGGCGAAATGAACCATATGCTAAAGCACCGGACACGGAGCACCCTGTCCGGTTCACCGAAGTAGTACCCTCTTTTTCACTCTGGGGGTGGAACCGAATGTAGGTCCCCCTGTTAGCCCCGAGAGGAGCCTTGTGTGTATCCGCGGTACAACTATACAGGGGGGGCCAAAGGAGCGACGACCAGCCCGACCCGCGTAATTGGTACGCTGCACCCAACAGCACAGTTAGCTTGGGACTATTATTTTCGATTTTTCTTTTCTTTTCATTTAAGCCCGTGTGTGCTCCAGGTGATCTGCCATTAGAATCCTCTTGATCTATAAACCTTGGCTCCCTTCTTGAACCTGAAGGTTTTTTATTTTATTTTTTTAAAGATCTTATACTTCGACCCTCCGTACCCTGATCTTTTCCTTCCCTCTCCCCACCCACTTCAATACCTTTGGGATATCCATTGGGGGATTGGGAACAACTCGATACTTGATATCGACTAAATTCGTCTGATCAATTCAATTCTGTGGTGGGACAATCCGGGTTTCACAACTACCCAGATTTTGGATCCCAGAAAAAAGAGGAAATCATCTATAAAACGACACACTGCGTCTGTCTCCCAGCTTATCGCATTTACATTCTGCGTTCCACCGTCATTACCTAAAAACACTCCGAACATCTTTCAAAATGAATGAGAAATATACACATCTGCCAGCAGAGCGACAAAGTCGCATGAACATCGACTCACTGCTAAATCCTCCAAGTGACGAGACGGAGTACAGCACCACAGACTCCCCATACTCGCAACACGCCACACTTTCTACCTCGTCACACAACGCTAGCTACACAGCTTCCCTAGGCTACCCTCAAAGCCCGAACCAATACTGGTATGGCCGATATGGCGGCTACCACGACACAAGCCCTGGCGCAGCCTCAACAGCCACGACAAACGTCAGTAGCACATCGAGCGGCAGCATGAATCCCCAGCAACACCACCACCACATGTTCCTCTCATACCGTCCTTCAGGCGGCAGTGCTGGTAGTGGAGGAAGAGGACCTGGATCCGGCCACAGCTCTCCAGATCCGTACCACCAGCGCGAACGCTACGACTCCGTTTCTAGTAGCTCTAGCAACAACGGGAATGATCGCCGACGGCCCCCGAGACCGAAGTATGAGGAGGAGGAGATGTACTTTATCTGGTATCACCGCGTGGATCTTTGTCAAGAGTGGAAGGAGGTGCGCGAGAGCTTTAATCATCAGTTCCCTAGTCGGCAGCGGCGCGGATTTCAGGGCATTCAGTGCAAGTTTTATCGTTTCATCAAGGAGAAGCAGTGTCCGACGCTACGGGAGCAGCGAAGGATGCGCGATGGAGAGTTCTTGCGTGAGGGCGCTGAGTCCGGTGCGCCGCGCTTCGGGGTTATTGAGTGGGCGAATGTCTGGTATCCCTGGATGCGCGAAGACCGAGAAACAGCATCGCGACAGCAGGCGGCGCATCGGCAGCGGATGGCTGAGGTGGGGGCATGATTTGATTTGAGGAATAATTTTGGAGTTTTGTTTATATAATGATTGGGAGAGGTTATCTGTCTGACCGTTTGGGGAGAGGCTATTGTCTTGCGTTTCTACAAAGATACCTCATGGGAGTTTTATTTCGGGAGGTTATTTGTCTTCGTTTTGCTTGGGTACTGGAGGCTATCTCATCTTTCGCTTTTTACATGGCTGGCTCAATCAGCCTTTCTATCATGTCTTACCATTACCTACATCTAAAACCGACTAAATGTCACATTCAGCAATGATGAAGGAACTTTTTTTTCTCAGTGCCCCGTTGAACTTCTTAGCAACTCGACAACCCCTTTCTCTGGACTCAAATGACAAAAGCCCATACTAAAACCCTCGAGTAACCGCACTAACAGCAATAACAACCTATTACCAGAACTAGAACACCTAGCCCTTTACACTAGCTCTACGTACTGGCTAAGTATAGACAATTCTGCGTGATTCAGTCCAATTCAAAACCTCAGCCTTGCCAGCCTTGTCAATCTTGCCCTGCAAAGCGGTCATATAACCATACAGTAATAAAACAGTAATACATTATACCTTACCAGAAGCAGCGGATTGATGACCGCATCATAGCGGAAATTGAAATGATACGGTAAATACTTAATCAGCAATTATTCAGGGCCCGCATCTATACCAAACAGGAAAAATTAATTTATATTAATGGGAAGAATCCAATATGACTATCACAATCAATCAATTTTAGAAACACTCCTACCCGTGCACAAGGTCAAAGACATCTTTGACTCGTGCTGATCTCAAATTCCCCCCTACAATGCAGATCCCGCCCACCGAACCGAGCCAAATGAACCCACTTGGAGAGGGCCTAGCCAGTTAGCTACATTAGTTACCCCCTATGAAGAATTGTTTGATTTCCACACAAAAAAGCAAATGTATGCCCCTTTACGGATTACTAAGAGTGAGATTGGCTGTGAACACCGTGCAGGATTCGATCTAAGAACGGGTCTAGAGTCTATTTGGTTTGGGATTCCAAAGTTGGAGATCGAATGCGAGCGTGATTACCGGGACTTCGGGAATATGCTGGGCTGTGGTATTCTTTCAGTCTGTGCCTTTAGGTTGGTTTGTGTGATCCTTCCGGGGAATTTTCTCCCAGTATCTATTTACAAGACTCTGGACATTTTGGTGTCGAACCCCCGGGGCCGACGGGGCGGACTGGGGCGGACCCGGAAGATAATACATTGCACTCACGGGTCTCGGTCGGAGATGAATGGGTGATTGGTGATGGATGAGAATAAGCGAGGAGTTTGGGGGAATTGCCAATTTTGTTTATCTATATTGAGTTCCTTCAGTATGGTGAGCTATGCATAGCTGTCTGGGTAAGAGGTCTAGGACGGAAAGCATGCTCGTCTACCAACTGGCCATAAAGTATGGAATCGTATCTGAATACGATGTTGCTACACATTCTGCACACAAGCGCAATCTTTGTTTCGGGTTTTCCGAAGAGGATCCATGTGAAGGATACGAAAATCCTCCACGTAGATCGCGGACCCCCGAGCCTGCGAAAGGATTCATCTACATCCTTCTAGTCATTCCATCCCCCTTCTTTGCCACGCGGCATATAGAGTTTCATGCAACCGTGCTAGCCTCGGACGTGACACGCGAAGGCTGGCGCATAGGCCTGCTACATTTTGTACTGCAAATAATCCCCCTTAGGAGCTTCGTCTGACATATGTACGCGGATGTCCAGGTTTCAAATCGTGTCTATGAATCAAGTGTCAGCTCTTGAAGGTACTGGTACCTACAATCTCATTCAAAGACGCAAGATGGCCAACTCGTAATGGGATGTCTATGCGTCCATCAATGAAAACGTCTTGAGAGCGCCTTGAAATTGTAATTTATTACCGGTTCATTATTGCCGGCCGCGACCCCTTTGTCTTTCCCACTAGCCCGAGCCCCCGAACTCATGATCATGCCACGATATCACTCTCTCCACTGCACTACTACAGTAGCAGTCATGTACGTGGTGTCAGGGTGGTGTGTCTCAGCCTCACCGCGATTTGCTGCAATCTAGCGAAAAGAGCTAATATGGGTGCTATAACAAGACAGGGATAGTGCAGCAGCTCGAAGGATTGCCATGTGTCTTGAAGCTATGGTTTGGGGGCCGTGAGATCCGTTGCTGCTATTTTAGTTACGTACGTGGGGACCACGTTACGAATCCTGCGGTCTGTTGGCTTCGTGGCTGTTGGCGTCCTGCAGGATTGTGCTGGTGTGATCAGTGTACTTCAAAGTACAAGTGACTCCAGCCTGTTGCAACGCTTGGTGAGTTGTGATGGAGATATGTTGGTTTCAAAGGCCCATTATTAATTACTGTTCTGGGTACGGTTTCCAAGATGTTTATGCACATTTCTGTACATATCTGTATCTAGTTCAAAGTGGACCCGTTCCTCATTGCCTCGCTTCTCGTATTAAGCTTACTGTGGAACGTCCATATCCACATTCATCCCGATGGATACCCAAAAGTAAAGGTGTTCATGGGAACTGCCTGCAAATACACGAGGCGAATGATACGTCGAATACAGTAACAAGGATCAGTTGTTGGATATCATCATCAGCACTAGTACCCAATGTAGCAAGAGGGGTCACATTGAGACGTCTTGGTTCGTACGGGAATATGTCTGTGCTCCGCCTCGGGTAAATTAGCACGATAGTGACGAACTTCTTTGATGAGACCGGGTCTACATCATTTTTCCTTTTTTGGTTGAATCGAGCGTTATTGTATTCACACAGACACATGTGGAGCCTGGAGGAGAGGCTGTTATGATTAATACTTAAGACTTGAAAGAAAAAAGGGAATGGCGGAAAGTGTTCGAATGCTAAAAATGGTTTGAATAAATCGAAACGAACTTTCAAGGCTAGATTAAGTGGTCAAATGGTGTCCATAAGACTTCGTGTCGCTTTGAAAGCACACAGAACATTAAGTGTGACTTCACCCCGGTACAAACAATCAGCCACGTTAGGATAGTAGTGGGACTGCCTTCGGCCCAGTCTTTCCTCCATATCAATAATCGGTTCTTTGCCCATCCCCTGTCAAGTCCTTCTTCTCGAGCCTTCCTCTCCTCACCACGTCATTCCTACCCATTTTACTTCATGTCGACATGAGATAAAATGATTGGAGTTGCGAGGTTTCAAAACTTAGGGGAGGGAATCGAGCTCCAGTCACTCTCCCTGGTAGCCTCACTCTCACTCTCACCTTCATCGCCATGAGTCTCCTCAACGCCACGAGTTTCAACATCACGAGTCTCAGTACCACGAGTCTCAGCACCACGAGTCTCAGCACCACGAGTCTCAGCACCACGAGTCTCAGCACCACGAGTCTCAGCACCACGAGTCTCAGCACCACGGTTTTCCTCAACAGCACGAGTCTCCTCGGAGACTTGGAGGGGCACGCCTCCACTGCTGTTCTCATTGCTGGCTCCGTTGCTGCCTTCGTTGCTGTCAACCTGCTGCGGCCGGGGAGTAGCCTGACGATGAGTGGCCTGGTGGTCAATGGCATCCTCGAAGCCTTGGCGAATTCCTGTGGCTATCTCACCCGCGATGAACCTATCATTCCTGTCCATCTCGACGACGTGATCAATGTACCCCACATCCCCTGGGACGAGCTCCGACGGAATTTTGTGTCTCTTGGCTCCAAACATCGGGGTTCGGGGGTAGTTGCTGTAATGGAACCCTTTCTCAAGCTCACACCTAACCACCGAAAGCGAGTCAGCCCTTACACCATGTTTTCGGACGAATACTTGAGCGTCTTACGGGTCCTTTTGGAACACGGGGGCAGACATAGGCCAGTTATTCTGAAACCACTCAAAGACTTTCACACCATAGGAAATGCTTTTCAAGAAGTAATACACCGTGGTGCTCTAAATCGGGTCAGTTATTCATTTCGTTCTCATCCGGAAAGCAAAAGATGCTCATTGGCACATACCAAGTCTGGGCTAGTGTGGCATATGACGTGGTCAACCTTGTCGACATCGACCAGATCTAGCAGCCATGACACGGGTTTGTCTTCATAGAAATTGACTCTCACGACACGAGACATTCCAGCCTTGTGCAAGGTCGCTGGAGCCTTGTCTTCTGTCACAGGATAGTTAACTTTGACCCCAATGATTCTATCGTCCATGTCAATGCCCCAGGGATAAGCGGCGCCGTACGCGATGCAGTCCTTTTCGAAAATGAAATCCACATGCACCTCGTTGGTGTACACCAGGACCTGGTCGATCGGTCCCCCGTGAACCAGACACATTACGTGCTCGACATTCCACCAGAATGGCAGATTAGAGAAAATGATACGCCGCGTTGACGTGGGCGAGTGGGGCTTTGTTGGCGTCTTCTGGTTAGCCACCTGGAGCTTGGCTGCGTGTTCCAGGAATGCGTTGGAATCAAGGTTTCCACTGGCTTCAAATGGCACCTTGGTTTGGTAGATATCATCTTTTTTACCGTCACCAGCCTGCTCGGCTTCTTTGGTCGGTTTGATGTCTGCCTTGAGAGGCTTTTGGGGGTGAGGATACTTGATGGGCCCCAGATGAAGGCTCTTGTGAGCCTGCTAGAAGTCAATATTGTCAGCACATGAATACTTACGGGGTATATTTCTGGAGCTGAAATAATGGCTCGACACGATATTAGAAACAGGGTTTGCCATGACTCAAGCGGAGGTGAGCCTGCCAGGACACGATTTGCACAGCTCAACGTGATGATTGCACGATGAAGAATGTATCTCAACAGGATGTTGCGAAACAGGAGAGGTCTCTCAACATGATGATGGACGAAATCTGTTCTACAACAAGATGATTGCTCGACATGTCGACTGCACAAGAGAAAAGGGTATGGAAGTGGGCTTTGAGGGGATGGCCGAAAGAGTGATGCTACTTGAATCGTTGATGCTAAACATACCTTGAGTTGGTCTCTGTCGTACCGAACGTGCAGCCAGTTAAAGAGAAGAACTCTCATGTCCTGTTGAATCGGATCCATGGTCTGGTCCATGTTCAACGCGTTGAACAACGAAGAAGATTCGATCAGAGGTTGACTAGGACCAGATTGTGGGATGTGGCAATAGGAACGGTTGAATAGAGAAGAGAAGAGGAAGAAGGGTGGACGATATACCAAGCACATATGGGAAGTGAGCAATGCTGTTTGCAAAATTTGCGGCGACATTCTCTCACCATGATATTTTGGTGTCAGCAAGACAATCTTGCCCAGCAGCCGATTTACCAATGGAGAATGTCATTCAGTTCCATATCCTTGTTGTCCTATTGTGGACCATCATGCCCTTGACTCGGGGGCTCTACTCCGAAGGGAAGAAGATCCTTGAAAGTATAGCAAACGATCAAACGTATCTCTTGAACACTCGCATGTTTCAACAAACTAACAAAGAGTAGGCTTGACATGTCACTTGACAGCCTATTCGTAGTCCCAGTCTATTCTGCAATCTTGAAGTCACGAAAATCGCAAGTACAAGCTCCTACAAACCATAGTGAGCCCCGTGAGTGGTAATGTCTTTCATTGGGCTTTCGTGCGAGTATATTGACCACGGAAAACGTGGGGCTTGAATGCACATACAATGACATACAAGGATGATTCAAAAACAGTGTCTAATGCTTTAAATATTGCAAGTTGTATACTCCGTGGGGAGAAGAGGGGCGCGCGTGCACGTTGCGTCGAGGTTCCTGTCTGCTTATACTCCGTGGAAATTGCCTAGTTTTTACGTGCTCACTAGGTCCTTTGCGGGTGATTCTCAGCGAACGCAACAAAGAAGCTATGTGATATCCTGCAGTAACTCTCTCACAAATGCTTTGGATTACCGGGATATTGTAATCTTAATGCTATTTAAATTGTTGTTTCTAAGGTGAAGATTATGAATTCCTTATACTCCGTGGGCGTAATCGCGTTGCGAGTGCGCATTTTTTATCAAGTACCAGCCACATTAATGCTTCCCATGAGAATACTACTTAGCTACGGAAATACTCACGCATTCATTGTTACCATAGCCCGATATTGTGATCTTTTTATTGATTGTTCTTTCATCCTTTCATGCTTCATCATGTATCTATTTGCTGGTTTAATGGATGCGAATGGAGTTTTCGCAGCATCTCACGGCCCTGGTCTAAGAGGTACAATGCATTCCAGTCAGATTGAGGGATGGTCGGACATTTCAGGTCACCCCCGGCCATGCTGTCGATGTAAGAAGCTACATGCTGTGAGAAAAACTCCATATTCGCAATTATAGGGGGAGCAAGACTTTAATGGGAGCCCTTGCAAGGGTTAGTCGGGGTCAAATGAGGCCGACTTTGGATGTAAAGTGGAATAAAGTGGAAACCGCCGACTTGAAAATGCCAGCCCATTTCGACTCATGAATGGAGCAGGTTGAGAAGAGCTATTAAGCCGCAATGAACTTCTGACCTGAGATAATGTTCCGGAAATATCGGGAAGTTAGTTTCCCCTCAGCGGGGAGATGTCCGTTTTCGAGGTCGCTGACGTAGCTAGATTATGTGCTAGCACTCAGTGCCTACCGGTCAGCAACACCTCCCAGATCCCGGAACCACTTGCATAGTGTATTTTCTGGGTTTTGAAGGACTTCTAGGTTCGTTTGATTCCATCTACTCACCCGTTGTCTTATATCCAAATCTACAATGTTCATGGGCTGAGGCGGTCCTGGGGTGGCAACCCGAAACACTAAACATATAGTTAACGGTCATCGACAGTCAGATTTGCCCCTCAACTTCCCAACAACCTACATCTCACTTTCCTGGCCCAGGCCTAGTTCCCCAGATCTATCACCATGACCGAATTTCACATTGTCAATTCGAATGACCTCGTTCCCGGCGCCGAAGCCCCACCCCCGGAATTCAGCTTGAGAGCTCCCCCCGCCACAGACGTCTGGTCCAAACCCCCCTCGACCAACGCATTCAACGCTCCTATATTCTATCAATCTATCTCCCTCAACTCGTTCAAACGCGCCCGTGTCGCAGTCGCTGCGCAGTGGACGCAGAAATATGACCAGGGTGGCCTTATCATCGTGCTGAACAACGTAGATGGATCCCAGAAGTGGGTGAAGACTGGTATCGAGCTCACCAATGACAAGCCACACTTGAACGTCGTTGCGAAGGACCGCTGGGCGGACTGGAGCTTGTTGCCCGTCCCCTCTGGAGGAAAATCTGCGACCTTGGAGCTCGTCCGGGAGGCGGATAACAGTTTGTGGATTTATCTTGTGGAGGGAGTGCAGAAGAAACCCATTCGAGAGGTTACTTGGATTTTTGAGGAGACAAATGTGCAGGAAACTTGGGTTGGCGTATATGCGGCGCGGCCGTCGACGGAGGGTGGAGAGTTGATAGTCCACTTTGGGCATCTGATTATCGAGTCTGTGGGGGGCAAGGAATGAGCACTGGGGATTGCTTGTGGATCGTGGGGATGCATTTGTTAGAAGGCGATTCCAGGGGAACTGTCTCGATGGGTACATTCCAGAATTGCCGCATGTGGTTCTCGTTCCGCAGATCTGTAGAAGAAATACATGGATCCCGTTGTTGCATCGCTCCCTGATCCTGTCTATCAGGCTGATTGTGTCAGGGCGATTAAGTTCCCAACTGAAACCTAGGCAGCTGCAGGCGGCTTTGACGGCACGGGCCCCATCAGATGGCGGCGTCGCTGACGATCATGGTCGGGGCGTACGGGATAGATCCCCCACTGCGGGTGATCAACTGACGTGGACCAGATTTTGGAGGACGATCGGGCTTCGAAGGTCATGATATACTACGTAGGACAAACGGATAGATGCCTCGGTTATGGGGAAGTCCGTAAACTAAATGCAAAACATGCCACGTGCCGTGGTCACACGGACTCACTGCAGGGACCCCACGTCCTATCCAGCATTATATCCATGGATATCTCAGGTACTCCCCTCTCACAATGATGATGTCCTCATATTGAACCCAGGTCAACCTTGGAAGGGGACTTTTGCTTGTATTCCCGCATTAAGGCCCCACAGCTGCAGACCAGGGATGCAACAACGCCAAAAAGCGGTTCCTTCCGACGAACCAGCAGTCTTGGGTGCATCTTATCGATCATATCTTGAAGAGGCTCATGTTCTGTCCTTTCGGCAAGGAACTTTTGCTGATAAATGGAGTTGATTTCCCCCGCTTTGACTCCTGGTGCCTGACGTGCCATGCTCCACTTTGGTTTTTCTCTTTTCCGCCAAGTTTCCATTACCTTTCCCCTCCTCCATCGTCATCAGTTCGGGTTCGGGGGTTTTTTTCTTATTCGTTTCAACTGCCTAATTGGATTATCACCTTGACTCAAATTGTCTAGGTGCATAAGCTGCCGGCATGCTGGGGTGCGCTGAACTTGAATCGCGCCTCTCATCGTCCTCACCTGCACCAACACCCCGTCGGCGTGCATAAGTGCGACCGCCGATCGTGACTCGGTTTCATCCCGCCGTCCTACTCAAGGCCCGAGGGAGACGAACATTGGTCTTCCCTGCTGACCTCTTGCCCCTTACAGCTTGGCCCCTCTTTCCTTCACGAGCAGTCAAAAAAAAGAGTCATAGGCGATTCTACCCTCACGGTTCCGCTGCCTAATCCTGATTTACCCCAAGTGGACTCGCGGCTTGCTAGCCTTCTATGGGCATATAATCGATTACCGCGCTTGCCTGTGCGCCGGAGTAGTTCTGCCCCATATTTGATTTGAATTTGAATTTGGTGCTACACGGTTGGCTCCATCTCTTTTTCTTTTCTTTCTTTCTTTCTTTTTTTTTTTTTTTTTTTTGGTTCTGATTCAATCCCCTGATCTACCTGATTTGCCGGTGCCTTCGTGTTTGCTTTTTTTCCCCTCAGCGGTGGATCTGACTGGCTCAGGTCGGCCCCAAATCAGCTGGTGCCCAAGCGGTGTTTAGTCAAAGCAGGATTACCATCCCCTTTTATGTGATACGCCCGCTATCGCTTCTGATGTTGCATGAACTCTCTTTTAAATGGTCCTGCCGGCGGTTACTTGTTGTTTAACTCTTATCAAGATCGCCGTCTTCTCCGTGTATGGTTTCATCGAATCTCCGCAGCTTTGATTATTTACCTGTACATGGACCGAGTCATTTTCCCCTTGAATCCTTTATACGGTGGCCATGCCACTTCTCGACGCGCGCGACGGTCCTTCCTACGGTGCTATACCGCGGGAGGAGAACCATACGGATATGGATTATGAGCGGGATCAGTTGCTGCAGGATGGCTATGAAACCGACGGCGACCCGAGTGATACCTCGACTATGGACGAAGCGCAGGAAGGTGTGCGGAAAATCGAGGCGATAAACATGACTTGGACAACCCGATCGTTAATGATCGCCTACGTCAGGTTCGTTTGTGGCTTGCAGCCGAACCCTGTGACTATGCTGACTTGGCACAAAGTATATTCCTCATGGCCTTCTGCACGTCCCTGGAGGGTCAGACGGTCATGTCATTGTCGGCATATGCAACCAGTGCTTTTAGCAAGCATTCGTTAATCTCTACCGTTCTTGTGGTGCAGAATGTAGTCAATGGTATGGATCATGTACACTATCTAATCGATAATTGCGAACGGGCCGCTGACTGCTCATAGCTGTTATCAAACCACCGATGGCAAAGGTTGCCGATGTGTTCGGTCGCTTTGAAGCCTTTTGTCTTAGCATCACCATATATATCCTGGGCTATATTCAGATGGCCGCGTCGACCAATGTGCAAACCTATGCCTCTGCACAGATCTTTTACTCCGCTGGTTCCACGGGTCTGCAGATCCTCCAACAGGTGTTCATTGCCGATAGCAGCGATCTTCTGAATCGCGCCTTTCTGGCGCTCCTCCCGGAGTTTCCCTTTTTGATCACTGTCTGGCTTGGGCCTACCATCGCAGGGGCGGTGCTCCAGTCATCGTCATGGCGCTGGGGCTATGGCATGTGGGCAATCATCCTGCCTGCTGCCTTTTTGCCGCTCGCCCTCTCGCTGCTTTTGAATCAGCGCAAAGCTCAGCGGCTGAATCTGATTAAGCCGACAAAGGCTAGACGCCGCAGAAGTCTTTTTAGCGTTATTCGACGAACGTGGTATGACTTGGACGTCGGCGGGCTGACATTGTTATCTGCGGCGGTCACGTTGCTTTTGGTACCTCTGACGCTAGCGGCCAGTTCCGCGAATGGATGGAAGACCCCGAGTATCATCATCATGATGGTTGTTGGTGTTCTCTGCTTAATCGCTACCCCGTTGTATGAATCGTCTAAGAGACTGGCACCCAAACCTCTGCTTTCTCTGCATCTGCTCAAGCAACGAACTGCGCTTGCCGGTTGTGCCTTGGCTTTTTGGTATTTCAGTAAGTTTGATCTTTTGCATACGTTTAGAGTGCAGTAAGACAAAGAGCACTAATATTTCTTAGTGGCGTTTTACTTTTCTGTTCAACCATACCTTTACTCCTACCTACAGGTTGTTCAGAACTATGATGTGGCCACCGCTGGCCGTGTCACCCAGACCTTCGCATTTACGTCGACTATTGCTGCATTCACCGTTTCACTCCTCATCAAGTACACTCGCCGATACCGGATCTTTGTGACTATTGGCTGCGTTATCTACATGACTGGCTTGGCATTGATGCTTATGTGTCGCCAGGAAAGTGCCTCTCACCTGCAAGTTCTGGGCACCCAAGTCCTTGTAGGCTGCGGAGGTGGCTTGCTCAATGTGCCCGTTCAACTTGGCGTCCAAGCATCTGCGAGCCATCAAGAAGTTGCCGCAGCCACCGCAATGTTCCTAACCTCCATGGAGATGGGCGGTGCCGTCGGTGCCGCCATCTCTGGAGCCATCTGGACCCATATGATTCCTCAGAAGCTCATGCAGTATTTGCCTGAAGAGACCAAATCTCATGCCGGTGAGATCTTTGGAAAGCTGACAACGGCACTGGAGTACCCCATGGGATCTCCCACTCGCATCGCCATCAACCGCGCCTATCAGGAAACCATGAACCGCCTGGTAACCTTCGCCATCATCGCAACTCTGCCGCTGATCCCACTGAGTCTTGTTATGGTGGACTATAAGCTGGACAAGGTGAGTACTCCAAACAATAGCGATGATTTATCTAGAGACAAGAGTGACTGACTCATCAAAGATGAGCCCTGGCAGCCACGACGATGGAGCTGAGACCCCACCGCCCATCGAAGTAGAGCCCGAGACCGATGATCGAAATCACAAACGAACCTAAGGCTATACCCCTTGGGGCATTAGCCTGTCCATTTTCACGAAAGCTACGATCACACGACCTGTTATTCTTTTTTTTGGTTCTGTTCTTGTCTTGTCTTGTTATTTGATTGTTGTTTCCATGGATCTCACTCCACTGCATTGGACAAACTCAGCAAGCCGGCGTTTTGGTTATCGATTGCGGATCACATTATGGATATTATATCTGGACATGGGCCACATGTGCAGCACGATTCATTTGCATATGGCGTTGATTAGAAGTAGATACATACATTCGAGAATGAACCCCTGGTCCGATAGACTTTGATTTTCTGAAAATGTCATCCCTAATCCTACACATAAGACATAAATCTTGCACCTAGGTGGCGCACCTTCGAGCCTAGTCAATTGCACATGTACATGCCTTTCGCCTACCTGGCCAATATAAGTAACCGCCGGTCATGTACCCAGCTAAGATCCCTTAGGTAGGTAAGCTTTCGAAAAATTCAAATCATTTTCAGATCGTCATCTAACTGAGCTCCTACTGGATAACCTACAGTATAGTAGGCCTCGGAACTGTCTTCTCGGCTAATAACCACTAAGACAATCATTGACCGTATTCGTCTTTTTTCGTAATCATTCAAGATACCAACAATTGAATATTACATCATCATAAGCGCGAGTGGTGTAGTGGTAACATAGGGTCCTTCCATGTGATCATCTGATCGCTGATAGACCTTGCCAGGGGTTCGATTCCCTTCTCGCGCAAATGTTTTTTTGTCTTTTGTTGTTGATTTTTCCATAAATTGGTTATGCTGGTAAGCTGCAAGCCCAGTCTTACCCCCGGCGCATCACAGGGCCGACCCGTGCCAAGACCAAGCTTGGAGCTGATTTCGATCTCGATTTCAGGGTTGCTGCTGCATGATTACTGCGATACTACTGTGCCTTGTGCATATGTATGCTGATCCCTAAGATCTCACTTAATATATATGCAGTTTATTCAATGTAAGGCCCATACAAGTTGAACATGAATCTTGGGCTATCTATCGGTGTGCATCTGGGTGATTCATTTCGCTAGCGCTTGCCGAGAATCCGAGACGAGTCCCAATCCATAATACAAATGACAGGGGGTGGTGTGGACAACAGAATTGAGATTAGCGTGTTTAGGGAACCCCTTAAGGGGTATGTCGTTTCAGAGCGGTACTGCAATCAAAATTTGGGCGGTGGCTTTTTTAGAGCCTGGGGTGGGCTTTGCGCGTGTACGGGGGAATACGCAATTTGGGGTTTAGGGGGCTCTACATGGGTTTCTATGGGGAACGCAATCGGAACTCGGGGAAGGGGCTTGGTTTTCGAGGATCATTGGTATACAATTTGGGTTTGTATAGATTTTCAGATTTGGAGAAATACTCCGGGTAGATTTACTAGCAATGCATAGCTGCGGGAACGGAGCTATAGCTGGGTAATTAATGCCGGTGTTGGTTCTGTACTCGGTCTGTTCTCCGGGTCTGTTTCGCTCTGAAGCCCTCCAGGGCCAATTACTGTGTTTTGCCGACTATCACGCGCGATTTGGCATATAATGAAGAACATGACAAGTTGTCAAGGTCCCATTTTGTGGACCACAGCGCTTAGCCGACAGCGGGTGGCCGTCACATCGAGGACTTTCTTTGATACCGGTTCTTGGCGCGACCCTCGACCCGTTCGTTTTCCCGTATTAACGGTATTAGCTATGGTGACAGCAGCTCTACCTACAGGTAAGCACTTTGGAGTGAAGACACACAAATCATGTAGAGTCAAAACTGTATTAGAAAAAAAAAAGAGAGAGAAATGTGTAGTAGTGATCAGACTGATCAAAGATATGACCAAAGAATCCCCAATAAAAGAGATGGTACAGGCCGCGTATCTCACGAGACTAGCACTTGTCTAGACTCCATCTACTCTGCGGGTTGCCCCATTCAATCCAGACCACAGCTTCTCTCCCTTTTTGTCTCCCACAGTCCGCCTTTTCCTTCCCCCTCATTCTCCCATCTCTCCGTCTCCATCCTTCTTAATTAACATCACCCTGGTTCACCTCCGGTGCTCACAAAAATGGTTGTCGCTACCATCAAGTACGAAATCCCCCCTCCTTGCCGAGGCGCCCCCTCTTTCTGGGACTAACCCCGATCTCTAGGTGTGTCGTGGTGGGGGACGGTGCAGTCGGAAAGACCTGTCTGCTCATCTCGTACACAACCAACAAGTTCCCTTCGGAATATGTGCCCACTGTCTTCGATAACTATGCCGTGACTGTGATGTAAGTTTCGTCGATCTCCGCCCCCATAGGCGGATATACGAACTCGCGAATAAACCGCGTAAAAAAAAAAAAAAAAAAAAAGTGAACTCCTGAAATCCTGACTTTTTGATCTTTGGAATAGGATCGGTGATGAACCCTATACCCTTGGTCTCTTTGATACCGCCGGTCAGGAAGATTATGATCGTCTGCGCCCGTTGTCCTACCCCCAGACCGACGTTTTCCTTGTCTGCTTCTCCGTGACTTCGCCCGCCTCATTCGAGAACGTCCGCGAAAAGTGGTTCCCTGAAGTCCACCACCACTGCCCCGGTGTCCCCTGCCTCATCGTTGGTACCCAGACCGATTTGCGCGACGATGCGAACGTGCGCGAGAAGCTTGCCCGCCAAAAGATGCAGCCCATTCGTAAGGAGGATGGTGACCGGATGGCCAAGGAGCTTGGTGCTGTGAAATATGTCGAGTGTTCTGCTCTGACGCAGTACAAGCTGAAAGATGTCTTTGACGAGGTAGGACAAAACTACGATCTTTTGGAGATGAGAAGGGGAGATAGTTCTCCCGCTCTCTCATCCTTGGCTTTGTATCGCTCATAGCTAACTTTTTGATGTAGGCTATCGTTGCTGCTCTTGAACCGGCTCCCAAGAAGAAGTCCAGGGGCTGCCGCCTGCTGTGAACAGTTTTGCCATGGACAGTTTTCACAGGGTGATTTCTGCGTAACATCGGGTTGCCAGCTCGTTGATTTGCGACAGAAATCACAGATACGATGGAATGAATCTGTTTTGTTTTGTTTTTTTCCCTTTTACATTTTGGGAGGGCTATTTGGCTGGGACTTTCACTGGGATATCCACTGCAATATCGGATCTATGTTATGAGCTAGCGTTCCTATCTGAAGCGTTCTCTTTGCAATAACTCTTCATGGTTTCCAGCTCGTGGCTTCCGTTTGCTCGACTTCATCAGGGTTACTCTCTGGTCGCGATCGTCCTCTCTTTATTCCCCTTCACTTCTCTCTATGCCCTTGGGCTTCGGCGACCATCCGTCAACATACGGACGATTCCAGCATTTTAGCTTCGCCCTCCGTTTGCAAATTTCTCTCCTTTCACGACCTACAGCGACCACGAGGTTCGACCTTTCCTTCCCCTTCTCGTGTCCTCCCCCAATTTTCCCGATCTCCCATTCTATTACTCCCACGCTTGCAATTTTTTTATTTTTTTTTTCATCGTCTATCGGCGTTGGATGTCAGGGCGTCGTGTCTTTTGGCTGGGCGATGAATTATCGTCCCTGTTACCTCTATTCAATTCTTTCCTCGACCTTGCACCACGGAAATCTGAATTTGAGCTTGCTACAACTTTCTCTCCCCCAAATCATGCGTGTCTTTATTTCCCGTTTTCCCTTCTCCACGGTTTCGACTTTTTCAGATACGAGTGTCCCTCTGTTGTCATCTACCTGGTCTTATGCTTCGCGCCCATGATTCTGAAATGCGCAAAATCATCCTGAACCTTAGAACGTCACAGACAGTGGACAACCCAATTGACAAGTTCTATGATGGTTCTCTGTGTTATGGTTGATCGTAGATGGGCTTATAGAACGTTAATACTGATTCCAACCCCTAGAATTAAGATAATGGATATACTACCAAAACACACCTTGAACATCATCGTGACATGGGCATTCATTCATCGTCTATATACGGATCATGTTTCTCGTACTAAATATTGCAAGCCAATTTACAGCTCATCTTTGCCAACCTCAGACTCGGCCTCAATATCCTCAGAACCCTCAACCACGGGACGTCCATACCAACCACCGATTTCTTCCTTAACACCAGACTTGACCATGCTAGTAATAATCTCAAATGCAACTTGCGCCGCGGCCAGAGCGGTAGTCTCACCCTTGTTATCATATGCAGGCGAGACCTCAACAATATCAGCACCAACCAGGTTGAGCTTCTCCAAGCCACGCAGGATACGGATGAACTCGCGGGTAGTCCAACCACCAGGTTCGGGAGTACCGGTACCGGGCGCGGTCGACGGATCCAGAACATCAATATCAACAGACAGGTAAACCGGCTGTTCAGGGTCAAGACCAGTGCGCTGCATGATAGCCTCCACAACGCCCATAGGACCAAGCTCATCAATATCATCTGCGTGAATACGGATGAATCCCTGCTCGGGACCAGGATTCGTATAATCTCCATCATCAACACCGGTCAATCTTGTCCGCAAACCCGCATGAGCAGAAGTCGAGTTACAAATCAATCCCTCCCGGCTAGCCTTGTGGAAGAAACTTCCATGGTTGAACTGCGTCTGCTCAGACTGCCAGTATGCACTGTAACGCACCGGATTCCAGGTATCAAGGTGCGCATCGAAGTGCAGCACTGTAATTGGCTTCTGGTAGATCTTATGCAAAGCACGCAGAGCCGGCAAGGCGACACTGTGGTCGCCACCCAGCGTCACCAGCTTGGGGTGACCAGAGCCAATGTTCCCCTTGCCATTCGGGGCCTCGTTCACGACCTTGCGGGATCCGAGCTCCAAGAACGCTTCGTACATCTGGCGCTCGGCGAGTCCGTTGTCGAACGGCGTAATCGGAATATCGCCACAGTCGGTGATCTTTGCCCACGACTGGTACGGGTTGATACCCGCGCGAGTGTTGTAGCTCGTACCGGACATCTGGCGTGCGCTTGCTGCGCGAATGGCGCGGGGACCGAACCGAGCACCTGGTCGGTAACTTACGGCTGTGTCAAAGGGCGCGCCGATGACTGCGATGTCGTAGTTCTCCGAGGGCTCGATGAGGCACTTTACTGGGCGGAGATGGGCGAAGCTGGCGATGCCGGAGAAAGACCACTGGATTTATTTTAGGCATTGGCATTGACATTAAAGTTGATGGTTCTAAACATACCTCCTGGTCCCATTTCTTCAGCAATTCCTCGCGCTCGTGCTCGGGCACAACCTCGCTATCACCGTGGTGGGCACACGAGGCCGCGGTACTGGCCAGCGCCAGCACGCTCAACAAAGACTTCAATGCAGGCATAGCTGTGAAAATTGATCCGAGAAGCTGGGAAGAAAAAGAAACAGAAGGGAGAAATGCCGGGAAAACCGAATATATAGAAGCGCCGATTTTCTTAGTCCTTCGCTCAACTTCCTAAATCAGAGAGCTTTATCTAAGAAGGAAAGACGAGCAGATAGCGCCCCGCCTCTCTCCGCCCGCCAATAATCGGCAGTGGAACCGCGGAGTCGTGCAGACCTTCCCTTCTTGGCTTTCTTTCTACTTCTTCTTGACCGTCAACTTCTTCGGCTGTACTTTCTTTGATTCAAGGATACGGGATGCCATGCGTCGTGTTGTCGTTACGGGTTTAGGTGCCGTGACACCTCTGGGTGTTGGTAAGTTCAAGTGTATTTTGTGTTCCTTATTTGTCTTTCCCTTCGCTCCACGCCGGACAACCCCCCAGTCAATGCAATTCAAATTGTCAATCGAGTCAAAATGGCCCCCCAATGTTATTCAGAGAGGTGCTAGAGATTGATCCCTTATGCTGCCCCGGACTTGCACGAGACAAAAAATCTAGCGGGCGAGTCTCCACTACACACCGGAAGGGGAAGGTCTGGACAACCAATGACGGCACTTGAAATGCTTGGCTCGGCGGACTTAGGACCGCTTATTCGGCATGGATACTACAGTAAACTGTTTACTTGACCTAGCGGGATGCAATTTCGATTGCTCGACATTGGGATCGGCATGATGCTATTCGTTTTGGGTGGATGAGCTAATCGGTTTATGCTCTAGGTGTCCGGCGGACGTGGAAGCGCTTGCTAGATGGGCATTGTGGTATTGTGAATGTGAACCATCGGGATGAGCGCTTTGCAGAGCAGCCGTGTCAGATTGCTGCTGTTGTGCCCGAAGGTAGTCGGGAGGACGGTGGGTGGATGGCTTCGGAGTGGTTGAGTCGGGGTGTAAGTTTCTTGATACGAGAACTATCTGTTTCTCAATTTTATAATTGATGTATTTTGTATGCTGATGCATTATAGGAGGAGCGCAAAATGGCTTTGTTTGCCCAGTATGCTATGGCTGCGACAGAAGAGGCTCTTGAGGATGCGGGTTGGAAGCCAACCAAGTTTGAACAGAGAGAAGCAACTGTAAGCTCTATTTGGACAAATATCAAGCATTGATTGCGATATGTTATTGACTTGTGCCTAGGGAGTCTGTCTCGGATCTGGAATTGGCAACTTTGATGAGATTTATAACACTGTTGTCGCATATGAAAAGGGTGTAGGTTCAATGTTGCTGCAAATGCAAACGCTGTTTTCCGCTGACTGAATCAAGGGATATAAAAAAGTGAATCCGCTCTTTGTGCCGAAGTTGTTGATCAATCTTGGGGCTGGACACATTTCGATGAAATATGGATTCATGGTATATATCGAATCTGCCACTGTAGCTTGAGTTTTGCTAACTGCCTCAAGGGCCCAAATCATGCAGCGACAACTGCTTGCACTACTGGTGCTCATTCAATCGGCGATGCAGCGAGATTCATCGCTTGTGGTGATGCTGACTTGATGGTTGCTGGCGGGGCTGAATCGTGTATCCACCCCCTTGCCATTGGCGGCTTTGCTCGGGCTCGAAGTCTGGCCACAGATTTTAACGATAACCCAAAGAAGGCATCACGTCCGTTTGATGCTGACCGAAAAGGGTTCGTCGTCGGCGAAGGTGCCGGCGTACTTATTCTCGAGGTATGTCTTCTGTGGCGATATCGAGCATATGGTCAGTGTGCTAAAGTCAGCTTAGGAAATGGAACACGCACGCGCACGAGGCGCACATATCTATGCAGAGCTAAGAGGATATGGCTGTTCTAGTGATGCACACCATATGACAGCACCGAAAGAAAACGGCGAGGGTGCATTTATGGCCATGAAGAAGGCTCTTAAGCAGGCCCAGTTGCCTCCCTCGGCAGTCGACTATATAAATGCCCATGCAACATCAACAATGGTTGGAGATGCAGCTGAGAATGCGGCTATTAAGTCACTTCTTTTAGGTCCAGATGGCAAGCATAAGGCGGAAGATGTGAACATCAGTAGTACAAAAGGCGCTATTGGTCACCTTCTCGGCGGCGCTGGCGCCATCGAAGCGGTTTTCAGCACTCTTGCAATCCAGGATGTAAGTATTTTCTATGCCTAAACTCCCGTGGGTTATATACTGACTTGAGTAGAACGTGATGCCGCCTACTATCAATTTAGATCGTCTTGCCGACGGATTTGACTGCAATTATGCCCCAAAACAGGCCCAACCGAGGCAGATAAAGGCGGTCTTGACAAACAGCTTTGGGTTCGGGGGAACGAATAGCAGTCTTTGCTTTGCGAGGCACGAAAAATAGCCCTAGACGGGACATGTACAATAGTGTAATCTAAGATTATGGCAGATATGGAAATTCTCGAGCGCGTGATCAATAGGCTTTTCCATCAAAACCTATGTCAGACTCAAAATGGTCAGATACAATTCAGCCGGCTACAAAGTGCCAATTCACTTGAATTCCGTAGGACTCTGTGCCTAACGCCGCGCTCGAGTATAGTGAATGAGGGCCCACGTGACTTTATCCAAATGCGGAGCCCCAGCCCGTCGTTCCATCTCAAGAGTCCTATATGAACACAAAACCCCTGACAGTACCCTCCTCGCCGACTAGAAAATTACCGGAAACAACAATAGCGCGAACCACTGTGTCTGGAACACTCCATATCCGCTGTCATAATGGCGACGAACGGCGAGTCCGGTCGAGGTAAGCGCACCCGCTTTGTGAGCGTGACAAAGGAACAGCTGCGCCTCGAACTTCAGACAAAACGGTCGCAGATAGATTCAAGGGCTATGGGCTAATTTTGACGTGCGAGAATAGCCTCCGGAAGCCTGGTTGATGCATCGGGCTACAAGTTTACAGAGAAGGATACGAAGCCCGGCAAGATGAAGGTCAAGAAGACCTCCAAGGCCTCGACTAAGAAGAAGGCAGACGGTACAATTCGATCGCAGACGAATGGCCCCGGATCTGAAATCTAACTGGAATCTACAGATGCGAAAGATGGACCTGTTGACTCCTCACCTACCTCTCCTCTGCCCAAATTAGACGACAAGCTCGCCACTTCTTTCCCAACGGGTAGACCGCGCGAGGAAGATCTGCTTGAGACCGTTATCTGCAAGCACTGCAAACGCCCCGTTTTGAAATCATCTGCTCCAGAACACATTCGTGGGTGTCTGAAGGCAAAGCAAGAGAAGGCGCGCAAGAAGAAGGAAGCTCGTGACGCTGCGAACAGGGCTAAGGTGACTGACGGCAAAGACGACGACGATATCCGTGACAAGGCCGACATGGGTGAAGACGCAATGAAGGGACAGAAGAGCGCGAAGAAGAGTGCAGTCAAGGGCACCACTGACGATGGCACGAAAAAGGGCAAGAAGCGCAAGGCCGATGAAGACGATTCCAAGGAGCCCAAGAAAAAGAAAAAGAAGGATGAACCTAAGGCTAAGACTGCGAAGCCTAAAGGTCCTGTTGATGTTGAGAAGCAGTGTGGTGTGACCCTGCCCAACGGTGCCCAGTGTGCTCGCTCGCTCACTTGCAAGAGCCATTCGATGGGCGCCAAGCGTGCCGTCCCCGGCCGGTCTCTTCCTTATGATATGCTACTTCAGCAATATCAGAAGAAGAACCAGGCTCGCCAGCAGAGTATGTCATCTCCTTGTTTGAAGGAATCTCCCAAGAAGAGCCAAGAGAAATTCGGAGATTCCTTACCCCCTCTATGGACTCAGATTATAACCCAGATGATTAACGTGTTCTCTTCTTTTTTGTTGTACAGAGGCCGCGATCGATGCCAATGCCCCGCTGCAAGACGAAGTTGATACGAATGGGCCGGTTGATTCGGACGAAGAAAGAGATACTGTCATGGCCGCTATTGCCCGCTCCAATCCAAAACCCCTCGCCGAACATACCCTCATCACCTCGAGCACGAAATATCGATATGTCCGCATCAAAGAACAAATGCTGCACGCAATTGGTGGACGCGGCGGTGGTCTTTTCTCCACTGATGACAGCCAACCTTTGTTTGGTGGAAGCATATTCCAACCATTTGACCCCCAGATGGATGTCTCCTCCCCTATAATTCCCAACGCTGACCCCGGTGATGGCTCCATCTCTGTGGATGGATCCAGAAAAACCCCGGTGCAAGGTGTACGGAAAACACCTGTTGCTGTTGCCTCCTGAACAGCCAGCATCAAATGATGATTTTACGACTATCTCCAGCATTCCCTCTTCCCCTTTTTGCCTCATCATTCTGCGGGTTTCCCCTTTAAAGTGCTGGCGTTTAAGGGCGCAAGAATTGTGCATACCCTGCTTTGTTTGTCATTTGCCTCTTGGTTTCCTGGCCATGAATTTTGGCGGGGAAACAGGCTGTTTCTGGTTTTTGATTCGGTAATGACATGATACCCCGGTTACTGGCGTGCTAAATTCGCAAGTAGTAACCTCAATGGATGTTTGATGCTCACTTTGAGCTTTAATTAAGAAAATCCTAGTAGTCTTTGTAGATCGTGCATGGTAAAAAATAGTTAACAAGATGAAGGTTTGATTATGTGATATTGAAACCTGAGGTGTCGAAAGGCATCTATCCAGCTCCGTCGATCATGTCTTTGAGAGACAATACTCGTGATCCGCAATGCAAGCCTACCTTTAATGCCTGTTTGAGCTCTAGACGCACTCGAAACACCCAAAAAAAACCCCATATTCGTGTCTCCTGTATGGTGCGAATGCCGGTCACCTACCTCCCCCAGTCGCATTGAGCTTCCTCGTACTCCCACCACTTTGATCTCAGCACCTCTCGTCGCAGCCCTGGAATTACTGCAGAATCGTCGCAAGTGATCGACCATACTCGACGTTTTTTTTTTCTTGACTCAAAGGCTCGCCATGAGTCACTCCGTTCCCGATCTCGATGTGATAGGCATCAAAGCCGAACACGACCTAGCAGACCAATTCCGTCGCGAAGTCGCCCAACTTCTCGGGCGCACGAACCTCAATTTTCCCGGCGCACAACCTGTCAGCTTTTCTGCAAAACATCTGACGGAGCTTCAAAAAGAGGATTACTATGTTTGCGAGAAGACAGACGGAATCCGGTGCCTGATGTATTTTGCGCGCGGTGACCCCGATTCCGAGTCGCCGGAAATTCACTACCTGATCGATCGCAAGAACGACTATCGCTTTGTGCCCGGCCTGCATTTCCCACTGCCGAACGATGATACCTTCCAATCTTACCACGTCGATACGCTGGTAGACGGCGAGCTGGTCAACGATGTATACGAGGACGGGTCCCAGCAGCTTAAGTACCTGGTTTTCGATTGCCTCGTGCTAGACGGACAGAGCCTGATGCACCGAACACTCGACAAGCGACTCGCATATTTCAAAGAAAAAGTTCTGAAGCCATATAATGCGATGTACCGCAAATTCCCGGAAGAAAAACAGCACCGCGCCTTCGCCGTCGAGGATAAGTCCACACAGGTCAGCTACGGCATTGAGATGATGTTTCGCGAGATCATTCCGGCAGTCAAGCAAATCCATGGAAATGATGGCCTAATCTTCACTTGTCGAAGCACACCCTACCGCATTGGCACAGACGAGCATATCCTCAAATGGAAGCCTCCCGCTGAGAACACTATTGATTTCCGCACACGCCTCGAGTTTCCCGTTCTTGAGCCAGACACAGACGATGAAGCAGAAGGTATTACAGAACCTTACACCGACTACGATGCTATTCCAACCTTTCACCTCTTCGCCATGCTAAATGCAGGCGAGTACCGCCATTTCGCTGAGATGTACGTCACACCCACAGAGTGGGAGGAACTAAAAGCCATGCGTGTCCCGCTAGACGATGCCATCGTCGAGTGCTACAAAGATGAGAACGGCCGCTGGCGCTTCCATCGTTTGCGGGACGATAAAAATGACGCAAATCACATTTCGACTGTTGAGAAGGTCTTGGAAAGTATTGAAGACCGCGTTACAGAAGAGGATCTTATTCGCCTTGCGCCTGTCATCAAGGCAGCTTGGAAAAAACGACAGGCTGGAATGGGCTCAGGTGGGATGCCGCCAATGAATGGAGGTGGTGTTAAGCGGAAATTTGAGGAATGACGAATTCAAAAGGACATAACTCACTCTTACCTCATTGTTTTATCTCGTTGGCCTTAGTATCATTTGCAGGGTGTTTGGCGTTGGGCTTGTTCTAAAAAATTTTTTTCTGTTCCGGTATCCTTCGGGCTCTAAAGGGTTACTTACAGTCATGATCCAATGGATTGTTCAGGTGGCGCGAGAAAACCTTGAAAGTATTATATTTGAGACGGTATTGGAATCTGGTTTATATTTATAGGAATAAATAGATGCATCACCAATCCATTCCCACGCGAAGAAAATTCACATAGGGTACGGTTTTGCAGAATTCTTTCATTGAAATCATACGGGCTCCAGTTGGAAATGTTGGATTGGTTTGCCTTGGATTTTTCGTTTGTCAAAGGCATGATATCTATCTCCAAATCAGGAAGGCGCAGTTTTCGAGCATAACCCCCCTCCCCCCGGCTCTCTTTTTTCGAGATACAAACATTCTCTTCTTTTTATACATGAATATTTCCCATATGCTGCTCCAGATTCCGTAGATTCTATTGTTTTATTGTCAACTGTCACCTTTGGATCTCATGGTGATCCGCGTCGGCGATACAAGTATACTGATTCTCATGACTATTGTTAGTTAGTGCCTAATAGGCCTCCCTATTTCCTCAGCCAATGACAACTGAGAGATGTGAAAATTGTTCTTCTAATGGAGTCCACTTGTAGTTAAAAACTGGACCACGTAATACTGGGGCCGAAAATATATATTCACGCGACTAAAAACACGCTAAAGGAGCGCTAACGTTTACGCTAAAATATACGAGCTGTCCTCTCTGGCTAACAACTTCAATCACAAATGCTGCCTATTTTGAGTATCTGTTAAACATGTATAAATACCGCGATAAGTACAATGCTCTAAAGGAATCATCGCAATTTCTAGTGATAAGAAATTACCATGCTCTTCCACCTCCTCACTCTCGCCACTGGCCCGCTAGTACTTGCCGGTGCTAGACACATATCAACTCGTCAATCTTCCAGCACAACGTCTACTCTCATAGCAACACAGTATGGAACGGTTTTTGATGCCCCAGTCACGATAGGGAATCAGACCTTCATGCTCCTCGTCGATACTGGGAGCAGTGATACCTACGTGATGCAAAACGGGTATAAATGCGTCAATAGCACCGACAACCTCGTCATACCACAGCTTGACTGCCTCTACGCGAACAAGACCTACCAAAAATCCAAAACCTACCACCGCGTCCCAAATGAGATATTCGGCGTAGAATATGGCGCAGGCATTGCGAGCGGCCTCATGGCCTATGAACAAGTGTCAATAGGTGGTATAAGCGTGGAGGCACAGAAGGTCGGCATCGCAAATGATTCGAACCCCATGGGCGATGGCGTGAATAGCGGACTGCTCGGCCTGGCCTATCCATCTCTCACCTCCGCACATCCGGCGAACCAGACATCCAACAGCACATACTGGCGTGATCGTCTGGTGTACAACCCTTTGTTGTACACAATGCATGAGCAGGGCCTTGTAGATTCATACTTCAGTCTGGCGCTCGCGCACACACCGCAGAATGAATCTACATCTTTTGGAGGGTATATGACTCTCGGTGGTCTGCCACCTGTCAACCACAGCTCCCACTTCGCGACAGTCCCTGTGGAAATCACAGATAACATTCCGCTGTGGTTCACATCCGGCAAAAATGTTCGATCGTACTGGTCAACCACTGTCAACAATATCACGTACGGGTCATCGTTGAATAACCTGACTACAAACTCAACTTCATTTCAAGCATTCATCGACTCCGGGAATTATATCTCTTACCTCCCTGACGCGATTGTCGGTCCGATCAATGCTCTTTTCTCGCCTCCGGCGACTTATGAATCTGAAACTGGATTGTATGTTGTTGATTGCTCTGCTAAAGCGCCGGAATTTGGATTGTCGCTTGGTGACCAGACATTCTACCATAATGGCTCGGATCTAATCTACCAGACCTCTGAGGGGGTCTGTGTGTCCAGTCTGGCTTCGTCTTCAGAGGTATCTCTGGGTGATATCACTTTGAATATAATTGGCGTTCCATTTTTGAAGAATGTCGTCGCCGTCTTCGATTTCGGGAAGAACGAGATGCGATTCGCGAAGAAGTTCAGCTCGAAGGAAAGTGTTTCGGGAAACAATACCTTGGCCCCTCTGCCTTCTGATGCTCCGGTACAGTACTCTAGCCGATATAGCATTGTGATTGGTCTGTTCCTGGGGCTAGTGATCTCGCAAGCGGTATAGAAAGCCGAGGAAATTTGGACACTGTCTTACTTAGCTCAGAGTTAAATGAGGATCTCTGGATTATCCTTGGTAGTGGCCTCGCCTCTTTAACCTCTATTATTCTTCCGCCCTCCGCCAACGCCTTCAATACATCACTCATCGCTGCGCCACTGCAATTTCACCGCTCCAATCGGACGGTCTGTCACAGCTACCCCCGCATTTACCCTTCCATTTTCCGTTCCTTTTCTGGACTCGCAAATTGCGGCTGAGCCTTTGTCACCTTCACCTTGAGAGTTTTAAATTGGAATATTTTGAACTAAATACATGCAAATATTGTGTCTTGGTCACCTGAAACTCATCTCTTTGCCAACACAGTAAGTAATATTAGCCTCCTCAAGAATGCTCACTTACTGCAGTTGAGCCTATTTTCTATGCAAAGTGGTCGACTGTACGGTGTTGTTTTTTGAGGAGTCACTCGTATGTAGCGGGTTTCCTGTCCTATTGCTTGGCCCTCTTCCGGTTTAAGGCTCTCGCTCGCCACTTTTGACTCACCGAGCAGAACTCAGCGCGTCTCTGAGCGCCCTCATAAAAGCGGCGGCAGCTAAGATAAGAAAGCCCCCACCTTGGAGTGGAAACCCAGTGCAGAGTATCACGGGTATCCACTATGATATCCACTAAATATCAGCACCCAGGAACCATGGTTACTCAGCCGGATATGCCCTGAACGGATATAGCTAGCTGCTAGGTTAGGTTCTTTTCAAATATGTGTCTATGCCGATGTCTAATCCAATGACTTAAAAAAATGATGTTATTTTCACAACGAAATTCAGAGTACTGTCGCGGCTGTGGACTAGGAACGAGAAGAATTATAATCAATTGACGCATCCATAGATTTTCACGTAGGTTGTACGCCATCTTGAGAAAGGAATCATCAGAGGAAACCCACCATCTTTGGACCCAATTCTCTCGGGTTTGATACCTAACAATGGGGCCAGATCCTCAAGCTAAGACAGGCACTACTAACCAAGAATAAAACCTGCTGATGAGGCCGAAGTAGCCGACCGATCCGGGTCTTCCGAAGGTCCAAAATACCTTCTCCACTTGCTTTGCTGACGCGATACGAGCTTTCAACTTGTTTTCGCCCTTTTCTCAGAAACTAAGGTGGTCTTTATAAATATATCCGCTGTAAGCACTAGATACAACGGCACGGAAATAGGACATAAGCATATACTTTGGCTGCGCTTTCCCCGGACTTTTTCCCTTAAAACCTTTCTGGTGTCTCCCAAGTAACCCACGCCAGTTATGCTTTCCCCAGTTCGTCTGCTCCCTCTGGTTGGGAGTCTTCTCCCATTCGTCTCCGGACGGCCGTCTACCAGTCCTTCCGTGGTTCTTCCTCCTAGCGAAGATCCTTTCTACAGTGCTCCACATGGCTATGAGACCAAACTCCCCGGAAGCGTTCTGCGCATACGCCACGCACCAGGTAATCTGACAGCCTTGGTCAGCAATGCCTCCGCAGCATACAACATTGTTTATCGTACTACGGATAGCCAATATCGCCCTTCATGGGCCGTGACCACCGTATTTGTCCCTACAACTCTTCGCCACAAGAAAGCTTCGTCCTTACTCTCCTATCAAACTCCATATGACTCCCATGACGTCGACGCCAGCCCCAGTTATGCAATGTACTCTTCTCCTCCTATAGATGTCTCCCTCGCGCTGAATGAGGGTTGGTACGTCAGCGTCCCCGATTATGAAGGTCCTCTCGCGTCCTTCACCGCGGGTGTACAGTCCGGCCACGCTACACTCGACTCCATCCGGAGCATCCTTTACTCCCATGCTACCTTGGATTTCAAGACTTTGTCCTCCATAGCTCTATGGGGATACTCCGGTGGTGCTCTTGCCAGCGAATGGGCCACGGAGCTACAAGGGCAATACGCCCCGGAGCTCTCTCTTTCCGGTGCTGCCCTCGGCGGTCTCACGCCTAACATCACCAATGTGATGGACACCGTCACTGGTACACTTAGCGCGGGTCTCATCCCCGAAGCAGTCCTTGGTTTGGCGAGTCAATACCCGGCTACCTACGATTATTTGGTCAGTCAATTGAAAAAGGAGGGAAAGCATAATCGCACGACTTTTCTCATGGCAAAGGAAATGACCCTCTCCCAGGCAGAGGTTTCCTTCGTTGGTCAGAATGTCTTTGATTACTTCGTCAATGGCTCAGATACCTTCAAAGCTCCTGTTGTGCAACATGCGCTAAACAGGGACGGTTACATGGGATACCATGGCGTTCCTCAAACTCCGATATATGCGTACAAGGCGATCAATGATGAGGTCAGTCCTGTTGCTGATACCGACTCTCTGCTGGAGAGATATTGTGGCGTTGGGGTAAATATCCTATATGAACGGAACACGATCGGCGGGCACAGTGCGGAGGGTACCAATGGTCATGCGAACGCCTTCAAGTTCATATCCTCCGTCTTGGGTGGGTCATACGATCAGTTATACCAGACGGTGGGATGTACCATCAGGGATGTAACTATTAATATTACTAACTCGGTGCTATAAATTGCCGCCATGTTGAATAATGATAATTGGGCTTCATTCATGGGTGTATCTATATAAAACAGTCATCAGTGGATGAGAACAGGCATATAAGTATCACGTTCATGTCGAAAAACGTGCTTTGGCTTAATTTGATCTATCATTCATCAAGGTCACTCTCATATACTACTGAGGTAGACGGCCATTTTCAGCAACATCAGTGGCCCTTTTTGGTGTCAATTTTTAACGGCCCCATGTTCTAAATGTAGCATTTGTAGTGCTTCTTCTAACCCACCACTTGTATCCACAATCCCAGAGCCCACATATTCTAGTCTAAAGTCCATCTCCGGCTCCTCGCTTTGTATGTCATCTTCTGATAGAAGGGCTTTGACAATAGTCACAGCCGTACGTGCATCCCATAGTCCATCACGGGCTGTGAATAACGGTCCCTGCATCAGGGAGAGTGCCATGCGCAAGATGCGACGATCGTTTGTCTTCAAACAGACGAAGTATAACATTGCAATGATGTTTGTAGAAAGGGTGAAACCTCGTTTGGAAGTCGTATTCTTTTCAAAAAAGGAATCCTGTCCATCGGACGACAGAAGTGTTGATATTTGGGTGAGCGCCAGATCAAATCTGCAGAAGGCATTGAGAGAAGTTTCTGCGCCATCGAGGGTGCAGACAATATTCTCCAAGAGAACCGCATGAAAAATGAGTGCTTGGCTTCGATATAGAATGAGTTGTTGGCGTTGCGAAGAACTCAAAGACTCAGAACGTTCATTCGTCATCATTTTCTCTATCTTTTCTTCCAATTTTTGGAGTTGGGACTCTAAATTCAGCCTTTCCTGAAGAACAACGGGTGGCACCTGAGTCAAAGGTAGATTCTTATACTCCACATACTCCATTAGATGCCACAATGTCCAATTTTGGAGCACGACAAGTGATTTTTCTAAACCAGGTAGGCCCGATGGCTCATCTGGAACCGTAGGAATTATCCCCAAAACTTGTTCCGGCAAGGCAAGTCGCAGAATGGGGATTCTTTCGGGTGAAAAGATACTGGCATGAATATCAAGCTGAGAGAATATTGCCGCCAACTGCACATAAGACTCCTGGCCTTCCGTAAGACACGGACAATCGGTTTGAAGTCTTCGCAATATGATTAGGCCTTGATCTAGATGCCATAATGCTTGTCGCACATTGCCAATTAGGCACTCAAATGTATAAAATATGAGGCTGCAGATAAGCGCAACCTCAGCTGAGGCGTCCTGGGCAAGATACGCACGGAGCTGAGAGTGTGATCTGGTGATAAGCTGGATATGTTTGACAGACACCTTAAGTTGTGGTGACTCAGCAAGATAATAGTCGCGATAAAGACAACTGAGCGCCACAAGGGAATTGCGTATAACAGGCTGGTCTTGACTTCTCTGCATGATGAGGTGTCTCCATAGTGTATTCTCCGAGAATCGAGAAAAGGACTCGGCTGCTTCGCTGCAGTAATAGTGAAGTAGTTCACGATCCGTGCGACTGCCGGGGACTTTGAATGGAATGTTATACACTTTGATTTTTGGTTGACAGTTGACAGCTTGGGGATACCCGGGACAGCTTCGCCCGGTAGAAGAGCATCGGAGACACTTGGGACGTTGTTCATCGCATTTTACTCGGCGGATTCTGGTTTGGTTAGAACTGATAGACTGGGCACGGTGTCATTGACTCACTTGCAGGTGGCACACCCTGTTCGAACTTTGGGCATGCTGCGGCGTGCTTTGGTGGTAATCATGTCTCAACCCAATTGACTGTACGAGATTGACCGGGGATAAGGAGCATGGATCAGATCAAGTTTAGAAATAGAGGAAGCCAAAGAAGAAGGCTAAAGCTTACTAGCTTTAGGCAGAACAAAAGTACTTAGTGGGGGCGAAAATTCACTCGTGGCTGTTGCTTATTCAATTTGTTTAAGGTCACGCGTCGATTATTATCGGGACACTAAACTAAGATTGCTGTAAAAAAAGATTCTCTAAGAAAGTGGTCTATATGATTTTGAGTTCTATCAACCTAATTCACAGAGTTATGGTCATATTATTTCAATTGCCTCCTCACGATCCCAATTAATTAAAAATTTTAAAACCACCTGGAAGGCCCTTCTGGAAAAGACCCTGCGGATCGTACTTCTTGCTTACGGCCTGAAGATTACCTTTACTCTCATTTCCATATCCATCAATCACAGCTTGTCCGGCACCCGCGTAGTTGTAATATTTATAAGGACGGTAGACCCCAGCTTCCTTAGTTGCGGCCTCGATATCCATAATTAGCTTCCTTGCTGCGAGATCAACATGTCGATCGGCGAAGGTGTCGTTGTAGTAGGCTGTTATGAGGGCAATGCCGAGTCTCTCCTCTCCTGTATCCAGCCCTAAACTGTTCACGCGGTTCAGGACAGGAGAGGGTTGAAGAGTTAGATACCAGTTCATGGCGGGAACATTGGTAATACCGGCGATGGATGCGTTGTAGATTTTGTAAATTGTTGAATAAATGTCTGGGGTGTGTGCAAAAGTTGTCGTGTACCAGGTTTGTCTATTATTTAAAACTGTTAGCTTAATTTCTTTATATCGCGGAATAAAAACCAGGTCATTCCAAATGGTACAAAAACTGCTTACCGTCTGTTAGATGACTGGTAGCTGTCTGTCTCTGCAGCGAAAGACTCCATAGTATCAATGCGCAAGGCGTCGGAAAACGATGTAGCGTTGTTTGCAAGGCCATTAAAAGCAGCTGGATATGGCACTGGCTTGGTGTACGCCAGACCATTGCTGATCGAGCCCCCAAACGCAGATGACCAGCCATAACTCTGGATCATGGCTGCATGAGGATCATAAGGCTTAGCACCCATGAACTTCGAGAACGCCAATGTCTGTGCAGACCACTGGTTGGTCTCATAGGCGATAAATCCTCCCCAGAATTTGCCAAGTGGGTAGGTGCTCATGATGTACTTGGTGACAATTCCGAAATTGTTCCCGCCGCCTTTCAGCGCCAGGAACAGATCAGGGTACAAATTCTCATTCACAGTGATAATCTTGCCGCTGGCCAGGACAATCTCATATTCCAGGATGTTGTCGCATCCCCACCCTAGAATTGGACCTAGGTAACTCAGCCCACCTCCAAGGAGGTATCCCCCAATGCCAACGTCCGAGTCTCTTCCGCCGGTGACAGTGACATTGTAAGGATCCAGCGCCTTCCAGACTTTCCGCCATTTCCCTCCTGGTCCAAGCTCAACGGTTTTGCGATCCGCACTGAGCTTGACTTCGTTCATGAGACTGAGGTCCAGTGTTATGCCTTTATCGATGTTGGCTGCTCCGGCGTATGGTGTGTGTCCTCCACCTCGCACGGCGAACTGGACACCAGAATCGAGAAATGAGTGTATCGTTTGAATTGCCGTGGATATTTCACTAGAGTTGGTCGGTTTTATGACGCATGATGGCTCGAGTTCTTGCTCTTCTCTGCTGAAATACGAAGCCAAAGTATCGGTGTAGCCCGTTGATCCGGGGAAGTAGACTGCGCCCGGCAGTTCTCTGCGAAGGGTTTCGCAGGCTGTCCGTGTTGCATTGGTCTGTGATTGGATTGTCTTTGCGAAGAGGCCTAGGAAGACTAGGAATCTCCAGGGAACCATGGTGATCAACAATGAAGGATAAACAACTCTGTAGAGCAAAGGTGACTCTTTATATGAAATAGGTTACAAAAACCATGAGAATCCATTTTACAACATTCGAGGCTGGTATTAGTCTCAGCCACCAAAAGCCTATTTCCTGTAGATGCATTGAAAAGAAATGGAAGTTATTTAGCGATGATCTAACTTTTCCCCACGTGGCCATGGAAAAGGAAGGTAAGCACAGATGTACCCAGTACTTATCCTGTCAGCATATCCACCCATTTAATATATGCTACTACAAGTACTCAGTACATCAATTTAAACTTCCATGTCCCTGTAATCCTGGGGCTAGAAAGGGGGATTCGTTTCAGGTTCACGCGAACGCCCAGATCCATCTAAAGTGGCGGTCATTGGTTCGCAAGGGCTGCTAAGAACGAACTAAAATGACAAGTGAACACACTTGGTAGTCATTGCCATTCAATTTCTCGGCTATAAAAAACTCGTTTCTACACGAAGCAGGAATCGTAATCGGAAAACAAAACCTTGTCGCATATTACTGCCCCACCATTCGGGGACTGAGCACCATCCTGATATCCTCACCTTCAGCGGGAGATACAACACCAGGGATAGGCTTGGAATAATCGGGTCGGGGAAATGAAGCATTCTTCGGGCCTCGTGGCCTATCTCCTGCAGCCCCCAATCCCAGATCCAGATCTCCTATACTGATGTCGTATCGGCTAAGTAACAATGCTACGACGGGGTAGATGGCCCCTCGGGCATAAAAACGCCCGGGGCAAAGAGTGCTTCCGCCACCGAATGGACGGAAACTGAGACTGGACTTTAAGCTTTTGGTTTGCTGAAAACGATCTGCTTGAATTGCTTCGGGGTTAGGGCCCCAGGATTCGGGATTGAGATGTAATTGGCGGTAAGAAATCTAGAGAAGCAAATGTTAGTCTTATACATCTAGTTCATATGAATGGCTTACCAGTATCTTGTTTCCTTTCCGAAAAGTGGTTCCACCAATGCAGATATCCTCCATCACATCTCGCACGATGGGAGTGCTGGTCGTGACGCGCAGGACTTCGGACATCAAAGAGTCGAGAATCGGACAGTTCTTTGTCAGATGGTGATGATCGATCTGGTCACCTTGCGTCGCTGGTAGGATTTCAATGCGTACAATCTCGAGGTCGGTCTGGTTATGAACCAAGTGGGCAATTAGCCAGAATGCCGACTTGTACATATTTCCTACGATCCTATCAAGCTGTCAGCATTATGATATCCTGGATAAGGGATTCACCTACGCCCAGGTCTGGAGGGTCAATACTCGAGCAAGCTCCTCAGTGGTTAGATTCGACTCTCGCATGTTGTCTTCTAAAGCAACGATCCAAGGCGCTGCACCCGGTCGCTCACTACGAGGCAATGAGAAATACTTTTCAAACAAATCAGTCATCTCTGCCTTGGCTGCAAGCATATCCTGACTCATAATTCCTGGCAAATTGAAGAGGAATTTCCAATTGACTCTTTCCCAGAGCAAGAACCAATGCACGAAATCAGGCTTGAGCGTCCAGATTGCTGGTCCATAGAACACCTCGAGAACGTTGGTAATGAGCGCCTCGATACATAGCTTCTCGAGAGATATAGCTTTGCGGCCGTCCTTTTCACCTAAAAGCGCCGGATGGGGGACATCACGCTCGAAATCGAACGCACGACGGACCAAAGGTAGCGTGTTCTCGTCAAGGAACCCATCTAGCATAATCCCAGGCGCCAGGTAGTGACGAAGAGTGTCCACCATCATCCCGATCGGTGGAAGTGGTCGAGGCTGCTGCTGATTATACGAAGCAGATTCATCAACGGTGAATAGCTTGTCCACCCCCTTGGGGCTCATCCCTACACCAGCATGTATGCTTCGAACGATAACCTCATTTGAGAGAACGGCTTCGTTCCTGTAGGTTTCGGCAACATGCTTAGGATCGGTGATAATGTAAATTTTGACGCCGCCCGCAACGATTGCGAACGGTCGCTTCGAGCCGCCAAATCGCTCACTAGGTGGCTAGTTAGCCCGTAAAGCCTCAAAATCTCCAGGAAGAGGGTATCCAACATTATGCACGCTAGCGACCCGTTGAAGTCAAGGGCGAGTGGGATTGCATGACCTGAGGTGCATTAGATTCATGCAGTGATACGAGGTTGCAATAGGGGGGGGACAGCAGTGTCTGACCTAGAACTATTGGTGTATCACAAACAGGGTCAGTTATTATAATTTAGGCTGGGGAAAAAAAACAAATGCTGTGCGAAACTCGGAAACTCACAGGGAATCCAATATGGGGCTTCTTTAGGTTCGTTTGGACATAGCCTGGGGAGAATGGAAAACCTCCAGAGTCTCCAAGTTAACAAGAGACCAGCCACGATCAATAGTACGGTCAATGGTGTGTCAGGGATGCTGTCCAGGACTACCCATGAGAGCGGTGGACTCGCCATTGAGGCGGGGAAATGTGATTATTTGGGGAGAATAAGGAGGCAATTGTTCCTTTGGTTTATGTCCAGTGTTCCTATCTGAGTTCCAACGCTCTTTATACAATAGCCTACGCTGAGTGTTTAGTCTAGCACACTGAAGCTGCAATACAGTGCCGTGGTAATCCTTCGGGTTTTCTTGTTAAATAACATAGTTTTGGACCCACAGTCATGGGGGCTGATTCTTGGTGGTCATGCAGGCTTGAAGATCTGCAGTGAGCGCCCAAGGTCATTGGCGGGGATGCATACAGAAACGCCAATACTGTACACGCCGACTTGGAAGGTTACTGCAGGAATGAAGGCAGGGATAAGATTCCTGCACGGAGAAAGCGCGTGGCCACCATGATCAACACCCGTCCACCCCCCAAACTTGGCCCCCATCTTTTGCCCTCTTTCTACCTAATTGCCGAAACGATACTCGTGTTATGGTGGGGATTATATAGAAGCCATGAGATATCTGTGTGCCGCGTGGTGATCACCCACGTTTCTTTAGACTTCCCCTGGCATATCATTCAATTTTGCAGGACCATCATGTCTGCGGCCGATTTGGCTAGCATGCCAGCGGCCACTCCGCCGCCTGGAGTCACTGCGAATTTCGACAATCCGCCATCCAATGCCTATATTCTGATAATTGTGACGACTATATGCATGGTACTCTTGTATGTGACTATGGCTATCAGTCTGTATGCCAAATTCAACATCCGGAAGAAGGTGGCTTTGGATGATTGTGAGATTCTTGCCTTGTTCCAGCCGCTTGGCCATGCTAACCTCTTCAGGGACTCGATCAATTGCGACATTTGGTACAACAATCTACTATATCGCTAGTGTCATCGGTACAGCTTCCATATCTTTGATGCCTCCTCTTCCTCCAGAGCATGTACTGATTATTTTACCATTTAGCCGTGACCAAAGGCAAATTCGGTATCCACATGTATGATCTCTCAGCAGCCGATGCCATGTGCACTTCCTTTATCATCTCAGGGTTCTTCACAAATTGGCTTACCGCGCTGGTATGGCCATTCGCCAAGTCATCCTTCTTCCTCATGTATCTCGAAATGTTCCGCACAATACGCTGGCAGCGATACGCCAATTACATTGGGCTATTCGTAAACTGGGGGTTCTACACTGCGGTCTTGGTGGCAACTCTCTCTTTTACCAGCCCGGCACCCGGCGAGACATGGCAAGACTCTTTGACCTCCGAGCGCTACGCCAAAATGGAGGCTTGGATCATTCCCATTGCTTCAATCAATCTCGTCATTGACGTCTATATCCTTGCTCTACCGATTATTCCAATCCTGGGTCTGAGGATGAACACCAAAAAGAAGCTGGGTGTACTTTCAATATTTGCTACCGGTCTTCTGTATGTGAAGACCCACTGCATGTTCATCAGATGCTAATTACGCTATAGTGCTTGTGTCGCCTCCTCACTCAGTATCTATTTCAAGATGGTCTTGGATTGGCATTATACCGACTACAGCTTTTACACAACCCCTGTCTTGATCATGTGTCTAGTCGAGATGTGCGTTGGTGTCACGGCCAGCGCGATGCCATCGATGGCGCTTTTCTTCCGACATAACGGCGGCAAAGTGACGCGGGTGTTTTCGCGGTTCTCGCGATCATCTCAGTCTCGGTCTTCTCAGAATATGAATGCAAAGCAAGTTGAGTCAGCGGGCGATTCCGTTGACTCTGACCAGTGGCCTCTGAAGGACATTAGCTCTTCGAAGAGCCACTATGACGGCATGGACGACAACCACCAATTCAACTCGGTTCAGACCTTTATTCAGGCTGCGACTCCCACCAGCCAGGTGGACCGTGACGGCGCAATTTGTTTACAATATGCGTTTAATCAAGGCTATGAAGAGCGTTGTAAATCAGATTCCGCAACCCAGGTCTAGTCAGCCGCTGAAGACGCAGAATCATTTACCTTATCCATGGATGTATATAATGAAAATCTCACGACAACATGTCTTCTTTTCCCTTGAATATCTTTTCCCCGCATTTCAACAAAAAATAATGGGCATCAATGTATCCGTTCAGCAGGTGCTGTCGAGTACGAAGCGCTCAGCTTATCCGTTTATTGTATCCCGCATGAACCGCTCCCAAGCACTCACCGTACAAAGCATCCTTTAGCTGCAACCCCACTCGAACTAGCCCCATGCTAGTCTCACATAAACTCAACCCTTGCAGATCATCTCCTGCAATCTAGGCTGCCCCGTGCTGTCCGCGTATCTAAAAGGTAAGCAGTGACGCCATCTCACCCTCTCTACAACCTCCGAGTTGAAATATTGCAGGTTATCCAATTATACTGTCACGCCCTTGTACCTAAAGAACTGGGAATGTAGATCTTTAACACATGATTCTTAGGACATATATAGAAGCCTGACGTGGCTCATACACCCAGAACTACCCTATCCCAAGACCATGATTAGGGTTTTGGTGCCGTTACTATTGTTTGGAACTCTGTATTGCATAATGGGGGCCAAACAAAACTCTGGCATCGAGATGCGTAAGCTGACAGGGTACCAACCTTGGCGCATGTGTTGCAAGGTTTATGCCCTGTCACAGCAGGAAAATCAAAATCGTGGCTGAAACTTTAATCCCAAGCTCAAGATTCTCGTCGTTTGTCTCTTGAGGTTAAATTGAGCTGCCGCCTTAAACAGTTTGAATGTAACAAAATCCCAGCTCAAGCTTCTCCCAGTGATTGGATCTCATCTTTGGACCCTAGTTCAATCACTCTTGCATCAATGGCCCCATCTAGGATTGGATTTATCAGTGGTGTATACGGATAGACCCAGACTAATGGATGCCATCACCCGTGGCGCCATACACCATTTTCATTGTAGGATATGCTAGAGGTGACTCCTTATCTGACTTTGACTTTTGGGGCCCATTGTACTTATCGTCAGCTTTGCTGATCTCTATTGGAATTTCGAGTTGTTTCGTATTTTCTTTTTTTCTTTCCCCTTTTTGCCGTTGCGTATGCGACGGGGCCGTTTGGTTGTGGGGATCCCAATTCATTTGCACTCCAGCGTTTCCATCCCAAAGGTTTTATTCCTGCAATTTTCCGTGCAGAGACATGGCCTGTGATAAAATTAAGTAGTGAGCTCTGCATAGCTTCCCACTGCTTCCCACCGATTCCTATCAGGCAACCCATAGTTCTCATTGTTTCACTGGGTAAGATTGAATGCAGGCATTTGTACGAGAAACTCCTCGATTAGTAACCCATGCTTTGGTGGCGCTTGTGAACGTACATGGCCGGCGCCAATGGATTCCTTAGTCTAATCAATGCAATTTATTGGACAGATTCGCTTGATCAGCGCGATGGATATCCCAGTTTCACCCAACACGGGATGACATTCTTAGTGGGATGAGTCGCTCGGCTATTACGACGTATTTTTCGGCCTTGCCGTTGTAAAAACACCTTCCAAGGCCTGTCTATGTACTTTAATCTTACCATCCGGTTGAAGCTGCACTCCCCTGTGTCAGCAGAAGAAAGAAAAAAGGGAGAGCACATGTCTTTCTCGGGGAACTAACTTGATAGGCCGCGTACAATCGCCAAACACTGCAGTTAGCCTTCGGGTCGCCTCGTCCGATAATTTCGGCTCCTTCAGGCGGCCGCATGCCGTAGTCAGCCGCTAGATTGCGGTTTACCATAGATATTTAGAGCCTTCATTGGTTGTTACAATACAAAAGTGCGGGCCAAATCCAGCCCTCGCGTTCTTCAAGTCTGGATGCCAAGGCGTCGTGCAAACGAGATTGAAGCAGTGAATCACAATCAGTCAGATATTTTTGGAAGCTTTGATCGAGTCACAGGAGGTAATACAACGTCATCTCATCAAGAGACGGGAATGTTGCCACGTTCAAACGCTTGTACATATCATATTTCAACCTGCATTCGCTCTCACTGGTTTCAAGTACTTCTACCAACATCTACCAACAACTCAACATGAATTTTGATCATCTAGCTTCATGGTTCTTTATCGTGGGATTTATTGTGCTTGTGTTGGTGGAGCTTTTCTTTCTTGTTAAGGTCTCTCCTCCACCTTGTTGAGGTTCCTTGTTTCTGCAAGGGGCTTTAGTGCTGACTCTATCTTCAGGATGCGACAGACTCCGTCAAGGACAGGAGCCACAGGGTCTACAGGATTAAGTCAACTTTGGAAGATTTTGTCAGTTTCAACTTGCAACCTCATCCTTCAGGTTAAACATCAAAACTCATTTATCTCATAGTCAAATGGCAAATTTTACAATCCGTGGGCAACTCAGCCTATCATCATCGAGCCTACAAGGAAGAAGATGACTGAGCTGAGTGAGAATGTGGCCTTGTCACAACGTGCAGTATATGCCGATGTACGCAATGAGGATTGCTTTCATGATTTTACTCGGTCTATCAGGCATATACTGACAGTATATAGATGTTTGGCTTCAAAAACACACTAAGCAATTTCAACCATAATGAGATTGCGGCCCACAGATCACGCTTATTCTCGCTAATTCTCAGCGTGAGGGGCAAGGGTCATCTACGTCGAGTATCTCCATATCTTCACAAGCGAATGGAAATGTTTGTTCAAAATGAACTCAGCCCGAGGCCGGCCATGGGTAACGGTAGGTCTATGCCTTTTGCCTCTCTTGATCATTTGCTACGGTGCTGATTAATGGTAGAGTCTATCAGAATTGGGCTGGCAGACACGTGCAAACTGGTAAATTCCCGTCTTATGGCGGTAGTCTTCTTTGGTGAAAAACTCGGTGAGTAGCAATTCGGATGTGAGGTCAGTATGGCAACTAATCTACCTGAACAGCATCTGAGCCCACATTTGCCGAGGCAGTTTACCAACATCCCTTGCAAACTGTGACTTGTATGAGTCTATTTCAACTTGCACCCTCATTCATGTACCAGTATGTTCAGCCCCCATCACAGTCTGACATAGCGGGCTAACAATGATAGGTTCATATCATCAGTCGTGACTCGGAACGGACGAGCAATGAAACGAGTTGAAGAGCGGGTGTGCCCCATCATTGAAAAGGGAGTAGAAAGCTGGGATCACCCCTCACAAGTGGAGCATGTAAGTTTATGTCTCCCCAGGTATGGCTTTTTGCATGGGCTCATATATGACATAGACAATCCTATACAACATGATCGAAGAAACGAAGGATAATCGCAGCTACTGGACCCCAGCCGCCGTTTGCCAGGCGATTATGGGACTTTGGCTCGCAGCGTCACATCAACCATGGGTGAATCTGTATATCTTCATCTACCAGCTTTGCACACATCCAGAATGGCAGGATATAATCCGAGATGAATTCCGCGCAAACGGCAGTGGCATGGACTTTGACAGCCTGGAAACCCTCCCTCTATTGGACAGCTTCATGCGCGAGAGCTCCAGATTTCACTGCTTGGACAAGCGTATGTGCCAAACTATCTTTGAACCCTATTGATGCTTGTTGACTGACTGGCACGGTGGCAGTGAATATCCGCCGTAAGGCCATGCGAGACTACACCTTCTCCGATGGATCAACATTTGCCCCAAAAGGGTCGACCGTCTGCGTCTCCAACTACAATGTGTCGCACGACCCCGAGAACTACCCGAACCCCGATATATTTGATGGCTTTCGCTTCGTGCGTGGGCGGTCCAATGACCGGACTACTGGATATGCCGATGTCTCCGAGAAGAATCTCATGTGGGGCTACGGCTCGCTAGCTTGCCCTGGCAGGGTGCATGCGTCTTTCGTCATTAAGTTTGTGTTATGTTCGCTACTTCTTCGGTATGAGATGCGGCTTGAGCGGGAGGACATGCGTAGTCACTGGACGTACGAATCGTTTAGTATGCCTTATGGGTCAACAAATGTTTTGTTGCAACCCCGGACTGAGATTAACAGTCAAGTGTAAAGTTCCTCTGCTTTTAATGAGATTTGAAGATACTGCTAGGCACATCCAGTTTTCCGGTGCTATGAATATTAGAAATTCTGACGACGTGTATAATGGTAGCGAGTTATGCGGAAACCTGAATACATAGGAATTTGAATTTCTTTTGGATTAGTCTATGCCCCAGTTTTGACTTGGATAGGCAGCGGGATAAATATTGAGCCCTTCTATCCCCATATTTTCCCCACATTCTTCGCTAATCAGACTGGGGAGGCTTGGATTCGGATAATTTCATCGTGCCATTCGGCGAATTAACATGGGAAATATCTATATGAATACAATGGGAGATTCTTCGGGTAAAGCTGGTCTGGTGTTTATAGCTGATCTATGCACATCATGAAGTTCCACCTTGCAAGTGCTGGTATACTGCTGGCTGCTTCAGCTCAAGCAGCAACGGACCCTTCTTTGACAGTTCGCACTGTCACAGGAGCCTTTACTGGACTTCGCAATGCCAACTTCAGCGGAGTGAGAGAGTTTCGCAACATCCCTTTCGCTCAACCCCCAGTGGGCTCACTGCGTTTCCAACCTCCTCAACCGCTGCCACCATCAACCCAGCACCACTTCTCAACGCGCTTTCCCCCATCGTGTCCACAGTTTGTATCCAGCGGAGCCAGCTTCTGGAACCTCTTTGTTCCCTACCTACTTGTGGAAAATGGAAACCAAAATCATACTAGCGGTCTCACCTTACAGACCAGCTCAGAGGATTGTCTCAGCCTCGCCATCTGGACACCATACAATGTCTCAGCAACGGCCAAGCTGCCCGTCATCTTCTTCATGACAGGAGGTGGCTTCGAGACCGGCGGCATCGACATCGCCGGCCAGATCCCCGCGTCTTGGGTCCACAGGACCCAAGAGCATATCGTTGTAACTATCAACTACCGCGTCAACATCTTCGGCTTCCCCAACGCAGGTGGCCTCAACAACCCCAATCCCGCAATCCTTGACCAACGCATGGCCCTAGAATGGGTTCACGAAAACATCGCCGCCTTCGGCGGTGACCCTGAAGCTATTACTATGTGGGGTCAATCTGCCGGCTCGCAGAGCACAGATTACCACAACTACGCATTCTGGGATAACCCCATTGTGCAAGGCAGTTTCTCTCAATCCGGAACAGCACTCAAAGCCCTTCCATCAGAGGACTATTCTCACTCGAATTTTACTTTCGTCGCTAAACATCTCGGTTGTGACTTCCCGCACAATCCTACTGCAGAGCTGGAATGCATGCAGCAGGTCCCTACGGCCATGATTGAGAATTTCGTCGGCCAGTATGACGGTGAACCGAGCCTTAGCTTCGGGCCCATCGCAGATGATCTCTATATTTTCTCGGATTATCCTGCCCGTGCTGCGCAGGGAAAGATCTCGCCCAGACCAGCTATCTTCTCCGATGCGGCTAACAATGACGCGACGCTTGATACATGGCCGTCTGCCAATGCTACTGTTGGACCGTATCAGCCTACTGTTAATGAGGGCACACTTGAGGACTGGGTTTGTCCTACTGCCAATACTAGTATTCTGCGTGCGAATGCCAACGTTACGACGTACCGGTATCAGTATGCTGGTAACTGGTCGAATGAAACTCCGTATACCTGGCTTGGTGCTTATCATTCGTCTGATCTGATGATGAATTTTGGAACACTTTTATAACGTTACCAATGCTACTACTGGTCCTTCTACTCGGGAGATTGAGACGAGTCGGGTCATGCAGGATCATATTTTGGCATTCATGAAGGATCCCGTGAGTGGTCCGCCTGCTATGGGATGGATGCCGTATACTTATGGGAGCAATGTTCTGCGGTTCGGAGCGAATGGAGTGCCGGTGCAGAATGTTAGTGGGTATGAGATTGATGGGCCATGCTTTGGGAATGGGACTTATAATCCCTTTCCTTGATGAGTCTATTTCAATGTTTGAAATGTTTATCTGAATAATTGAAAAGTCGAAACATTGAAGATTTAAATTATCTACGAAGATGCAAACTGCTCATTGAAAAAACTTGATGTTGTATTTGGGCCTTCAGTCCTTGGACTCAATATAAAGACTGGGACAGATTCAATAAAAAGACAATATGAAACATGCTTCTTCCAAAAAGCGCGTTTAACGCTTCTTGATGCTGGTATCAATGCTGCCAAGGAACCAGATAGCAACAAAGAGAGTAAGCAGACCACCGAAGATGGTGAGAGGCTTGCGCAGGGCATCCATAAGGGAGTGGTCATAGGTCACCTAAACCTTGTTAGTATGTCACTGTCACTAAAGTGTTCATGGAAAAAAGAACTTACCACCAACTGCGCATCGCGGGCTTCGTCGGTCAGACTATCAACCTCCAGGGTCAATGTAGTCCGGCCGAGAGTGTCCATGTAAGTCTTAAAGGAGGAAAGGCTGGCATTAATCTGGCTTGTCCCAGGAAGGCCGTTGCTGTTGGCGCCCTCAACAGTCTCGAAGCGGACGTTGTGGGCACCCTCGGGGAGGACCACGCGGAGAACAACGTGCTCATACTGAACACCCTCAGACATCTTGGGGCCCTGCAGGAAGGGAACCTTGAGGACGTAGGAATCCACACCAGTGGCCTTGCGCAAGAATCGAGCAAGGTCGTTGTTCCAGCCCACCTTGAAGCTGTAGTTCCAGCCGCCGAAAATAGGGTAGCGAGGCTTCAACTCCAGGTTGGCAGCGGTCTTGCCGTTACCGGGACGGTAGCGGCTAGTCGAGACGTTACCAATGTCATCGATGAAGTACGGGTCCACAGAGCCGGGCTGAAGAGGGTAAGCAATTTCACGGAGAGCAGAAGACGGAGCCTTCTGGTAGCTTGTGAAGGTCCACTCAACGCGCGAGAACTGGTTGGTCAGCTGCGAACCGTTGTTGCGTAGCCAGTAGCGCTCCTCAGTAGCCAGGTTGCCACCCCAGTGGGAGACCTCCAGATCACGCTCCAGAAGACTGACACTGATCACAGGGTTGGTGAACTGGTAGCGCACAGTGATAGGCTGCTCAGTTCCCGGAGCCACCTTAGCCGTCTCGTAAGGTCCATAGGTATAAGTGGCGCCCTTGCGCTCCGGATCAGCACCGGACTTGAGTCCAGATGTTTCAGTGTAATCCGGCACGTCAGTGCTTGGGAACTTGACCTTGGTCTTTTGGGTGACAGTCTGGTAGGCAGATGGCACGTAGGCGGAGAACGAGTAGGTAAGGTACTGCTTGTCACTTTGCCCAATTGTCGCAGGGCGTGGGCTCAACGAGGAAAGGACGGAGTAAGAAATTCCAAGGGTGATTTGGGCTTTCGGGGCGAGAGGCTCGGCGAGATGAACGACGAAGTACTGGGTGCCACTATTGCATCGAGATGTTGATCAGCATTCTGCTAAGGTAATTGTTTCTTCGAAAGCCATTGAGATGCACAATTGCAACTTACGTAGAGGCAACGGGCTCAGTAACCTCCACCTCAAAGCGACCCGTCTCAGTAGCCTTCTTATCCCGAACTTCGAAGCCTCCAATGCGACCAAACACATCCGAAGGGAAGGGAATATAGTAGTCGCTCTGCGACTGCTTATCGACATTCTCTACCACAACATTGATGGTCTCCCGGGCATATCCCTTTTCCAAATTAGTGTTCCGAACCAAGTTCACGTTCTTGAAGACCTGCGGGGGTTTGAAGTCGGCCGGGACAACGAGCTGGGTTGGAGCTTTAAAGCTAGAGGCGGCAGCCAGGCTGGGCACAAGCAGCCCGAGCACTGTGGCGGTGAAAAACCTCATCCTGAGTATTTCACGGAGCACACAATGTCTCCGAATTGAAACGGGGTATCAAAATTGGCGAGGTTGATGTGGAGAGTTGGTTGGACGAAGCTGATGAGGTGTCCCGATCTGTATACGCAATACGGCGGGCGCAGCGGCCAGGGAGCGCACTCCGCTTTCTTATCAGTGATAACAGCTTCTCCTCTTTTTACTTCCTTCGCTTGGCGTTCTACATTCGTCTCTGTTCGCCACAATGTTTGCTTCTAGAGCTTCCGTTTTGCCTAGGTGCTGCAGAAGCACGAGGATACCCCGGGGTCGCTATTTTCATGACCTGCCTGGCTCTTCTCAGAGCAAATTCCTGAAGGTATCAGAAGAGGTCCGCGATGCTGTTGCAACGGGCAAGCCGGTTGTCGCGTTAGAAACGACCATTTATACTCATGGTAGGTGTTGTTGCATCTTAATCTTGAGGCTTTATAGTCCGTTCGGGGATCAATTAGCTAAAATATCGTCAGGCTTCCCATATCCTGACAACATTGCTTTGGCATCACTATTGGAGTCTGTCGTTCGAGCCAACGGTGGAGTTCCTGCAACTATAGGTGTGCTCGGAGGTATTGCCCGTGTTGGTATGAGTGCAGAAGAAATCATGGAACTTGCCTCGACGGCCGAGAAGAAGACTGCACTGAAGGTTTCTAGGAGAGACTTGGGCTACATCTGTGGAATGGTTTGTTATCCTATTTACCCCGCAAGTCATTGACAGGAAAGTACTAAAAACGTTTCAGGGTCTTGCTGGAAAGCCCATTCACGGTGGTACCACAATTTCCGGCACTATGATTCTATCCCAGCTTGCTGGTATCAAGATCTTTGGAACAGGTGGACTAGGTAAGTTCGGCCTAGCAATTCTATTTGAATATTCCGTCTAATTAATTCCTAGGTGGTGTTCACCGTGGTGGTGAATATTCTATGGACATTTCCGGTGGGTTACACATCCTCCGCATATACAGGGATCGTGCAGCAATTTACTGATCTCTTCCTGAAACAGCCGACCTGACAGAGCTGGGACGGACTCCAGTAACGGTCATTAGTTCTGGGTGCAAGAGCTTTTTGGATATCCCTCGCACACTAGAGTATCTTGAGACTGAGGGTGTCTGCGTGGGTACCTTTGCTGATGGACGTGAGGGCTCTGTCGATTTCCCAGCTTTCTTCACTCGCGACAGTGGGTTTCGCAGTCCGCGAGTTATTCAGAATGAAGCCGAAGCTGCTGCGATAGTTTGTAAGTTTGAATCAGGGCTGGGGACTTCGGCTACTAACAAGTTTTATAGACGCGCAATCCAAGCTTCCTGTCACCTCTGGAATCCACTTCGCCAACCCCGTGCCATTAGAGGCCTCTGTTCCCAAGCCCGAGATGGATGCCGTAATTGAAGAGGCCGTTCGCCTTGCAGATGTGGAGGGTTATCATGGTAGTGATAATACTCCATTTGTTCTCGCTAAGATTAAGGAGTTGAGCGGCGGAAAGAGTGTGATTGCCAACCGTGCTCTTATCGAATCCAATGTCAAACGTGCGACTCGCGTTGCCGTGGAACTAGCTAAACTCGAGGAACTTGACCGAGGAAATGCAACTCGGTGAGTTGAGCTCTAGATACAAATACAAACCAGTGCTAAGTCCGGACATTTGCTTCTACCTAGACACATGCCTGCATCTCCAAACATTCCTCGGTCAGACCAAAATCTCTCGGCGCAGCGAACACCCGAGCCCGTCCTGGAAGCCCCTCAGGCGCCTAAGCAGATCGTTTCTGAGACACAAAACGCGGATGTCGTGGTTGCCGGCTCCCTTGCCATTGATCTGTCCTGCGACTACACCCCATTCAGTGACGAGAGCGTCCAGGTGACGCCTGTACCACACACTTCTAACCCTGCCGTCATCGGCCAGAGCCTGGGAGGTGTCGGCCATAATGTCGCACTGGCAGCCAGCTATGTGGGCAGCGATGTACTCTTTTGTAGCGTTATAGCAGATGACCTGAGCGGTCGAGCAGCACTCGCATCCCTCGAGACTGAAGGTCTTAGCACTACAGGTATTCAAGTTCTTCCACCAAAATCTGGTACTCGCACGGCACAGTACATCGCCATCAACGACGCAAAAAAGGATCTCCTTGTTGCGATGGCCGACATGGGCATCGTCGAGCTACCGGAGAAGCAGCTCGATTTCGACGGGTTCTGGGAACCTTTACTCCAGCAAACGAAACCGAAATGGGTTGTCGTTGACGCGAACTGGCGCCCGGAGGTCCTAGCAAAATGGGCCACCCTTGCCAAGAAGCACGGTGCTCGCGTTGCTTTCGAACCTGTCTCTACTGCTAAATCTCGTCGCTTGTTTGCCCATGATGGCACCGGCCCGGTTATCGGTCCTTCACAAATTGTCCCCAACCACGCTATTAGCCTCGCCTGTCCCAACCGTCTCGAATTGGCTGCCATGTACACAGCTGCCCGTGAATCCCTGGTCTTCGATTCTCCGGGGTGGTGGGGCGTCATTGACGCCATGGGCATGTCGCAGAGTGGCTCCCGGGAACGTCTCGTCTACCTCACCTCAGCCGCCCTGGTCGATGAAGGTCTTCCCCAGCAATCTATCCAACTTCTTCCGTTTATCCCTTGTATTGTCACAAAGCTGGGTGAGGCCGGCGCACTTTTGACGCAGCTTTTGCCTCCTGGTGACTCGCGTCTTACAGACCCTGATTATGCGCCGTATATCCTTGCCCGGGCATCCTCGTCTCCGGATGTATCGTTCGGTGGAGTTTACATGCGTCTATTCCCACCAGCTGCTAAATTGTCTCCCGAGGATATAGTTAGCGTTAATGGTGCCGGTGATACCTTGTTAGGTGTTGTTGTGGCTGGCTTGGCAAAGAAGAACTCCGCTATGCGTATTGAGGACGTTCTTCCTGTGGCACAGGAAGCGAGCCGGCGAACTCTCGCAAATGCTGGGGGTGTAAGTAAGGAACTTATGGGCCTTCGGGGCTCTTTGGGAGTATGATAGCATCATGATTTGTTGCATCCATCATTTGCATATGTATATAGCGCTTGTTGATTTTAAAATCTTTAATCATTGCATGAAAAAGGTACATATTGAGTATCCAGTTACCATATCCACATCCCATCACAAGGTTAATACAGAGCTTCCATCTTTGGTACAAGTCTTGAATCCAAAACCCCAGCTTGTACAAGCACATCTGCCTGATCCCAATACAAACTCTGCCTCACTATACGCTCCGCTCGAAAACATGCCACAACAACGATATTCACGGAGATATCACGACCCGTCGGCTGGACACCAGGTAGCAGCCAAGGTACTTCAGCCGAATGGCAAAACGAAAAGCGTATCTCGTCCACGATTTTATCCGTGCCTACTGTTCTTGACAGAAGACGGATATGCTGACTAGCGGGTCCAGCGGGGATAAATGCATGTTTAAAAAAGGACCGAAGGGTTTGGGGGTCAGTGCCTAGTATCACATTAGCAATGAAAAAAGCTTATATCAAATTGGCAAATAGAAAAGAGAAAGATTCACCTCCTGCTTTAGTGGGAACACACTCCACAGATAACCCCTCTTCATCTTGATCCTCACCTCGGCCGCCCATAATCTCAAAGGCAGACCTCGAGGTATCGATTCCGCTCTGCACTCTGGACTGATGCAACTCGGAAAGTATTCGCTGCCAATACTCTTCCCAAACCGTCTCAATGCCAACAACGGGCCAGTTACTCCCAACTCCAAATGCACGTCTTAAGCATCCTAGGACCCTGCTCCAAGACAAGTTCAAACTAACGTCGTCGCTTGGTATATCTTCCTTTTCTCGCTGGGTCTGGTGCCTGTATTCCGCGAACCCGGGCTGCGAATCTGGATATGTAAATACATGACACCGATGTCGCTTTTTATAGGTAACGTCGCCTTCAGAAGAGACTGTTATCCACGGCCAGAAGGTGCATGCACTTTCCATTTCCCCTGGAACGTGAATTTGAATCGGCAGGAAATTTGCCGCTGGGCCTGGTTGGAAGATTGTGTCTGTTTCTGAGCAAGCTGGAATACTGCATTCGCTTTCAATATCTGTGTCGGATTTATGAATGTGTGTTGGTGAAACGGGGTAGTATGCTATTAGAGCACATAGTCGTGGGAATGGGTTTGTTTTGCTTGCGATGAGATGGTGCGATACTAGGAGGTAGTATGCAGGTCGATTATATGCTGTCATCTAAGTTAGTTTAGGTCTTGGTAGATGAAACCAATCACCTGAGCGTTCCCTCCATCTATCAAACTTGGATATATGTACTCCAATCCGGCTTTAGAAAATTTCTATGTAACTTACCAACAATGGCATATCTCTCCCCAGTCTCCAAGTCATCCTCCCTCATATGGACCTTATTTTCCAACGTCTTACGGTCTTTCTCGGCATCTCCAGTGCACATAAAAGGCAAATATTCCACATCGAAGGCCTCAGCCCGAAATCGGCGGATAATCTCCGGGTCAAATTCCGGTGTATCAGATATCAAAATCAGACGGCGTGGCACTGGCTCCTCTGCTTCATAGTCATGTCGGCGAGAACGCTTTGTTGAAGCGGTGCTGTTTCTCCTATGCAGAACATGAGGATTGGATGGGCTATTCGGATCTTGGCCTGGGCCGCTTGTTCCGTTTTCGGGTACGTTGGAGCCTGTTGCCCGTCTAGTGAGGCGCTGGAAGACGTTGACCATGGTGACCGTTGGTTTTAAATGTGAATGGAATTCTTGAAGGGGATTCCCTGGCGCGTCTCAGGTGAAATCTAAATTCTATCGGACCAGGGGTATACTTGACAGGTCAACGCTTAGGGTTGTGACGTCGACGAGTACCGATAAGATCCCGGATGGAGTTGCTCCGAATGTATGATAATAGATTCATCCATCTGGGACATCCATACGTCTATTTCATAAATTCTATCAAAGGATCTGGCATCTATATACTACCTTTTAAGTGGAAGCTTAGCAGCCACTTTCGATCTTCGGCAACCTTCTCCGACCCCTGCCCGTCATCATTAAGATACCTTCTGTACGCATCCCGCAGAAGACTCTGTCGCGCGACTTCACAGTCGACACGAATATCCTCAATCAGTGCATCCATCGAGACGTAATCGAATTCTGGTCGGATATATCCGAGAATGAGCAGGTTGAGGTGAGTATTGTAGAAATCGGGGAGGCGGTTGAATTTGGGTTGAGGAACGGCCGTTGGAGATGGTTCAGTTAGGGCAGGCATGATATGAATTTCCTAAACCCCAATGATAAGTTATTATTGAAACCCCCGAGGCTGAGCCAATGGAGCGAAGGTCAAGAAGGAAATACTTACCACTGACCGCACGGTATTCTTATAGTAAGGATTATATCCAATGCTCAGGACTGCGGGCTGCACAACAGGCTCATTGGCCTTGCCCGTTTCGCCCGTTAATCCATTCTCGTGTGCAAAGTCCTTGGGGTCAAGTGCTACGACTCCGTAGTAGACGCCTGTTGTCAGATCAGGGTGTGTCTTGGATAAGTCGTCGGCAGGAATGTTGGCCGTCGGAATTCCTAGCTGCAAGGTATGTCTCAGTACGTCTTCATACGTATAAATGTGATCTATGCAAGGGAGGTGTGGTTCGGCATACGTCTTTGCTACCTCGGCCAAAGCCTTTGATCACCGGTCCAGACAACCGAATGGGGAACGGAGCGATAGGCCCAGCATCAGGGCCAGCAACGGGGTCGCGAGGTTTATCAGGTCTCATTGCGAAAAGTTTGTAGAGGAAGGCAAATCTTCTACAGAAGGTTCAGGCGATCAAGTGTGGTGATCAAGAATCAAGATTGTGCGATGTGGAGTCGACGCGGGGTGTTGTGTAAATGCAGATAGCGGAGCTGGCGGGGTAGCAATGCCGATCACAAAGGCTTAACCAGTCAATCGAAGCGAATAGGTGAGTTGCGGAACGGCCGGGTACCAGGGAAATCTAGTCAGAGGCGACAATGACGAGGAAACGTCAGATAGAAGCTGTTGGAAGCGGAGGAGCGGATTGAAGGTGGGGCTATCGATAAGCAAATCTCACACCTGAGGCATCTCTACCGGATGCATATGCAACTCAAATCGACTGATTGTGATAGGTAAATTCGTTTTCAAGATGATCGACATCCATGATAACCCAATCACACGGCAGGTTACTGATTGTACATTGAGATATGTCATGAATAACGGCATCGACAGTCAAAGGATAAATGGCATTAATCTCGTAAAAACACAATCCCAGCCCAAGATATCATTTTTAGCCTTTTGAGCGCCAGAAACACAAATAGAAAAAAAGAATCCAGCGACTCATGCTGGGCCATGAACCGCTAGACCTAAAAACACCAGATGTATGTACGATTAAGAACAAACACAGAATGGGGGGAATCATACAGTCCCACAAGAAACCAAAATATGTACCAGAAGCCCAGATCAAAGAGACAAAAGACTAGGGTCGTCCTAGTCAAGGGTATGAAGGGAATAACAAGAACAGCAGAAAAGTGCAGTACAAGAAAAAAGACAAGCTATCGTCCTATGAAAAGGACGAGAACTCCAAATCTGAGAATGGAGGAAATCAAATGCAGGGCAAGAACTATTTGCAGGATTAGTCCAACGCTTCTCTTGGTACAAGTCATGGGGTACTCACATTCATCACGATAAGCATCGGAATGTCGAATACATCTCGCTTAACTGTCCAGCAGTACGCGCACTCGACCTTGCCGTCCTTGAACCCCAACTGGTTCATTCCAGCCTCGCCAGCAATACCACCTTTGCGTAGGTGATTGTTCCACTTTCCATTGTCTTCCTGTGCCACCTCCATGTCTTCCTTGGTTTTATATTTTAGGAGCTTGCAGCGGGTCATTACACTACCGCGAGAATCACCAAATGCCAGACGTGCAAAATCTTCGTAGAACTCCACGACACTATCATCGTCGAGAAGTTCGGCCAGGAAAACTGGTTGCGGCCGGCCGTTGGTATTCTCCAGTGTTGAGCCGCGAGGTGTGAAGCTGCCACGCGAGCTAGTACCGGATGCCGGTTGAGATGTACCGCCGGTGTTGACATTAAGGTTGGCCTCTTTGCCCAACAATACATCCTTCTTCCATCCTGTCAATATGCTAAACTCTTTCCCAACGGCGGCAATTTCGCCCGTGCGTCGACAGACGATTGTTGGTGTACCGCATGCGTTAATGAAATCCTCATATTCCCAAAGCGTTCGTTGGAAACACTTCTCCATGAAAATCAAATCATCCCGATTGAGGGTCTTGGTGGTAGCAATGAAAGATGGTCTGATAGATGCCAAAGACTTAGCGATACGCACAGTCTTCTGTGGTGAGAAGCGACGCTGGATGAAAGCAGTGAGGTTATGGAAACCACTCGTGTAACCGTATGGCTCCTTGACACTCTCATATATTGACGAAGGATTCCGGTGACGTCGCTTAGGCCCGACATGTAATTGTTGGTGCTTCAAGCTGGGTGTGGTGATCACCGGTCGTTGTCCATTTGGCGCAAGACTGTTGGACTTGGGGCCGGCGTTGAACGACCCATCGTCAAAACCAGAGGTGGCCACATGTGGACTACTCGCCGATCCGGGGCTGGTGAAGTTGGCAGGACCACTTTCAATAGCAAAAGCATGTGGCCCATCTGCTTTCATGTGTCCCGTGAGCATGCCATTCTGGCCGTATACGCCGCTGACATTCACATGCGGCTGGCCCGAGGCCTGTCCAGTTGACCACTCGTTAAGCAGGGGATCACCAAACATGAACGGCTGAGTCCCCGGACTTTCGCCAAATCCAGGAGCTGGCGTGGAGAACTGCGCCGACCCACTGCGGCCCATCGACCCTCGCTGGGTGCCCGAGTCGGTAGGCGAATCTCCGGCCCCGGTCGCCATATGACCTAACATCCCGAACTCGAGAGCCCCATAACGGTTTTCAAAATTCATGCTGGATAAATCAAAGTTGAAAAGTGCGGGGTCACTGGGGTCGAAAAATGGCCCTGCAAACGGGTTTTGCGGTTGGGAGGTGTCTCCGGAGAGAGCGGCACTCGGGGTGGGCTGTTGGTTCACCGTGGACGATAAGCTGGGATTGCGACCATTCTGACTGGTCTTCAGGTTGTACGTAGGTGAAACAGGTGATTGGGTGGTGAAGGGACTTTGGCTCATAGCCGTTTCTTGGTACATGTTATAGGACCCTTGCGGCTGGGGTTGTGGCTGAGGCGTGGGGTAGAAATTGTTGTTGGCTTGCTGCTGTGAGGGTTGCTGGGGTTGTTGCTGCTGCGGCTGGGGCTGCTGCGGAGTGCTCGAGTTGGTACCATTCCTAGACATGGGCAAGCTATTTCGCATGGGAGTGTTATTAGGATAGAAGTTCCCGGGCACTCCGGGCATCAGTGCTCCGTCCGGAGCATCGTGCAGATACTTGGCCTTTTTACGGACACCGTCATGACAAGCATCTTGTAGACCCCGCTTAATACAGCGTTGACATGGTCGCTCGTCGCCTGACAAATAAGGATGTTAGCCAAGCAATTATTTCGTCCAAGTTTTTGTCGATCATGCTTACCGCACGTCAAGTGAGCTCGCTGACAGGCAAAGCAAGCTCGGCGGGCTTTCTTCCGTCGCGGTCGCGATGGATCTTTAGCATTCGCAGCTTTGCGATGCTCAGCCTTCACATCGCCATTACTCTTTTCTCTCCCGGAGTCTAGTGGCTCCGAGTGTTCGGTAATATCGGCGGAACCGCGATCGCCATCCATGGGGACCGGGGTGCCGTTCTTGGCTTCCACGTTCATTTCGTCATGTATTCCAGCACGGGGAAGTTTTAAAAAGAATGACACAAACGCGATCTGCGTGATATGTAAAATGCCCGGTATGCTATCCGAGGAGCTATATCAGCACCTTTGGTTCTTCGATCGCACGATCTCGATGTTGTGGCGACAGGACCATCCGCGCACTTGGATCGTCTCGGCAAATGGAGAGAGAGAGATCGGGGGATCCACGTGCTTGCGCAATTCTGGGCCGAGCAGAGATAAACGGTCGCTAATTGACAGCAGTGTGTGTTGAGCTCCTACTATCCACCAAGGTTGTCACTGGAGCTTGCGACGAATACTCGGCGTCTATTGTCGCGAGCGCGCGACCAATTCTGGCGGGGGAACGGAAGGCAGGTGTCGGGTTGAGTCACGGGTGTAACGAGGCACAATCGACTCGGCGTAAGACGTAACTGCAAAGATCTGACACATTGAAGGGCCGTGAAATTGTAAGCTTGATCAGAAGTCCACGCGACGAGGTGAGAAAAATGCCGCAACGGTTTCGGGCGCAGCTGAATTCGGGAGTGGAGAGAGAGAGCGGCAGTCTCGTCGGCTGCGGGGAAGCGGGAATGTATTCGGTCCGCACGAGGCAGTAGCAGAGGTGTCAAGCTAGACAACCTGAGAACTGTCGGAAAAATCCAAGAAAATAACGGAAGCCTGTCAGCTCTGCGCGGGGAAAAAAAGATGAAGGAGGTGGAGGGTCTGGGAATGGTAACTAACTTCGGAATGTTCCCGTGACTTTTGAGGTCTAAGCATCAACAGGCAGGACTTCAACCCGACCGATTGCTGCAAGAACCAAGACTGTGGATAGTAACTAGGATATTTCTTTGATCTCATTTCACACGATTTCTTTTATTGCTCTTTTTCCTAAAATATTCCGACATTATGAAGCATCCATGAACATGCATCTTCAACGCGGTAAGGCTGCCCAGGTGGATATAGTTCGAGGTTTCGTAACACGCCCGTTTCCCCCCCGTTTTTTACATAATTGCAGGCGAATTAAAATGGGAATTGATTCTCGTGTTTAGTCAAAAATACGAGTAAATTATAAGCGAAATCACATTATGCATTTGGTGGCACTGAGACTTGAGGGCAATTGGGCATAAAATCTTCTTCCTTTAATTCACATGCTGACGTTTGAGGCGTCAACGACTGGAGCGCGGCATTTGCAAAGTGGTACACCAGTTCCCATTTTTTTGACTAGTGAATCCTTACCCGGATTGGCTGCACCGGCAGATCGTACATCCCCACGACTGGGGCAGTTGCGCACGTGTGGAAAAACTATCTTGCTACATATCAAAAGAATATGAGTTTCTGTACTTGAAAAACGGGTTTGAAAGACTGGAAAAAAGTCTCAATCTCTTCATGCCCCCGCTTACAACCTTGTATTGTCCTAAGGTTCCGGATTTCTCCTCAAATAAGTCCCGTTTTGTCCCGAGGCTATGTGTTGGGGAGTGCCTCGGTTAGAGGGATTAAGTTAGGGTCAATCTGATCCCTAGGTCCAAGGCATTCTGTTCAACTGCCGTATAGGGGGATAGTACTAGGAACTGAAATCCAAGACCACATGATGCTCGTGATCTTTGCAACCGGCCTAGAACGGGAAGGGATGTCGGAGAATTGGATTCTGGCCCAAACCCACCCCAGGACAAAGAAATTGTGGGCCTTCTTGGCTTTGATCTAATCGCAACAAAGTCTAAATAGTAGGACTTAACTCGGATCAACAGCCGAAGCCGAGAGTATATGCCTCCAAACTCAGGAAAACGGAAATGGGTCTCCGCGTTCCAGGGGAAGCTGTCTACGATTTCTCTTGTTATCTACATTCTAAATCCAGCTGCGGACAGGACAACAGCTGGACTGCTGATATTTGAAAATGAGGACCGGCCAAATATGATCCCTTTAGCTTTAGGGGACCAATGCCCAGCCCAAGAATCGTTGTCACAG